AAAAAAAAGAGCAGCTGATGAGCAATAGTCCTTCGTTATTTCGTCGCTTTGGCGCCAGTTGAAGTTAATCGAATCAACATGGACGATCAGTTGACTATCACATCTAACTGCAATTCATGGTTGTAGACAAAAAAAGAAACTTAATTTGCTTATATTATTACTACGCTTACTAATTATTGTTGTGCTTATTAGAAAAAATTATTTATAATATTGACGTACTTATATATAAAATAAAAGGAAATGAAAGAAGTAAGTATGAATAATAGAAATAGTTTTATTTTAGAAATGAAATGATGGTAGATCGATGTGTCGTCTCGAATCTGACTAGTTTTGCAATCTGCTCGATAATAAAGTGCAGGTGCTGGCTTTTCAGATACCTGACGCGAATCGAAAACGACGATTTAATCAAGTCACATCTGTTATTTTCTTTTAATAAATATCATATTTTTTCTGTTTTTTTTTGTTGAAAACTATTACTATGTTTTGTATTTTATATTTTTATGTTAAAATAAAATATTCATGAATTATCTCATACACCTAAGAGGATATTATAGGGAAAGAAACCTATTGTATATATTTTTAAAAGCATAAGTTATTAAATAAAAACGTCTTATATAGCAATCAAATGACATGTGTCGCCATCGTGATTACTACTCCATAGAAATTTAATGTATTTGTTTTTATTAATCCTTTCGATTGAGAAAATATTAAGTATCAGGACAAATAGAATAAATTGAAGAGAGTCGTATGATAACGCTTTTCTTTTATCGATCGATGAAAAAAAAGTTGTGACTAATAAAAAATGATTTTAAATGGTTGTAAAAAACAGCGAATCCTGTTCGAATAGTAAATCATTCCATCATGTTCGATGTTCGACTGTCTTCATTCATTCATTCATTCATAGTTATTGATTGATTGATTGATTCAATGATCGATTGATTGACTTGACGTAACCATGGTCTTTCTAATTTCAGCACTGGAAAATTATTTTTCATTTATTGACAAAGTTAAACCAACTACTTTATTTTATGGATTATTATCATTTACTGCGATTCTCGCTATTTGGGAACATTATCTTTCATACCGACAAGTAGATTTATTATATTTTGAAATTTAAATTTCGTTTCTTTCATAATTTTATTAGTATTGTAATTATAAACGTCGTCAAAATGTTCCACCCGAATTGAAAGATGTAATGACAAATGAACAACTTGAAAAAGCTCGTTCATATGCTATCGATAAAATGTATTTTAGTCAAATTCGTTCAGTATTTAATGAAATTGAAACAATAGTAAATGATTTCAATATATAGATAGATCAACAATTAATTCATCTTTTTTTCTTATTCTAGGTTCTATTATTAATTGGTATTTTACCATGGGTATGGTCATTATCAGGAAATATATTATCAAAATATAACTATAATAATTATGAAATTTTACAATCAATTGTCTATGTTTTTATTACTATGATATATTCAAATGTAACAGGACTTCCATGGTCATATTATTATCATTTTGTTCTCGAAGAAAAACATGGATTTAATAAACAAGTAATTTGTACTTTTTCGAAATAATATTCAATAATATTCATTTAATATATATATTTAGACACGTGCCTTTTTTATTAAAGATACAATAAAAAAATTACTTCTTACATTAGTATTAACAGTACCAATTTTATCTCTTTTACTTAAAATAATTCAGATAGGTGGTGATTATTTTTTTGTTTATGTTTGGCTTTTTATTACAACGATGTCATTAGTAAGAATATATCAATGATAAAACAAATTCTTCTTTCTAGTTCTCTAATTTAGGTTTTTACATTTATTTATCCAAATTATATTGCACCATTATTTGATCGTTATGAACCATTACGTGAAGGAGAATTACGTTCAAGTATTGAACAACTTGCAGAAAAACTTAAATTTCCACTTGCAAAAATCTATGTTGTTGAAGGTTAGTTTTTTTAAGTATATTGAAAGAAAAGTATAGAATAGAAAGAACTAATGATAGATTAAATAATTAGTCTAATAAATACTACATGATTCGAGATAATTTTAACATTTGTTTAATTCTTTTGTAACAAATATCTGAAACTTTCAAGGTTCGGTACGATCGGCACATTCAAATGCTTATTTCTATGGATTTTTTAAAGCAAAACGTATTGTTCTATATGATACTCTTATTAAAGGATATAGTACTCATAAGAATAAAGATAAAATTGATATTACTGATAAAGAAGATAAATCAAATGAAACAATACAAAAAGAACATGATGAAGAAAATAGTACATTAATGCATCGTAAAATTAGTGATAATATAAACAATATAGTAAATGAAGATGAACAACCAGTAAAGAAAAAACTTGATAAAGGCTGTGAATCAGATGAAGTTCTTGCTGTATTATGTCATGAATTTGGACATTGGTCAATGAATCATAATATTATCAATCTTTGTATCTCATTTGTACGTATAAATAGGATTATAAATCAAATTTAATTTTTTCTCTTCTTTTGAACCTATCATAGAGTTTTCATAAATCTAGCAAACATTTTAAAATCATTATAGTGTAGACTAAAAATATATTTGTTAAAGACATCTGTCGCATAGCAACAGCAGCCATTTACTGTTTTACGTTTTTTAAACTTCGTAAGACTATTGCAAATACATTTTTCGTCAATGATTCTAGATCTTTGAAACTATGGAATAAGAAAATGAATTGAAATCTATAATGGTGATGTAAGATATTGTTACCATATTCGATTTCAATGATTTTACAATCAATGAAGGTTAACTAGACGTAGACAAGAACTAATAATGTAAATATGCATGAAATATACGTGAAATTCAATTTCAAGATCAACATTTTTTCAATAGTAGATACATATATGATAACTATTCGGTTTAATTAAAATTTATTTTCATGTTTTTGAAACCTTCTAAATATAATATTGATACAATCTTTATCATAAATTGGTAGGTGAAGAATCCGATAATCTATAACATAAGTCCTACCTTGAAAACAGATTATGTATTCAAATTATTCAAGAATATCACTAATATATTCTTTATCTTGTGTGAATAGGTCAATTTATTCCTAGTATTTGTTATATTTGCTGCTCTTTTTAAACGTCCTGGTCTTTATGCTGCATTTGGTTTTACACAGACTCGACCAATCCTCATTGGTTTATTAATTATTTTTCAATATGTTCTAACATTTTATTCTGAAGTAAGGACAAAAAAGAAATTTAAATTAGAAAAAAACATTTCTTTTTCCTATTTACAGATTTTTCAATTTGCTTTAACGGTACTATCACGTCGTTTTGAATTTCAAGCTGATAATTTTGCAGTTAAACTTAATCATGGCGAACCATTAGGTCGTGCATTAATAAAACTTCAAATGGATAATATGACATATCCATATTCAGATTATCTCTATGCTACATATCATTACTCACATCCAACAGTACTTGAACGTATGAAAGCTATTAAAACAATCAAACAAAATTAAAATCTTTCTTTTTCCTATCAAAAACTTTTCTATTCATACAATACATAAGACGATAAAATATTAACATTGTTTTATGATAATTTTTCAATAAATAAATCAGTTTTCTATTAATACTAAATAAAATATAGAAAGATTTTTCAAGTAGAGCGTATTCAAATAGTTTATTATCGATATAAATATATTTTAGATCTAAATGTATTCTGATGATGAAATAGATAATGATGAAACGAATCGAAAAGATTCTGAATTTAAATTGGAAAGATTTTTGAATCGTTCACAATTTTATTTTGATCGTTTACCGATACTTAAAACACAATTGAATGATATTAATCGTTTTAATCAACCAGATTTATATATTGAAAAATTAAGTAAGTTAAAGAAGATAAAAATCTGAAAATTGTTAACTAGAATACATGTTGGAAGAAATTATACAGCCTTACGTTTCTGATAATTTATCTTTTCTTATCTAGATAAGGAGAGCAACGGTCATGGGAAAGCAAAATACATCTATTTATCTAAAATGTTAATATCAACAATATAGCTTATAGAGAGAGCATAACCTATTTTTTTGTTATTCTAATCGATTGAATTATTTTTATTTATTTAGATGAAATTGACACGATTATTCATGATTTAGCAGAAAATATTCGTAATATTGAACAGTTATATTTACAATTAAACGAAAACGAACGTTTCACACTTGATCATCAAGTTCGTCATTTTCGTATTGAAATTGATCGTGAAATGAATGAATTTCATAGACTTCGTGAACAATATATAGCTCTTCCTTCAGAGAATACTTTATCGATAAACGAAACAAATGATAATAATAATAGTAGTAGTATCGAAGAAAATACTACATCAAATCAACTTCGTCAAAGACATGTTACAACAAATCGTCTAAATGATTCCTATGATTTACTTGAACAAGATTTAGCTCATTTACGTGAAGCAATCGATGAAGTTGCTACAATTATTGCACAACAAGATAAACTATTATCAAGAACAGAACAAATAAAAAATATAGCTCAATATCGTGTTCGAAATGTATCTTCATTGTTTCAAAAAGCTATTCATAATCGATATATAACAATAGCATCAGGTGCGTTACTTGGTGCTACAATCGGTGGACCGGTAGGTTTTATGATGGGTGCAAAAGCTGGTACATTAGTTGCATTAAGTGGCTCAGCTGTTGGGGCTCTTTCAATGAATATCATGCAACAAAGAGCATCTGAAAATGAAGAATCTGAATATAATACTACGGCTTATAATCAAGCTATGCTTTGAGTTGAAAGTTTTGTGTTTCTTTAATATGAATATAAAATATTCATATTTATATATTTATTTTTTTATTGTATTATGGTATTTTTAAAATATATGTGTGTATGTATAATTGGTTAAATGTTACAGTTAAATTTTGTCTTAGTTGGTGTATCAAATAGATATATTTATTAATATATAAATGATTCTTTTTTTCTATCATTTAATGCACTGCTATGCTGTTATATGTGTTCTGATTTTTAATATAGTGATCTCATTATTTAGAGAAAAAATTCTATTTGTCATTATTCACTGTTTTACATATGTATGTGTTCAGTAGCCAAATCGTTAGGAATGAGAAGAAAAAGAAACACTAAGAAAGAAAGAGCGAGAGAAAAGAAAGACAAGCAATATGTCTGTCTGTTTGTTGCCATCGTGAGCGCAGCAACCAAACAAACATCTAGAATGTATTTTGTTGCCGGCCACATCTTCGTCTCCTCGGTGATTCTCTTTGCATTTTTTTCTCTTCTTCTTCTTATTCTTCTCTCTCTCACACACATTAGCCATGTCCGTTCGTCTGCTATTTTTTCTGCTGCTGCGATGGTGATGTGATATGTGTGTGCATATAGTCTCTCCTTTTTTTTTCGTTTCAGTCGTCGTTGCCGACGTCGTCTAACAACGCACACACACACATAACACAACACACTCTTTCCAGTTGTATCCACTTCATCTTTTCTCTCGTTTTCTCTTTTTTTTTTCTCGCTTGCTATTTAAAAGGAGAAACTCAGTTCAAAATTGCCTCTCATTCTTCGCTGTAGACGTACAAATTCGCTCGTCGTCGTCGTCGTCGTCGTTAACAAATATCCATACACACTTTGAACATTAATTAAAAAAATAATACAAAGTAAAATTTGTTTAAAAAAGTATTTAAAATAAAGAAATGAAATTAAAATTTTTTTAATAGATGCGTGAATGTATCTCAATCCATGTCGGCCAAGCCGGTGTTCAAATTGGTAATGCTTGTTGGGAACTCTACTGTTTAGAACATGGTATCCAACCTGACGGTCAAATGCCATCAGATAAAACCATTGGAGGTGGTGATGATTCATTCAATACCTTCTTCAGTGAAACTGGTGCTGGTAAACATGTTCCACGTGCTGTTTTCGTTGATTTAGAACCAACTGTCATCGGTAACATATTAAATATATATTATTAGAAGAAATATATATATGTATATATTTTATTAATCTCTGATTATAGATGAAGTACGTACAGGTACATACCGACAACTTTTCCATCCTGAACAACTCATTACTGGAAAGGAAGATGCTGGTAAGATTTGATGAAAGAAAATTTAATTTTTAATAAATTTAAATAATTATTTTTTTTTCTAGCCAACAATTATGCTCGTGGTCATTATACCATTGGAAAGGAAATTGTTGATCTTGTACTCGATCGTATACGTAAATTAGCCGATCAATGTACTGGTCTTCAAGGTTTCCTTATTTTCCACAGCTTTGGTGGTGGTACTGGATCAGGTTTCACATCATTATTGATGGAACGACTTAGTGTTGATTATGGTAAAAAATCAAAACTTGAATTTGCTGTTTATCCAGCTCCTCAAATTTCAACTGCTGTTGTTGAACCATACAACTCAATTCTTACAACACATACAACACTTGAACATTCGGATTGTGCCTTTATGGTCGATAATGGTTTGTATTTTTATAAATATTTATTTGAGAAATTATAATAATGAATCTTTTGTTTTTTCTTTTAGAGGCCATCTACGATATTTGCCGTCGTAATTTAGATATCGAACGACCGACATATACCAACTTAAATCGACTTATTGCTCAAATTGTTAGTTCAATTACAGCTTCCCTTCGATTCGATGGTGCACTCAATGTCGATCTTACTGAATTTCAAACTAATTTGGTACCATATCCACGTATTCACTTTCCACTCGCTACTTATGCACCAATTATCAGCGGTATGTAAAATTTAATTTATTAACAAAAAAAAACAATAAATAATTTTATTTTGTTTTTATTATAGCTGAAAAAGCTTATCATGAACAATTAACCGTTGCTGAAATCACCAATGCCGTTTTTGAACCAGCCAATCAAATGGTTAAATGTGATCCTCGTCATGGTAAATACATGGCCTGTTGTTTATTATATCGTGGTGATGTTGTACCAAAAGATGTCAATGCAGCTATTGCTACCATCAAAACCAAACGTACTATCCAATTTGTTGACTGGTGTCCAACTGGATTTAAAGTCGGTATTAACTACCAACCACCAACAGTTGTTCCAGGTGGTGATTTAGCTAAAGTTCAACGTGCTGTCTGCATGTTATCAAACACCACTGCTATTGCCGGTATGTTGGATGAATATATCTAGAGAATAATATTTTCATCTATTATTATTTTCATTTTTCTAGAGGCTTGGGCTCGTCTTGATCACAAATTTGATTTAATGTACGCTAAACGTGCTTTTGTTCACTGGTATGTCGGTGAAGGTATGGAAGAAGGTGAATTCTCAGAAGCTCGTGAAGATTTAGCTGCATTGGAAAAAGATTACGAAGAAGTTGGTGTTGATTCAGTTGAAGTATGTTTTGTTTTTCTTTTAAAAAAATTCTTATGTATACTTATATTTGTTTCTCTATTGTTTAGGGTGAAGGCGAAGGTGAAGGCGAAGAATATTAAACGAGCGAAAAATAATAATATTTCAAAGCACAACAACCATACTAAACATTTCAATATCTTATCATGTACTTTTCTTCTTATTTTCTTCTGTATCTTATTTTCTCCACTAATTCGACAACATACAAAAGATCTCTATATAATTCAATGTAATTCTTACTTTTTTTTTCTTACTTTTTTTTCTTACTGTGCTTCGCCTGTAACAACAAACAACAAAAAAAAAAGAACTTAATAAACAAATGATGCACTTTACTCATAATGCAATAGTTTTTATAAAAGAGAAAAAAGATCAGACAGAATAACAACAACAACGACAACAATAAAATATGTCAAGATTAATCAGATTTTTTTCTAGAAGATCGTTGTAAATTAAAAGCTAATGGATTTTGTCGTCGAGTATTCTTTGTATAAGTACCAAATGGTACTTGAATATTTTGTTCAATTGAACGTTGAGATTTTGGCGGAAGATTATATTCATCAATAGACATATGAGATGTTCGTCCAGCAGAATTATTTTTAATATTTGCTGATGATATTCGTTCTCCACTTAAAGTTGTTGCTCGTTCATCAGCTCGACTACTACTACTCTTATTTCCTTTTAAAATATCATCATCAGTTAAAGTTTCACCATTGTGTGGCAACCATTGAGAGAATACACTAGGCGCACCAGATGCAGCAGCATTAGAAAATTGTTGAGAAATATATGTAAATAAACCATTGCTAGTTGCTTGACCACGACGTGTTAATGTATCTGGTGATCGATTTTCAACTGCAGAAGATAATTTATTATGAATTATATGTTGTTGATCACCAGTACCGATAACAAAATGTGATTGTTGTAATGGAAGATTATGATCACTTTCAGTATGTTTCTTAAAAAGACCTGTTCGACTAGATGATTTTATCAATTGACGATTATTTTTGAGATCATTATGATGATGTACTACAATAAGGAAATGACATAAGTTTCAGAAAATATTATTCATATTTACTTCGTTCATTATCTGGTACAGTAATAGGTTTTTGTTCAATTGATTTTTCCCAATCATATATATCATCATCATGAAAACCTAGTCTTTGTATTGATGAATTAAATAAAGATCGAAGAAAGTCATAATCAGGTTTATCATCATAATTTAATTCATTAATATGTTCAAGAAATTTATTAAATTCATCAGGTAAATTTGTTAAAAAACGAGTATAATCATATGTTTCCTATTCAATATTTTTTATATAATAACAACGTAAAAATTAACATACTTTGATATGTCCAACACTTTCCTTGTCTTTAATTTTTGACCATGGTAATGAACCAATAAGAAATTCAATTAACATATAAAAAAAACTCCATAAATCATCATGTCGACCTAATTCTCGATTATTATGTGCATTAACAGATGCATATCGAATTGTTCCTTTGATAGATAATATAACTAAAATGTATTCTACTAAATAGACATACCTCGAAAACCTGCTTCTATACGAGCTGGTCTAACATGTTGATCATAATCTGTATATTTTCTAGCAAGACCAAAATCAAGAATAAATATTTGTCGAACATTTTTTCTTCCTATAGCAAAATTTGATGGTTTAATATCACGATGAAGAAAACCAATTGAATGAATTGATTCAATTGCTTGTAAAATTTGTAAACTAATACGAAGTGTAGTTGATAATGTAAAGCATTGTTCTTTTAAATTTTTTCGTAATTCACTAAGACTTGAACCAAGTAATGTCATAACCATATAATTATATAATGTTGATATACCACCAGAAAATAATTCACATACATGTTCACGATTTTGTATACGTCGTAAAACAGTTACTTCCATTCGAATACCTTGTCTTGGTTGAGAATTTGATTCAACTTTAACAGCAACTAATTCTCGACGTAATTTATCATATGCTTGATAGATTTGTCCAAAACCTCCACCACCTATTTTTTGTGTTATTCGCCATCTTGATTTAATTAAATCACCTTTTATTAAGATATCAGAATCCGACATTCATTCAATACAAGATGAATTAATATCAAACTTGTAATCATTGATAGAAAATAAACTCAAGTTTCATTCGTACAATATTATTGACTATTATAAGAGATTAAAAATAGATGAAACAAACTAAACTTAAAAAAATATGCATATTTATTTTTATTAAATATATTCATTGTTTAGCGCCTTTGAAATATAATTGACAAATTTTACTGTTCTGAGTTTTTTATTTTTATATAATTTTTCTGGTTCAGAAAATTAAGTTGATTTACAGTGAAAAAAACAATACAAATAATTATTGGTCATTTAACATGACACGAAATAATATATCGAAATATTTCTCATGAAGTTGTAAACTATAGCAAAGAATTCTTTAGATGATTAAAATAAATTTTAAAGAACTGAATATTTTGAGTAGGGTGCCGTTGGTCGGAAGTTACTAGAGTAGTGTGGACACATAAATAGTAAGTGTTACTACTCTAGTAACTTTCGACAAAATATTTTTCGACGAAAAATCTTCGACTAATAGCCCATTCGACGAAAAATCTTTCGATATTCGACGAAAAGTCATTCGACTAACGGCTACTTCCCCGTTTGCACGCAACGAAAAAAAGGGACAATGATAAAGTCTATTTTTTAACGCAAAGCAGCGCAGTTAGTTGGTTTTTTCCTTTTCTTATCATTTTCTTTTTAACTAATTTATATTCTTTCACATCCACAGCTCTTTAGTTTTCTTATCTTCTCTGAAACTTGGTGGGTTGCTTTACTTTCACTCACAAACTAAAAGAAAAGGTTGCCCAACTAAAAAATGATCTTTGAATATTTTCCTGATGAACTTATTCTTCGTATCTTTTGTTATCTTCATAAATTCGATCTATTCTATGCATTCACAAAACTCAATCGAAGATTTGAACAAATTATTACACCATATTTGTACGATATCGATCTAGCTCGTGGTCGCCGACCTTTTAATCGGCATTTTACATTGCTATGCCAAAATATCCTTCCATCAAACGGTGATAAAGTTAGATCAGTCAAATTAGCTGGACTGGAACAATTAAAACTTTTTCGACCACACATACGTCAGCTAACTAATCTGCAATCACTTACCATTCACGATGATAACCGGGACTATTTTCATGAGGCCGATGAGCTAGATCAGTTTTTAATTGAAGCTCTATCAACGACTACTTTGTTGGAACTTTCTGTTTTTGCTGCACCACCGTCCGTGTCTGAAGTGATTGCTTCCTCTGCATCAAACCATTTGACTACACTAACTTTAATCTTCCAGCAAGGTTTTCGGTACTGTGACGACATGGTACCAATGGCCAGCATAAAGTATCTTTCTATTAACTTAAACTCGGTCGAAATACTAGTAAAGCTCTTTGAAATAATGCCGTATTTAGAAGAATTGAATTTATACTTTGGTCATTTTGTTGAATGGCAAAAGTTAAAACGTCTAGAAATTCCGCATACGCTAAAGCAATTGCAGTTAACTCTTGGAGAATACAATACGTCGGCCTCACACGTACATTTCATAGCAACAAAGGAATTGCTCGGGTTGTTCAGATGCCATCTTCGATCATTGACACTGATTATTATAAACGGAGCGCAAGAATTTTCCAATTCGAACAAACTACAAAGTCTGGTAAAAGATTTCACTCGTCTCGAAACATTTCAGTATTACATTAATACAACTTATCAACCTGACTCACTCTTTCCAAACTTTGAACAAATGGAGGACTCAAATTACATCATATACACTGTGCCTAAATTGAATCCATTTGAAACCCCATTCAAACTTCGATTTTTTCGCCCAAAGCTTAATTCTGATCTCACTATAAATGCTTTATTTAATGGCACTGAACTTTGGATTGAGAAAGATATTCACGGCCGCCCTCCGGCACCACCAACATTCACATTAAAGAGTGATCTGAAACTTGTCAACTTGCACAGCATTGCATTTTTTTATCCAATTGAAGAAATGACACGTAACATATACCAATACGCATCGCATATTATAGCTCAGGCGCCCAACTTAACTCATTTGAAAATACACTCTGGTAAAGATACTAGGGATTTAATCGAACATATATATAGAGTGGCGCCCTCAAAACAATTGAAAAAAGTCACAGCTTTTACAGTTTGGCTGGAACACACTGGTGAAAATGGTCTATTTCATTCTACAGTTTTCTTTTATCTATCAAAAATTATGATGAATTTACAAATTCTCGAAATTAGTATTCCGTCAACAGCCATGAACGTCTGTTTAGCATCATTGGATCAGCTGATACGTGATTTGCGAAAATATTTTGGGAAATTAACTTATTTGAAAATATCGACATGGTTATCGACGGATGAAGAGCAAAAGGCAGTTAACAGTTACAAGAATCATTTGTTCGAAATAAGTCAACAGACAGGTAGCTGGGTGTTCTATACAACTCAAACTGAGAAGAAAGAGGTAACCAAGTATCGCTGTCTAAAAATATGGTTGTAATAAATAATAGTCAATGCATTGACCTGAACTATTCACTTATTTATCAGGTAGACACAAAATGAAAAATCCTCTATTGACAGTTTAAGAAAAAAGCCACGTAATGTATATAATGAAGTCAGGGTGTGGGTGTGGATGTAGATCAAGAAGAAACACATACATTTTGAGGGTGTAAGTGTAGTCGTGAGTGGGTGAGGCATGGTTCTAACGTTTACCTACATCCAAATCCATCCCATCCACCTCTTCTAATTCATCCGTTGCTGATGATGTCATTAAACCAACTATGGACTGCCTTTGAAAGAATAGCATCATCTAAAGAGCTAACAACAGATGACATTCATTTCAGCTAGTATTTAAATAATCAGTAAAATAGACTGATGATCCGTAAATTGTATGACTAATCAGTAATTTACTTAAGTGATCAAATATTACTATAATTAGGTTCGTCAATATAACTATATAAAAATCAGTAAATTAAATTAAAAGATTAGCATAAAAAACGAAATGTGTTAGGATGTGATTGCCTTTTTGTTTCATTCTATTGGTCTGTCCAAGCTTGCCAGGATCACCGTCATCGATATATTCAAGTTATAAGCTCAGATAAATTCTTGAAGACATAACGAAACGTAGATCTTTTTCTATAATTATATAGTCTGTTAAGAGTAATATTCGTTTATACAAAATATTTGAAAATAAGTATCTGCAATCCATTTTATTTGTGTGATTGATTTTTACAAAAACAATTGTGACTACGAAAGTTAAGAATACTTTTCTGAGTGATTTTAATATTGCTCTACACAATGGTGATAATTGAGTTGACCAGCTTCGTCTATCAATGTATGTAATTACGTTGCCAGACCGATCATAATACATTTCTATACCATTTAATTGAAATTTTTAAACGTTTAAGTACAAAAATATATAAAATATGCTAAGAGAAAAATTAAAAGTTCATATTCATATGTAGATCTACACTTTTTTATGCCGAACTTGATTTCTTGATATTTATTATGTATACAGAAGCAAAGAAATAAGTGAAAGTTTTCATCATTTGCTTTGATTATTCAGATATAAATTCAGAATTTCAGTTTCTTACTTACAAATCAAAATTCTATTTATACAAAAAAAATTTAGAATCATTATTTATCTTTAAAAAATATTTACAGTTGTATTATTCAGCTTTAATTTATCGAAGATTTCATATGATTTACTATTACTATTATGAATCGACAGTGTTTATCTGTGAGAGAGAAATCATCTATCCAAAAGAAATAAAATTTTCTTTTGACTTTTTTTTTCTTGTTTTAATTTAATTTCAAATAACAAAAAACAATCTTTTGTTTATTTAACATTTTTACGACCAAACAAACGTTTAGAAGTATTACGTTCACGTTTCTTTTCTAAAAATTCACCAACTTTATCTTTTTTCTTATGAGATTTTGTCGATACTTCAAGACCACTTCCAAATTCAGAGATATGACTGAAATTACGATAGCGTGGTCGAAATTTGGGATTATTTGATAGTGGTAAACGATCAAAAATACTTTTCGTTTCAGATTTTATTGGTTCTGGTAGTGGTTCGTCAAGTGGATCGATTGTTTCATCTCTAGAAAAAAAGAACGATCGATGATAATAATATTTATGAGTATAATAAATAATTTAATTTACTCCTTTGATTTTATCTTTCGCTTAATTTTTGATGAAGCAAAAGTTCCTGTTCGTTCTTTGATATTATGATTATTTGATTCATCTGGTAAGTCTCTCAAACCAAAACTTTTAGCAACATGACCACGATGTAAATTTTTTACATGAAATAAATATTTCCATTCACGAGCAAATGATGCATAATATCGAATAAATGAAAGATAAGCTAAAAAAAAAGAAAAATAGAAGAGGGAAAATAGAAAGCGAGGTGATTAACAAACCTTGTCGTGCTTCTTCTGTACGTTCCCCAGATCCATTGACATATTCTTCAAAATGATGATGTAAGGAGCTTGCGCATTGTTCAGCTGTTCTTGGGACAACAGTCTAAAGATAATCAAAGATTTTCAATAATAAGTAAACAAAAAGAAGAACTTACTCGAGTTTCAAAATGTTGTTTTAACTTATTGCAACTGAACATAAGTGTTTCAAGAACATCATCAGGCGAAATATTTTTCAAACTAAAAACATTTTTCTAAATTTATCATTTATAAATATCTTTTTTTTGTTACCTCATTTTATATTTATCTTGTAATGTCGCAACATATTCTGCTTCATTTGGTAAAAGAAAAATCAATGAACAACCAATAGAACCTACATAAAATCTATTAGAGATAGGATTAAATAAATCAATCAACAAACCAAGTCGAGCAGTTCGTCCAATTCTATGAATATAATCAATTGGACTTGTTGGATGATATTGTAAAATCCATGTTACACTTGGTAAATCAAGACCACGTGCAGCAACATTAGTACATAATAAAATTCCCTGAGTTAATTTACCAAATTCATTAAAAACACTTGTTCGTTCCTAGAAATAAAAATTTCTTCAAAATTTCTTTTTATTAAACAAACAAACAAACAAACATGATGTGTCATATCTCCTTGTAATTTTAATAATTTAATTGGTTGATCTAATAAATGTCCAAATTGTAAATCACCCTGTTCATCCTCATCATCGTCTTTTTCACCATTTAAAATTGTATTTAAAAGATCATAATGAAAACGAACAAGTTCATTGGTTGCCAAAAATAAAAGTATTTTTGCTTCGTTTTTTTTCTTTTTATAAAATAAATTAAAATTAAAAGAAAGAAAAATTCAATAAACTTACATTAGCTTGTAAAATTTTTAATAAAAATGCAATTAATGTAACAAAACGTAATTTACTTGGTACAATCATAAACATTTGTGTTAATGTTTTTGGTACTGTTATAGCACTTTCATCGTTAAATTCTTCGGAAATATCAATATGAAGTGACTTCTTATTTAAATTTATATCAACAAAATTTGTTAAAGCTATAAAAATATAAATTGATGTATTTCTCTTTTCTATTTTTTCAAAAAACAAACCTGAAGTTGGTGTAGCTGATAAAAGAACACGTTGAAAATGTTTATCATTATCATCATTATGTTTTGTTATTGTTTCAATAATCTTTTTTATTGCATCAGCAAAACCCATATCAAGCATTCTAATATGAAAATAATTAGACAAAAAGTAAAAATGAAAATATATTTCTACTTGTCAGCTTCATCAAATATTAGAAATTGTATATTTTTAAATGATAATGATTGCGTATTCTCAATATGATCTGTTAAACGACCCGGCGTTGATATGAGAATATTTAAACCACGACGTAATCTGTTTGTAAAAATCAATTTATTAGATTTGATATTTATAAATAGAGAATTTGTATTTACCTTTTCTTTTCATGATTTCGATTTGAACCACCCACGAGTGGAGAACAAACAATACGAACAAATGATGTTAGTACTTTTTGAAATACTTCATAAGTTTGTTGAACAAGCTAATGTAAAAAATATTATTTAAGTAAAACAAAACGAAAGATATTCGTTTACTTCTTTAGTTGGAACAAGTACAATGGCTATTGGACCAGTTTCTCGTCGTACTAATGGTTCTATTGATTGTATTCGATGAATTATTGGTATAACATAAGCAAGTGTTTTACCTAGAGATTAAATTGAATTAATATTGAATTTTTTTGTTTTGTTTAACTTTACTTACCACTACCAGTTTGAGATTTAATTATAACATCTTCACCCGTGAGAATAGCTGGAATTGATTTCTCTTGAACATTTGTTAAACGATTTATATTAAATTTTTGTTTTAAACATCCAATCTATTAGTAAATAGTTACTTAATCATATCATTTATTTCTCTCTAGTTTTTAAATTTTAGTTTACTTACGATATGAGGATGTACTGGCATTTTATCTAACGATGATGCTGAACCAAATATTTCTTCATTTGCTGTTTCTACATGTTTTCTAAAATAAATTTCTTGGTATTACTAAAAAATTCATATATTATTTATACGTACTCATCAATCTCAGGTATTGTTGGATTATTAGAGAATAGAGAAGATCGGTTCGATGTTTTCATTTCTCGTCCTTGACATAAATCAAGTTTGACACGTTCATTCTGTTTTTTCTTTTTTGTATTTGAATCAATTACATTAGAATCTTGTTCGTCTTCGGTATCATGTTTACGTTTCTATAATATATATAAAACTTTTTGTTGTAAACATAAAATAAAATCTTTTAACATACAACTGATTTTTTTCCTAATACTTTAGATCTTGTTGGTGTTGGTTCGCTCGTAATATTTAATAATAAATTATTATCCTCCATATCTGCAAGACAAGAAAAAAAAACTATCTCAAGACATTATATTTTATATTTCTTTTGAATGTATAGAGAAAAAAAAGATTGTTTATGCAAAATAAATTACAATATAGTTCACAACTATTCGTTTCGCTTGACTAGATGTGCCCTATTGACAAAGAATAATGCACAATAAGCGTATATACAAAGCAAGAATAAATAAAAAATCTTTTTTTTTTAACAAGAACATCCTGCTGGTGCATCATCCGAATGATCATTATCAGTTGGTCGAATTGATGCTTCAGTTTTATCCCATAATGATGGTGTTTCGATGATCTAAATAATGAAAATTATATTGAATTTTATATTTGTCTAATTTTACTTTTTCAACAAGTTCTTTAAAAGCAACTTGTACTCCTTCACAGGTTCGTGCTGAAGCTTCAATGAATAGCATTGAATGTTTACGTGCAAATCTATCACCTTCATCATATGTTATCTCACGACTATCTTTCTGATCAATTTTATTTCCAACAAGCATTTTAATCGGATCTGTTTTTGTTGAAAATGTATCTAATTCTGAAATCCATCTAAAAATAAATCAATTCAAATAAAATATACTGTTGTCTATTTAATTTTGAATACCAACCGATCCAATTGTCGAAATGATTGACGATTGCAGACATCATAGACAAGAATTGCACCTTGAGCACCTCTGAACAAACAATTATTTTGACAATATTTAGATTTAGAATAGATTTTACCGATAATCTAAAAATATATAAAAATATATTATTTATATGGCTAAAATAAAAAATACTTACAGCCAGGTGTTAATGTACGAAATCGTTCTTGTCCTGCTGTGTCCTATAAATAAAAATAAACAATTGATAAACTAAAACAATAAAGATTAACGAAAATTTCAACTATTTTCTCTAAATATTTTAATACTTCATATATTTACCCAAATAGCCAATTTAACGCGATTATCATTGATTTCTAATTGTTTAACTAAATTAAAATTGTTGTTTTTGATATTAATTTCACTTGAGTTTCTTATTAAAATTTTACCTTTAAAATCAACTCCAATTGTTGCGGCCATATCTTCATCAAATGTATTATCAGTAAATCGTAAAAGAAGACTACTTTTACCAACACCTGATTCTCCAATAATAAGAACTTTTAATGTAGTTAAAATCTGAGCATCGTCACTACTCATGATTACTAATTAATTAAATTATAGAAATAAATATCTAAAATAAACTTAGTTTGAATTATCACAAGATTGAAGAACAAATTTTTTTTTTTTGCTAAACCGAAAAGATTCTCTTTCAAACTATGTAAAAAAAAAACGTATGCACAAAGCATATCCAAAAAATACCATCGTATACCAATAAAAATAATTGCTCGGTATATTGTATGAAAAATTTTATAAGATTGGTAAAAATCTATCTATTGGATGTAATTCGTAATATTTCTTTTGAATTATGATAGATGTCGATAGAATTATTTTAATTGGTTAGATACGATCGTCAAGAGGAATTGATGAATCATTGAAAATTTTATCATAGTGTACACTATTGATATCGAACTAGACAAATTATTCGCTGAAATGATGAAATATTAAAATACTGTATATAAAATATAAGAAAAGAGTTGATTTTGTTTCAGTTTCTAAACAAAAAGAAGACAGAATGGAAACAGTAATTCCTGTTGAATGGCTTATTCCACATAAGATAGCTAATGGATGGAAGTTTCAATGTTCTACAAATCTTCGTAATCTTGTAGCTACTAATCGAGCAGCTTTGTTCTTTCGTCAACTTGTTATACTTCTTGAACAAGATTATCATTTAGTCAATTTCCATTTTAAAATTCAACATAATCGTAAAAAGATTGATCAATTAGAAATATTTGTTTTTTGTGGTGATGATCATATTGAACAAGAGCCAGAACCTGTATCTATCTGTAGTTCATGTGATGTAACTCATCCATTAAGTCAATCTACATTATTATCTGAACAACAATATACGTATGCATGGCTTGATTTTCGTAATCGACCAAAGCTTATTTTAACACCAAAACGTCATATTGAACGTTTATCTGAATTAAAAGATGAAAATGGAGAAATGGAAGCATTTTGGTATGATACTGTTGAGATTATCGATAGAGAATGTGATAATATAAATGAATTAATCTATCCAGTATTATCACTTAATCATGGAACATTTCGAAAACATGCACATATGCATTTAAAAATTGATATTTCAAAAGATATTTGGGAAACAAAAATAGTACCGCGGCATAAAGAAAAACTTGATTATCTTGAACAATTATTGAAACAAACAGAACTGATTAGTGCTTGTTTTACTGAACGGCATTTACAACAAGAAATACAAAAAGGTGTAATTGGAAATATGAATAATGAGTTGAAACAAACGGATGTTCAAACTAAATCTATTTCAAAATAATTTAAATTCTTTTACTTTCTGAATAATAAATCTTTTCAGTTTCAAACAATTCTATGAAATAGACGAAAGTTAATGTGAATCAACATAAAGTCTATTAGGTCCTATCACAGGATTCTCACACCACATTCACACCCAAATCAACTACGGACTGCCTTTGAGGAATATGTATGTATGTTGTCTTAATGAGATCTTATGAATGGGGAGATTGGAAGAAGTAGACCAATATTATCGACTCCTCATTTCCTTAATTTAATACCATTACACTTCTTTTTGTGGGGGCATCTCAAAACAACAGTTCAAAATCTAGATGATTTGAACAATAGAATAACTTGACATATCGATTTAATTAAAATAAAACAACTTTTCATAATGTTCTTTCGAAATAGTAAAATATCAACATTTTTTATTGATGTCAAAGATAATACTTATAAACGTGACTTGTAGGGAAAAGACTTTCTATTCCTCACTATAAAATTAAAAAAAATTAGGGTGGGGTGTGCGTATGGGTGTGGGCGTGTGTATGAGTGAGTGTAGGTATGGGCACTGTATTCACCTAGTACCCATACGCACACCCACACAACAATGAACAAATCAAAAGTTATGAATATTTCAATAGGTACTACTTGAAAGAAGCGAAAAAAATGCATTCTCAATCTTGAAATATAAAAAAAGTCAAAAACTACGCATATTATAATATATAATATTTAAAACTACATAATCAGATAGTTGATCTAGTCATTATCTAGTGATTTGTTGATAGGATAATTAAAAATAGAATCAGTTGTGTCACTATAAAGTTTTATCTTATATTAAACTCATTTAAAATCAGTAGTACAAATCTAATTATATATTAAGTGATGACTAACCAAAATTAATCAAGAAAATCATATGTTTGAATATTCAATAAAATTTTATTTATTTAATTAGGACAGAAAAAAAACAATAAATGAAAAATACTTATTATACAGATGGTAGCAGTGGTTAGTTATTGCAACGTGCTTAAAGGAGAATTAAAAGAAAACAACTTAAATAAACCAATAGATTTATGTTGATATCATTTTAATCGTACTATCTTTCTATTTCTTTCATTCGAACAAAATCAAATGACATATTGATTATTAAGCTAACCTTTTTAATACTATAGAAATCAAGATATCATCTATATAATTATGGGAATCAAATCAAATATAATCAATGTATTATTTATTTCGATTCTTATTGATTTTTTGGAATTCACTATTATATTACCATTATTACCAAAAATTTTAACTTATTATGGTAGTCAAGTTGATGCTAATCATGTAAGATAATTGAGAAAAAAAATATTTGATTTTCTTATTTTTGTATATATATAAAGGATACACTTTATCATAAGACAATGTCATTTGTTCAATTTATTCGAGATTTAACTGGAGCACCTAACGATGCCAAATGGAATTCAGTTTTATTTGGTGGTAAGATAATATAGAAACTTGAATTCTTATATTATTAAAACTTTTCTAGGTATTATTGGTTCACTTTTTTCTCTTCTACAATTTTTTTCATCAACTTTATGTGGTATTGCATCTGATCGTTATGGTCGTAAATCAGTACTTCTTTTTTCTATGGTATAAACAGATTAATATATATATCATAGTTTCTATTTTATTTCTTATTGTTTTAGATCGGCATATCACTTTCATATGCTTTGTGGTGTGTTTCATTTAATTTAACAATTTTTATGTTAGCACGTGTTGTTAGTGGACTTTCCAAAGCTAATGTTGCTATTATATTAGCTATAGTATCAGATACAACGACTGAAAAAGAACGAAATCGAGCAATGGTTAATATATCTAATTATTTGTATTTATTGAAAAATAACTTTATATTTTATTTGTTAAGGCATGGATTGGCGCTGCATTTTCACTCGGCTTTATTTTTGGTCCATTACTTGGTGCTTTTTGTAGTCAATTAGCTATTATTTATTGGCCAGCATCATCAGTTAGCTTTTTTATTCTTCCTGCTTGTGTATCACTTGTTTTATCATTGATTAATATTGGATTTATTATTAAATTTTGTCCAGAAACATTACCAATTTCAAAACGAGTTTGTCATTTTTTTGTTTCTTTTTCAAATAATATTTTCTATATATAAAATATTTAATAGAATGAAACAAAAACAAGTATAACCGATGTTTATAATGCAATATTTCCTTGGCGTTTATTTAAATTTTCTACTATTCATAATATTAAATCAAAACATGGTTTGTAAAAGAAATCCGCTATATATTATTCATTCGTTTATTTTATTTAGATGTTACTATTTTACGTCGTCTTGGTGTTGCAAGTTTTTTATATATGATTGTATTTGCTGGTCTTGAATTTACAATTACTTTTCTTGTTTACAATCGATTCAATTGGAACAGGTATAGATTTTTTTTAAAAGAAAGAAAACTAATTTTAATTATGATATTGAATAGTATGCAACAAGGAAAAATGTTTTTTGTTATGGGTTTATGTATGGCCGTAGTACAAGGTGGTTATGTTAGACGAATACCTAATGGCAAAGAGATTACAGCAGCTATGACTGTAAGTTATTTATAATTGAAAAGAAATATATATAGAATAAGCCTTACAAAACGAATAGAATCTACATCTGAATAAAATTTTAAGTTAAAAAATGTGAATTATACTGAGCAATTTCTTTGTACTAGCCAAGACAGGTTAATATAGTATCCAGCGATCCTTCAGAAAAAATTATGAACATAAATTTCGAAGAAAAAGTTTTCTTTTATTCAAAACAAAAACACTTATGTAAAGAAAAAACAGAATTAAACATCCGTAGGATCATGACTAAATTTATTAAAAGGAGCTTCATGAAGATTCATCACAATTTCATCATCTTCTCGTTGATGTTGATCCATTTCAGCTGCGTTTTCAACTAAATTAAGTCTATCCAATTTTTTATAACGTTGAATTGGTGCCAATAATGTAAATTTATTTTTTCGATAATAATATACTCCAGCAAAAATAATACCAACTAAACATGCACCTATTGCTATATATAAAATATAATATGCAAAAACATGTTTGCTCTTTTGTATAATCCAATCAATTCTTTTCTGAGTTATATAACGATTAAAACATTTATTAGGTTTAATTTGAATATTTTTCATTAACGTTCCATTTTGTTGCAACCAATTCGTATACATAAATATAAGATTATCGTATGATTTCGATTGTAAACAACGATTAGTTAATTCTTGACTATTATTAAAAATGAAAAATAAACGTAATGATGCTGTAAAAAAAGCTTTTGCTTCGATATTTTTTAATGGATTTCCTGTTAAATCAAGGATTTGTAAATTTGGTGATTGAAATGCATATTTTTCAATACGATTTATTTGATTCCATGATAAATTAATTTCATAGAGACTAATTAAATTTTCATGAAATGTATATGATCGTATAATTCGTATTGAATTTGATTGTAAATTAATTGTACGTAAATATCGACTAGTTAAATTTGAAAGTAAATATTTTAATGTATCAATTTTATTATATGATAAATCAATCAATGTTAATCTTTCTTTATTGATTAAAGAAAAGTTTTCAATTGTTTTTAAAGAATTATTTGAACATTTAAGTACATTTAATTCTAATATTTGTTCATTTAAAATTAAATTTTTTAAATTTTGATTTGAACAATCTAAATAATTTAATTTAATTTGTTCATTTAAATTTAATTCATATAAATAATTCCAACTTATATCTAACTGACGTATATCATTGGAATCCATTTGAAATGTATATAAATTAGTTCGAGAAATATTTAAAAAGAATTTCTCGGATGGAAAATCAAGTTCAATTGGAACATTGAATATATTACCAAACATTTGACCTTCATTATCACTATAATCAATATTTTTTGTTAATTTAAATAAATTTTTTAAACCATGTGATATATTAACTTTTTGACCATGAATTGTTGAACGTAAATTAATTGAATCATAAATTGTATCTCCATGCCAAGTAATGTTTTTCAATCGAATTGGATTGTAAGCTAATGATATATGACGAAGATTTGAAAATGTATTTATATCAATGGAATAAAAATTATTATTTGATAAATCAAGTTGACGTAATAGAGGAAAACGATCGTTTGTAAACCATTCAGGAAATTTGTCAAGTTCTAATGAACGTAAATATAAAGTAACTAATTGTTGACCATTTTCTGTTTTACATTTTAAAAAATGTTTTAAATGAATTTCAATATCATTATTTGATGTTGATTCAAATTGAATATTTGAAAAATCTAATATTGTTATTTGTTGAAATAAATCAAATAAACAATTTCCTTCAAGTTGTGTACCCATTTGAAAACGAGAATTTTGTAAATCAAGTTTACCAGATATTGTTCGAACACCATCAAATAATTTACTTGAATGAGAAAATGTATTTCCATTATAATTATTATTACTCAATATAAGATCTTGAAGTGTTGAAGAAATTGTATCTATCGGAAAAATAAACAAATTGGATTATTATAACATATAGAAATGAGAAAAGTATTTAAACGAAATCATTTTATGTGAATCATATTATTTTTGTAAATTTAATAGGGTACAAATTAAATGGTCAGTTTTTTATTCAAAATGATCTTGAGGGTGTGGGTGGATAAGAGATGGACGCTCACACCCACATCCACACCCTGATCGTGATTACTGACATTCGACATTATTTACTGATCACGCTATAAGAAAAACAACTGATCATTTAATTCGTACCCAATTTAATATACTTCTGCGTAATTATCTAAATATCATTGAGAATGAAAAGGTGAATATGAATGCTTAACCTTCCGGTAAATTTCATTTTGTTTTTATATGAAAATTTACGTAGAAGATCTATTTTAATAATATTTTATCTTCATAAATAATATTAGATCGTATTCTTTTTCATGTAGGTTAATTAGAGATAAAATATTCAAACATTTGAACAACTCATAGATTGATAAAATGAAAATTTTTTTATCTTGAATATATATTTCAAAAAGATAATATACCTGGTGTATTAAGACAAGTTTTATACATATCTGATCTGCTTAAATCAAGTACTTGAAGTTTGATAAGTGGACGAAAAATTTGTGAACAATCTTTTGGTATTTGTTGACAACATGAAGATAAATTTAATACTTTTAAATTGTCATACATTGTTGAATAGAATGAATTTGGTGTAAGAATAAATTTGTTTTGTTGATTGGTTAATGAAAGACTTCGAAGTTCAAATGAAAAACCAGTTAAATCAATAGTTTTATTTGTAAATTTTTTTAATGATAAAGAATTTGATAAATCAATTGAAATATCATAATCAGTTGTTATATCTTTATCATCATTTTGATTATTTATTTCATCGATATCAATTGACCATTGTTGAGCTTCATAAATAAGTTTATCATTATTTAAAGATACATTTGTACAATCCATAAGATAAGACATTCGAATAAAATCAGTATCATATGGATAAGTTGGTTTACAAATACAATCTCGTGGACAGGGAATTGAATGAACGATTGTTAAAAGAATTAACAACGTAAAAATTGAACTTACAGAAAGTTTCTTCATATATGTGTTCTTCGAGAAAAGAAATAATAGAAAGTGATTGTCGTCAACGCGTTTTCCTTATAAATAGTTATTATTGTTCGCTGGAAATTAACAGACGAACGAGCGAGAAAAATATTAAAAAAAAATAATCTGTTACTTTTTCTTTTTTTTTTCTTATTTGCTGTTTATATAGTGTGAAAGGATATGAGAGATAAAACAAGAAAAAAAAGAAAAAGAAAAGATAATAGTTCACCTTTCTCTTTTTTCCTCTACGCACTCTTTTACACAAACTTTACGTCAGTTGACTTTTGGTTATTCAAAGGACAATTCTCGTTTTTTTATCTTATTTATGACTATGTATTTATGACACATGAATTTATAACTGATTTCTTAATTGTATGTAACGGGAAAAAACATTTAAAAAACTGTATAATCATAATGATGTCATGTGATTTGGAATAAAATAATCTTATTACGTATACGATTAAGTGACTATTATGGAACTCATATACAGCTGTTCGTATAAAATAGATTATTTAACTATGATAATAAACATGTGATTTTAAATTGACTTTTCTTTTTGTACTATTGAATAAAAAATTTAAAGAAAAACAATTAATATTTACTCTAATCAGTTATTTTTATATTGGTCATTTGAATAGGGAATTACAATACTTATTCCATCGTTTATTATATTGGCTTTTGCTCAAACAAAATTTACGTTATGGTTTGGTTTAATACTCTTTTCTATTGGTAAACCGAACAAAAAAAACACGACCAATTTTCATTAATAAACTATTTCTTATCTTTATTTGAATTTTATTAGCTTCAAGTGTTGTAATCAATGTCATCAATAGTTTTGCATCAAAATACGGTTTGTAGAGAATTCTTTCTTTAATAAATAAATTCTTATTTATTTTTTATATCAAGGTTTACAAAGTGAAAAAGGTACTATTTTAGGAATATTCAGAAGTTTACAAGCACTTGCTCGAGCAATTGGTCCGTTAAGTGCATCATTTGGTAAAACTTAATTTCTTTTCCTTGAACTATAAATATCTTTCTTTTCTATATACAGCATACTGGTCTATTGGTGAAAAGACTACTTATCTAATTGGTAGTCTATTATTAATATGTCCTCTTATTCTTCTTTTCAATGTTCAATATAGTCTTAAACGTATACGTTCAACATCAAGAGACAATATTAATAAAATAAAGTCGAGTTGAATCAATAACGCTTCGATGATTTTAACATTGTTTTAATGAAAAGAAAAAAAAAAGTTTTTTGTTTTGATTTGTTTTATTCATATAAGAAATATATATATATGATATTGGTTTATGTTTTTTTTCTTCAAATACAGCTGGTATTCTTCTCGAGAATGATTTTTGTCTTGATATATGAATCAAAAAACGTGCACGAAATAATATCTACGCATTTTTTGTATTCTGTTCTGTATATGCGTGAATCGAGTAATGTTATAAAACATAACATGAAAACGAATGAAATCGATCAAGCGATACATAATTGACCGTTCGATTCATTGTTTATTTCGGTGGAGTTTGATATTTTATTAAAACTTGCTTTTTCTATCACGACAACTATCTTCTAGTGTATCAATTGTAGATTGACGATAGATCATCAGTAGTGTTTTTTTTATAACTGATTTTACTCAGATAAATAACACACGTTTATATTTAGATAATTTCTTCTATCCACATTAAAAATGTTAGTTTACTTACTACAAGTATTATTTGCTGCAATACGCACAGTTTCACGATCAGCTTTAAATATAATGTTATATTCTTTCTTATCGCGTATTTTTAAATTGTTTGGTTTTAATAGTTTAATAACGTTTTTTTGTTCGGCTTATTGTTTATCAAAAGTTACTAATTCTTTTCAACGTTTATGGTTAAATGCACGTTTAAATAATAAAAAACCAGAAGAAAAAATTACACCTAATGAACTTATATGGGAATCACCAACGACGATAGTAATGAAGTATGTACAAGATTTAATTCTTTTTCAAAAATTGAAATTCATTTTTTTAGTGAAGGAACAGATAATCAAGATAAATTTGAAACTGATTGGAAATATTTACTTGATGATGATGCCAAAAATATGTTTCCATCCATTGTTGATATTCCATTTAAAAATGGTTGGTTATTTTTTGCAACATTATATGCAATTGATTATCAAATGAATAGTTTAAATTATTCTTATGCAATGTCTGTAATTCGTACAATTGGCTTTTTAATTATATTAATATGTGGTGCATCTGTACGATATCAAACATTATATGAACGTGAAAAAAAGAAATATTTTGATTTTATGATTAAAAATCGTGATGAAATCGAACGTTATATTGTCTATTCAAAAAATAATACAAAACCTGTTGCATCAATTTGTTTACAAAGAATAAATGAATCTGAAACAATAATATTATATATGGTACAATTATTTCAATTAAATTCGAAATTTAATGATTATATTTATGATATAGAAAATTATATTTGTCAAAAATTATTTGAACAAATTAAAACATCTGCAGATGAAAATAAAAAATCTTTTCGTATTATTTGGTCGATTCCAACATGTAAACAAAATTGGAAATTTGCAATAACAGCAAATAAATTTATTTTAAGAAATACATATAAAGATTTTTCATTTATGCCATTAGTTAATTCATATATTGAACAATATGAATATGCTTATGACTATAAAGATTTATTATCATCAGAAAATATTATTGATGATAAAATTAAAAATGAATAAAAAAAAATCATAGGTTCTTTTTTTTGTTTTTGTTTTTTAATTAATAAATAAAGAAAAAAGTTTTTGTTTTACTTTAAATAGTTATTATTTTTCATACTTGATAAAATAATCATAAAAATTCATAAGATTAAAATTCTATTATTTATACATACAAAGTTTGATCTGCATAATCTTAGAATCATTTGTGTGCATCGTAATATATAAGACGAAATGACCTTGTTTATATAAAAGATATAGTACAGTTTGAAGTGAGTATACTGAATCGAAGTAAACTGTTTAACCTCTAACGATAGAATAATCGACAAGTCTAAACATAATTTAATCACGTAACATAGAAAAGATAAAATAAATACAGAAACGCAAGAGTAAAATACTGGTTTGTTACATGATAATTCACTCAAGTAAAGTAACTTGACTTGTCCAATAGCTATTTTGTATCAGTTTAAGAATTTCATTACCATTGAATTTATATTTGTGGAAGTATGTATTTCCGCCATCATCCTCATGCTGATCACGTGCTTATTCTTTTCATCGCCTCCGCATAAGTAATATAGAACATCGTGTACCGTAGGAGACTCTGATAAATCCTAGTAGAATCCTATCAAAAGTATCGATAAAGGTTAATATAAACTGAATTATTTTGTCAATCATTTATGTCATTTCAGTTAACTATTTATTTTATAAAGTGCCACAAGGACATAGAATAATTTGATTATATAAATTATGTTCCTACAAACAGGAATTTATCATCGCATGAAGATATGAATAATTGTAGAGACGATGAAAAAAAACAAATTTAGATTTTACCAAAAGAGAATATGTATACTCTCTAGTGAAATAGTGACGTCATTATACAGAATCATTTTTGAATAAATGGACTATTTTGGTAGACATAAGTGATATTAAGACTTGAATAGTATTATACAGGAGAACAACTTATATAAAATTATAAGATATTTATTTTATATCAACTATTTCTACTAGGTATTCTTTTATTTGACAAAAATGAATCATCGATTTCAACTTTAAATCAATTCGAATTGTGCATTATCTATATACATATGAGTACATGCATAATAATAGTAATAAGTTCAAAGATAATATAATATTCATTTACACTTGTGTACAGATTTTATTATTATTTAAATTAACGGTTGTTGATGATCTGGAATGCGAAATTTCTGGTCGAGGTGGTGGTAGAGGCGGTGTTCTTGGATTTAATTCAGATGAATTTTTTCGTCGTGGTAAGGGATCTGTATTTCCTATTGATTCGATTTCTTTTGTAATAATTTTTGGTCGTAAATTTGTCATTGAAATTGATTGTGCAGTTGGATTATCATTTGATTTTGTAGCTAACATACCTGTTCGATCTTTTCGTTGTGTTGTTAATTTTTTTGGTAAAACAGGTATTTGCTTTTGTTGTTCATTAAAATGAGCTAATCGTTGTCGTTTCCTATGTTCAATAATAATAACACAAACACGATATAATTGTAAGACAACAACAAGTAAATTTTTTGTTGTAAAAAATACATTTGATTGTGAAATAATTTGATAATGAATTATTAAACCAAGACGAAGGCAAAGAAATGGACCATCTTGTAAAAGAATTGTACTTGAAAGTGCCTATATTAAAATAAATATTTTTTTGTTTTTATAAAAGAATATATAATCGATATTGTTTTACCCATAATTCTGTTTCCCAAAATAACTGACAAGTAAAACATTTTTCAAGTTCTTTTAAATTTTTTTTTTTACGTGTCTTTGTCGATGTTACAACAAGTGTAAATTGCATTAAACTTATGGACCAAGCTGCTAATATAAGATGAATAATTGTTAAATTACGTTGAACACCAACTTCTTTAAATGCTTCAAATAATTCAATGATATCCGCTATTAAATAATATGAATAAAACCTTCAAGAAAAAAGAGAAGTAAATCTTACCAGCTGTACCAATATAAACAAGTAATAATTGGGACAATTGATCACGTGTCATCGTTTTCCCAACAGGTAATAACCAACGTCCAATAATTAAAACAAGAAGAAGAGTTTGTTCAACAATTTGTGTCCACATTTCAGCTGGAATTTTCCATGGAACAAGCTAAATAAAAATAACAAAATTTTTAATAGAAAAAAAATTCTGATCTAAAAAAAATAATTTACTGGTAATGAATCATCGTTATCAAATGATTGACCTGTTGAAACTAATCCAAGTGCTTGAGTTACATTAATTTTTGTTCGTCTTTCAGCTAAATCAAGTTCAAGAAACCATACACTTGGTATAACTGTACATAAATAAAAAAATACAGATGGACAAAACCTAAAAATAATTAACATAGATTATGACAGATATGTACATTAAAATAATATATATGATTACCATTTCCATTCATGACCATTATTCATATAAAGTGTAACAAAGAACTCGACTGGGATACCAAAAAGTCTATAAATAGAAAGAGATACGAGTTAAATTTGTATAAAAACGAGTACATCATGTTTATTACGTTATAGCTTGAAACCAATATTTGTTTTGTTTATAGACTAAAGCTACACGCCAAATAGCTGCAATACCATGTATGGCAAATATAATTCGAGCAGCTGCAGCAGCCGTAACAGCAAGAAATTCAGACATAAACCACTAATTAAAAAGAAAAGTTACGAAATGTATCAGTATCTGATATTTAATTAGATTAATTAATTAATTAAAATTAAGACTATATACAACACATAGAAGAAGAAGAAGAAGGATTTAATATTTGATTGAATTACGACATGTTACTTACGAAATGTATTACTTACCTGAATATCTCTAATACGAGTACGAAAATTTGGTTTTCTAACCATAGTACCATTTGAATAAGAATACTTAAATTATCAAATACTATTTTTTGAATACATACGAAATTAATACTAATAATGAAATATTTCTGTGAATGTTATCATACTCAAAATATTTTCAATATACGAATAAATATAAAAAACCTTTTTTCTTTGTGTCAAATAATAAACTGATTAATAGGAAAAATACTGCTTAGCTAATTTGACGATAGATAAAGATTTTACATACCTTGGCACGTGTAAATAATGAATTATCTTTTGGATTTGGTGGTAGATTAGGAGGACTAACACCTACTTTTCCTTGTTCAGGTGTCTGTTCATGTACAAAGTATTTGCGTCGTGCCATTTCAGTTTTTTACATACATTTATTAACTAGTGTGCGCTATGTATATATATCTCTATGTATATTCGTTGTTATATGCTTGTTAGCAGGCAAACATTAGCTGGTTCCAGTCGAGCATGCTTAGCTCGCGTAATGTTGTTCTAACAACGAGTGTCAAGAAAGACACAATCTCTCCCTCTCTCTCTCTCTCGCTCTTTTTTTTGTCGTTTGTATACTTTCTGTAATATCGAGTCGGTTATGAATACAAGAACATACTTAGTTGAATGACGGCACCCTACAATTATGATCGACTATTGTAAAGATACGGTTACTGTCGTATGATTTCCGAAACAAGAATAAAAAGAATTGTTAGGCAATAATTTCCTTTTTTTTTCTTCTTCTTTTATTTATTTTCATAAAGATTATTGAACATATTGTCACATATGTTCGATGAACAGATGGTGAACAAAATAACTTACTGACAATTGAGATACTTGTTTGTCCTCAAATAAATCTTGATCAATAGGTTGAAAAGTTGTTGATATTGTCCCTCGACGTGCTGGCATAATTCCAGGTATTGATATCAATTAAAATTTAATGCTTGATATATATAATTTTATTTTTTGTTCGTTACGCTAATTTACATGGAATAATACGATATTATCAGTAAACGATGAAAGACAAAGAAGAAGAAGAAGAAGTAGAAACAGATCGCACGTACATTCATTGATGTAATAAGGAAGACAATAGTATACAATATAATGCCATACTTTACATTTTTGTGTCGCGTACAAATAAAGAACAAATAATCGACTAGATGGGAAAACGTGATCATACTAGAGCAATTGGTGATTGATTGATTGAATCGTTTAAATGATTGTGAGAATAATTTGCATTCAGTTAATTACTCATCTAAATATCACATTGCTTAGCTGATGTGAATTTTCGACTGTCATTCTATTCATATCATTTAGAAATACATAAATTTGAATTATGGTTCTTAATGTAAGATTGATAAATTATTTTCTTACTTATCTATAAATTTTTTGCAACGAAAAAGATACAAATATTGAATAAATTTGATTTGAATTAGACTCACAGATTAAGAGTTAACGTATTAATACAATAAAACTGTGGACTACTCAATACACACGATTTATTCATTATATGAAGGACAAATGAAGAGTAATACTGAACGAAATCACAACTTTTTTTTATGCAATATCCAGGTAGCGTCTCCATTTAATAGTAATGATGGTTAGAAGAAAACTATCTTTAGAATGTTTAAGAGATTATCTTGTGTTTTGATCAAATCATAGTAGTAGAATTAACAATATGTGACAGATTTATTTATATTAAGATACACAAAAAAATATATATATGGATCGCTTTGTAGATTTTTGATAGTAATTGTATTACGTCATAGTGAGAAACATATAAAGAAGCTTGAACTACGGCTATATGTAACTATCGAAATTTTCCATGGTTAATTATTTTTCTGTCTATGAATCATAGATAATATACTTGAAATTTTGAACTAAATTATATTTAAATTTCATGCTATATTTTTAACTTTTATAATATATATAAACATCGAACTATGTCTATCTCTCTTTAATTATTCAAATCTTCTTGAATTAATTTATATTTTAACTATACATATGCATACCTGTTCTGCTTGAATTACTTTAAAATAATTATTAATGCGTAATATATTCAATTTATTTAATAATGATAAATCTTAATTCGATTTTAGTAACAAAAAAAAACTTGTTGAATAATTTATTGGAAAACATCAGAAAAGAAAAAAAAGAATATTTTTAGATATTTATTATGATACATAGCATTAGTTGATATATCATAGTATAATTCAATGGTAGCCTATTTCTGACAGGAATATTGATCACCATGGTTGATAACATTTATCATTAACTGTCCAAGTCATGCGCACAATTTATAGACGATGATCCAAAACAGAAAGTTATGAAAATACTTTGACTAGTTTTTTTTTTGATAGCATCATTCATAATGTATTTCTGTTATTTAATGCACTCAAGTGTTTTTCTTTTTATAATGTAAAGTCAAACCTTTTAACATCTAAGTATATAATTAATATTTATAAGTACATAATCATTTTATCGTTCTCATGTTCGAACACTGCACAAAATCGAGCATCGACAACTTTTTTTTTTGTTTTGACAACGACTGTTTGTTATACGCAAGTAATAATCATAAAAATGAGGAAAAAAAAATAAAATTACAAATAAAAAACGATTTATGATTTTAAAAATATTCAATTAAGTCATAGTTTTACTCCAATTAATAGGATTATCACTTAATATAACACGTTCAACATGCCATTGATGTGCACGATTCCATCGATCATATTCCCATTTATTTTCCATTAACTAGAAAAGAAAAGAATATTAATTATATATGTACGGAAGTATTGTTATTCATATATATATATATTTCTTTTCTGTACCTCTTTATTTTTAGCAGTAAATTGAAATAAAAACTGAGCTTGTTGTTTTTGTTTTTGTTTGTATGTTTCTATATCTTGTCGATCCTGTTCAATAATTGATTGACATTCACGACTTTTTCTTGCTTGTTCATTTTTATCGCTTTGAGTTTTTTCTTCCATTTGTCCTTTAAGTGTTGATCGAATATGTTTACTTAATAAAAAAATAATAAAAACAACTATATATATATATATTGCCTGAATATGATTCATACATACTTATATGTTTCTCGTTCAGTTATTTGTGAATAGGGATAAACTGTATATTGTATATGTTCTTTATTCCATTGTTTCTGTTGCATAGCTCGCACTCGTCGATAATTATGATAATGTCTATCTTCTGTTTCGAATCCTGTTGACATTTTATATGGTTCATCCGGTCGACTAGCAGTAATTCGTTGTGATGGTATATAATGATCATATTGATGACGTATATCATCACGTTTTACAGGTTCCCATAAATAATCATAGTCAGGAGGTTCACGAATTAATGGTTTCCATATTGCATTATGTGCTTGTGCACCAATAGTTTTAGGATGTGGTAATTGTTTTAATGTTTCATCAGATCGAGGAAAGATTTTTATCTTAGGTGTTCGTACACGTGATGGTGATAGTGATATACGCTTAGGTGCTGATGGTAATTTATTTGAATTATATGATGAATCAAGCGATTGTTGACATGGTGAAACATTAGTTTCAGTTACACGAGGAAGTGTTTGTATTCTTGATGATTGAGATACATCAATTGAATGTAAAGGAGTTGCTTTTATATCAAGAAATGGTAAAATAGTCATTGTCATTCAAAATACATTTCAATTGACTTTCAATGTTTTCTAATGCGTTAGCTAATTTATATATATAAGAAGTTTACTACTATAATGTTAAAAGTCACCAAAATACATCACATTACTATACTTTTCTTCTTCTTCTTCTTCTTTTTTTCACTTTTCTCTACAATTATTTTTTTTCTTAAATGTTAACAAAGGCGAGGATAGAAAAGTGTTTTATTTGTTATACAAATAGATGTTGTTCACATAGGCTGCTTAAGAAAGCAGAAAAGAGAAATAAAAAGGTTTCACTTATCACCCGATAAGATTCTTCGAACATAGAAATTTCTCAAGGGTAAACTAATGTGGATTACAATTATTGCCATTTTTTTTGCTTATGATGAAGAAGAAGAAGAATAATAGTCATTTTAGGTGCCAAGATAGTTCTTTTATTTTGATAATTATTGAACGCTTAAAAAAAAGGTTTACACACGATTTTTCATAAAATTGTTAATAATAATAAAAAAAGAGAAAAGAAAGTCATTGTCGATGAAGAAAAATAAATACGTAGACAATGATGATATTTGTATTTATTTAGCCTGTCATCAATTTGAAGAATTCTATTTAAATGAATAAAATAAAATATTAATTAATTAAATAAAAAATATTTATTTCAAACCTTCATAATCAACAGTGCCTGAACCATCCTCATCGACTTCTGAAATAATTTGTTCAACTTCATCTTCAGGCATGTCGGGATCAAGTGCCTTAAAGATCATTTTCAAATCTGCTACCTAAATTTTTAATGAGATATATCCGATAATACTCATTATTTAATAAATCCTTACATCGATAACACCACGACTGTTTTTATCGAATACACGAAATACTTCACGTAATTCTCGTTCATCTTCAGCTTCTTTTGTTTTTTTGATCATTAAAGCAAGAAATTCCTCCTAAACACGAACAATATAAAACCTTTCATTCTCTATTTTATATATATGTATACATACAAAATCAACAGTACCACTACCTATAAATAAAAGAAATAGATAATTTATAGGATAGAAATATTTATATATAACATACCGTCACCATCAACAGCATCAATACAGTCAGCTAATTGATCGGGTTTTAAATTATGTCCGAGATTTTTCATAACTGTACCAAGAATTGATGTTGGAATTTCACCTTTCTTTTCTTTATCATAATTATTAAATGCATCCCGAATTTCTGCAAGTTGATCTTCACTCAATTGAAATTCTTGTTCTTCTTCAGCCTAGAAATTCAAAAATATTCATTTAAATTTATACTATCACTCCTAAATAAATACGTCTTTACTTACCATAATATCTATATATATCTATGTATTGGTTAGTCGTAGCAAAAAGAACGTATTATTTGGCAAATATCTACTGATGCCTTCTAAAGTACAATCTCTCTAAACAAGCCGAAAAGGAAAAAAAAGAAAGAGAGAAAGATAGGCGGCACTAAATTGTTTGTTTTCCTATAAATAATAACCCAAGAAAATTCTTTATACGTATATTTCTCTTGGTACCAAATGTGTACTAGGAACAAGCGAATGGTTAACTGTACATTTGTCGAGAAAAAGAAGAGGAGAAAAAAAAAGTATGTTGTCGGAAAAACAAGAGAAATGTTTCTGCGCACATCATGTTAGGGCATATATATCTACATAAGCGGATATCAACGAGTGAAATAAACCGCTAGTATATGGTACCAATATTATGTTAGACAAAGAACAAACGACGAACGTCGCTTTTCTTGTACACAAAAGAAACAAAGACGAAGAAGAAGAAAAAAAAGGAGAAGAAGAGACTGGAAAGAAAATGCGTAGGATATGCCCACATAAGAAGATGGATAGATGGTAGTATATTTGGGCTGATAACGATGACAAAAATAGCATGCTTAAAAGACAATTCCTGGATTTTTACTTAAATAAACAAATTATTTCCTTTTTCTCTTTTTTTTCAATCAATACAGTTAATTAAAATAAAAATTTCTTAATATAAACTATTTTATCTATAACATTACTATCAATTTCAATCAGCAAGATCAATATCGTTTCACAAGGATCATATCAAATTTTTGTTTCTTTTTCAGTTTTCTCCTCATATTTCATATAAGTTCATAGTGTGTTATAAATTAAACAATTCAAATATATAGATCTATACAAATGACTAGTTATTTCAATTATAGTTGTCTATTGAATAGAATACTGATTATAAAATATAAAGTGTCCATTTCGTTCTTTTAACAATGCAATAGAACAACAATCTAATAAAGGGTATAAAGCATTTTATATATCTATAGATATATCTATATAGGAAAAAAGAATTGTTGTGTTGTGGCTGTCGTCTGTTAAGATGATGAGAGTAGACTTATGTTCGCTATCCTATGAGTTCTGTTAATCGTCGTATGATGCGCCAACGCACATGCATTCAACAAATTTCCGCTCTCCGCTTATGGTATTCGGTCCTCCAACGATTGAGACGCGCATTAATATAACTTAAGCAATAGAGAGACGGATACATAGAGAGAAATACATACATATATATAGGAGAGAGAGAGAAGAAATTCTAGTAACAACGAAATCAACTACATAAATAGAGATAGAACAAACCAACATAAAAACACATACACAGTATCACAACAAGATTTTGGAGAGCAGCTGGAATAGAAATATATATATTTTTTTCATTTCTGCTTCATTGTTTCATCAACGATCGTGTAACAAATCTAATTTCTTATTTGTGTCTTTTTTTTTTGTTCTTCTTCTCCTCTCACTTATTCATTCATTCATGTTCGATATTGTTATTGTCAACTATAACTATCAAGATTACTGATGACAATGCGAACAAATTCTGTTTCTATTGAACAAGATAATAGTATGTAGTCATTGATATTCATAAATATTTGCAACATGTTTTTCTTGTATTGTTTTAAAAAGAACTTAAAGAAGCTTTTGCTTTATTTGATCGAGTTGGTAGTGGTGTAATTCGAACAAAAGATCTTGAACATGTTATGCATTCAATTGGATATCAGGCAACATCAGCTGAATTGGAACGAATGATACGAGAAGTTGATCTAGATGGTTAGTTTAATTCTATTATATATAGGAAATGAATATTTATTTGAATTTGTTTTTTAGGCGATGGTCTTATAAATTTTAATGAATTTAAATTAATGATGAATCATAAAGGTGAAAATCGATTAGAAATATTTAATGATGAACTTCTTAATGAAGCATTTCGTATATTTGATAAAGATGGAAATGGTTTTATTACTGAAATAGGACTTCGTTCTGTAATGAGTAATCTCGGTAATAGAAGATTTCTTTTTAGTTTAACGCAGAATAAAAACAATCAACTTTTTAAATTCATTTTCTAGGTGAACAATTAACCGATGATGAAATCAATGATATGATTCGAGAAGCAGATTTAGATGGAAATCGTCGAGTAGATTATGCTGAATTTTCAGCATTAGTTCGTCGTCTTCTTCAAATAGAAAATCATTCAACAACTTTAATGGCAGTCAATAGCACAGGCGCATATGAAGGTCGAGGAATAATTCCATTTATAGATGATGATACTGAAGAAGATATTATTAATCAAACGAATACTAAGAATAGAAAATAAAAACAAACATTATATTTATATTCAAGTGTCTGATTACAAAAAAATCAAGCGCTAAAAATAAGCTCAAATACTTTCTTTTTAGTTTTAGTTTATTTCATTCTTCTTCTTCTTCTTTTTTTTTATATAAGATAATTCAATGCGCTTAAAAAAAGTTATTTTTGATAATGAAACATTTTTTCTGTTGTTGTTGTATAACATCCAAACGAATTTTGCTCAGATATGAAACGATTACTTCAATATTAATATATATGTTTGTAACTAACTATGTTTTATTTATTGAAAAGAAAAAAGAAAGAAAGAAAGAAAGAATTGTTTTATACATAATATAATAAATATTTATGAGAAAGGTAATCGTTTTAAAAGTACATCGGTATCAATATCCATAGGTAAATCACCAAAAATTGCACCACGATTAGGTCCAAGACGTGATGAACAAAAAGCATCACTGACTGTTTGTGGTAGACGACGAACAAGTAAACCAGCTTGAAGACATAAAGCTAATTGTGTAGCTAATGTTCTTGCATGACGTTCAAGTGCATTGGCTGAGAGATCTTTTGATAAGAGAGTTTTTTCAACACGTTCTAATGCAGCATCTAAATGTTTATTAGAACCTTTAGTTTCATGCATAAATGATAGATATGCTTGAAGTGATTCAGGTGATTTTTTCATTGAACGTAATATATCCAAACAAATAACATTTCCACTACCTTCCCTAAAAAAACGAAAGACAAGAAAAAAATGACGAATAATGGATAAATTTAGTCTTTTTTTACCAAATACTATTGAGTGGTGCTTCACGATATATGCGAGGCATCATAGATTCTTCAACATATCCAGCTCCACCGAGACATTCTAATGCTTCATATGTTGTTTCTGGTGTTCGTTTACATATCCAAAATTTTGCTAACGCTGTAGCAATACGAGCTAATGCTCGTATTTCGCCAGTATTATTTGAATGAATATTATTATATGTAGCATCGAAAAGTGTAGCAAGATACATAACAAGAGCAGTAGCTGCTTCAGATTCAAGTAATAAATCAATTAAAACTTGTTTCATTAATGGTTGATCAATTAATAAATGACCAAAAGCTTTACGATGACGAGCATGCCAAGTTGCCTAATGTTAAAAAGAAAAATAATAATTGATTTTTATAAAAAAATATCTTACTTGAACTAAAGCTTGTCGCATTAATGCAGCACTTGAAGTTGCACTATCTAAACGTGTACCACTAATCATTTCGATGATAACTTTAACACCTTCATGTTCTTTTCCCAATAACCACTAGGAACATTTTTTTTACATAATCTTTATAATTAAAAATTAATATCTACTTACAGCTTGAGTATTATTAAATTCTATTTCGCTTGATGCATTCGAACGATTACCAAGTTTATCTTTTAATCGTTGAATATAAAATGGATTACGTTCACCATTTGGTAACCAACGTGGAACAAAAAAACAAGATGGTACACTATTAGATGATGATGATTGATCAAGATTTGTATCATCATGAATTTGAGCAAGAACAAGAAAGCCATCACTCATTGGTGCTGAACAAAACCATCTAGTAGATAACACAAAAAAGAAACATTCAATTTTATTATTTATATATTTATTTAAGATTTCTTATTTTCATACTTATGTCCAATGAGAATATAACGTTTTTCTTCTGCACTATCGCAATAAGCTTTTGTTGAATTTGCTCGAACATCACTACCACCTTGTTTTTCAGTTAATGCCATTCCTAAAAGAAAAATATGAATAAATCTTGAATAATAAAATAAATCTACTCTTAACCAATTGTTAATCCAGATTTAACATTAGCTGGTAAACAACGTCGATCATATTTACGAGATAAGATTCTATCTAATGGAAAACTTTCTGCTAGTTTTTTATTTGCACCATGAAGATAACGATGAAGAACTGGATAACCAGAATAAGTCATTGATAATGGACAACAAACACCTGATTCAACTTGTGTAAGAATATATAATCCTGCCTTGGAACCAAAAAGTTTATGACTTTATACACATAATATTGTAATTAGTCAAGCACTTACAGTATGTTGTAAATGTCCATGTGCATTAATACTTGTTGTAGAACCTGGTAATGGTTCCCAAGCAACTGAATGAACCTAAGAAATCCAAAAATAAAATATATAAAAATCGATCCTATTCTATTGCTTGTCAGAAAGTGAGAAAGTGTCGACTGTTCAATGATAAGTTTACATAGATCAGAACTAGGAAGATTCTACATGATTACTACTTTCATAATTAGTCTTGTTATTCTTTTCTATAACTCACTCCATATCTCATTCCAACTGCCATAAGATCATGATAAACAGGATGAAATCGGACTTCATCAATACGTTGTCCATAACGATCAAATTGTTGTAATGTTGGTGGATATCGATTAGCTATATGACCTTGTTCAGACCAATGAAAAGTACCTAATTCAGCACCCATATCTTTAATTTTTCCATGATTTTCTTTTGTGACAAATTCACGTAATGCTAAATCATTTTTATATAAATCATTGTATTCAAGTGGTGGAACTTGATTTGTAACTTTATGAGTAAATTGTTGAATTAATGGTCGTCGTGGAGGAGTATATGAATTACTTGATGATTGATATTCATTTGTTGTATCTTTTTGGTCATTTTTATTGTCATTATTAACAGTAACTTTTGATTGTGTTACAACAGTTCGTTGCAATAAAGATTGATTAAGAAATGAAAGACGAGGGCGAAGCATGATTTATTAGTTTCTAGAAACAGATAGATCTTTTTTCATAAGCAATCATCATTAGTTATATGAATATCAGGTCAACTTTTACTCTATCGCTGGTTGAAATACTATTTTATCAGTCATTGAAATAGTGTTTGAAGTTATTAAACAATTGTCAAAATTAACTGAAAGGGACAGAAAAATAGTATAACAAAGGATATAAATATTTGTTATGTAGTACATGTTACTACTATATTATTTTATTTTATAGTATTTCGTCGTTGTAAAAAGATAAGAACAAGTAAAAACAAGAAGATGTATCGTACCTTGCTTTTAAATTTGTTTCATCAACGAATACAGCTGATTAGTATATTGAAAATGTCCAGTCATATTAGCATAATATTGTTTTTGTTGTTGACTAGTAGATGTCGTATAATGACAGTTATTGATTTTCTCGTACGAACGCATAATATACATAAATAATCTATGGATTGATATATACACTCTTTTAATTTTGATTTTAAAGTATGATTATAGATAGAAAAACACGTCTTAAAATATTATTGTATGTAACGGGCGTTGCAAGATATTTACAATGCTGTTTATTTAGAATATATATATATATATTGTAACAAACATATCGAAATATTTTGATACTACTTCAAATCATAAGATCTCATGCTTTGATGCCTTTTTTTAAATGATATAATATTTCCACTAGTTATTAACCGTGAAAACGATGATATCATAATTAAATCTATCAATTGCAATAATGATACGATTCAATTGTTTCCGCTTGAATAGTATTCATTCATATTACATAATTTTCTAAAGAATACAATAAGTCACATTAAATTGCAAATAAATATTAAACATTTTACAATCAAACAATTAAATTAGTATGGATTATTAAATACTCATTGAAGTGAAATAAGTGTACTATATTTCTTCATAGTATATGAAATCAGATGCAAAATATATTTTTACTCTTTGATTCAATATTGACAAGCTATAGAATATTATTATGTTTAACAGACAAATCAATATATGAAATATAAATCACATTCTCAAGGTAGCCATTTCTATAGATCAGAAAAAGAAATTCGTTTTCATTTAAGACTGTATTTTTTGAATAATAACAAATCAATTGTTTCTGTATATACTTTTTCTTTTTTTCGTTTTAATTCTTAATTATCAATTATAGAAAAAAAAGAGAAAAGAGAACCAGTCGAAGAAAAGAAAAACAGGTATGTATTGTAAATAATCGTTACAACAAATAACACAGATACAGTTAACATATACGAAATGACACTTGTTTGTCGTTTTTTTTTATTCGACTACTGTTCTTTTTTACCTCATTTTTAGATACAAATACACACGGAACAACAAAAGAATAAAGAACAACCCGATGTAAGAATGAATAAGATATAAATACAATGCAAATAGTCATTCGGTCATTTCGTCGTATATACGAAAAACAAATACAGATTGAAAGCAAAAAGAAAAAAAAGAAATAAAACAAAACATATATATATATAACTGTTCTTTCTCTTCCTAAATAAACATACACGCACGGGTAATAGGAACAAAGATTATGTTTTTTTTGTTTCTGAAAAATAAGTAATCAACACAAAAGCTTATTTATATGTATAACGAACAGCAAAAAAAGAAAAGAAAGGAAAGAGATCATAGATAAAAGAGACTGTTCATCAGATTCATCAACAAGCTGTACTCTATCGAAAGAAAACTGTTCTGTGTTTGTTTCGGTTGAATAAAAAAAGAAAAAGAAAAAAGAGAGAGAGACGAAAAAGAAAAGATCAACCAACCGGGTACACACAAGAGACAGTAAAAAATAGAAATAACCCGAATATAGGAATAGGTAAAAGAAAAGGTGGTGGATAATCCATAAAGAAAAAAATAATTTAAAGAAATACACACAACAAATGTAAAAAGAGAGACAACGGTATCTGAATAAACAAAAAAAAGAAAAGAAATGAAACTCAAGTTTGCTCGTATGATATTTGTTCATTTTCTTCAATAAGATCAATATCATCATCATCATCATCTTCTTCTTTTATACTTGTATCATTTTGTTCATCAATTATTTCTGCATATGATGAATAATCATCAGGTATCATTTCATCACTATCATCAATAAAATATTCATTTTTGATATCATTTGTAGATTTTCTATTTGATATCGTTGTATTTGTTTGTTGCTGTTGTTGTTGTTTAAATACAGCAAGAATTTGTGGATTATGTTCACAACGACGCATATGTTTTTCTAATGTACTTGCAACAGAAAATGGCATCGAACAATAACGACAATGAAATGCTTCATTACCACCACGACCATGAGTTTTCATATGACGTGTTAATTTAGATGATTGTGCACATGCATATGCACATAACTCACATTTATATGGTTTTTCTCCTAAGAAATAAATAAATAAATAATATAAATTATAGTTTTTGAGAAAAATAATTTCTACCTGTATGACTTCGTCGATGAACAGTTAGATTTGAACAATTTTTAAACACTTTTCCACAAAATTCACATGTATCATTTCGTCGATCACGTTTTATAAATCGTTGAGAACCAGGACTAGATACACGACCACCATTTATATTTACGTGATTTATTGTTCTTGATTGATGAGAATTATTTCCGTCAGGTGATGATTGAGAATGATCTAACAGAATTTGATCACCGGTATTATTATTAGGAGCAGCAGTATTATTACCGTTTGTTGTTGATAAATTAAGTACACTTGTAGAACATGGTGGTGTAGCCGATAATGATGGCGATGAACGTGTAGAAATTAAACCACCACCACCACTATCAATTAGTGAATCTAAATGAAACAATAAAGAATAAAAAGTTCATAGTTTTTTTTAAACTGAAATGGTTTTTTTTTCTTTACTTGATTGTGGTGATACAGAATTTTGTTGTACTGTTAAATCGACATCATTTGATGGTACAATTGATCGAAATGCTTGATGAAGCCATTGAAAATTTTCATTTGTAGAATCTGTACTAGTTGTCAAGAGTAACTCTGTTTTCTTTCGTCCTGTTGATCGATTATCACTCGCAGTAGATGAGTCATTTTTTACAGATATATTCAATTGCTGTTGTTGTTGTTGTGTAATACCATTTAGTAGTCTAGTTGGTTTACGTTGATGACGTTTTCGTTGTGACTGAGATAGTGGTTGTTGTATAGGTGTTTCACTTGTATTTATTTTAGTTTTATTTTGATGTGTTGATGTTCTTCGTTCATCTTCAGATGATGATAGATACATTGAATGTGTTGGTGATCCTGAAAGACGACGAGAAGAAATAGTTGATGATGGCAAAGATCGTTTCTGCTCAAGTTCATCACTTTGACCAGAATCAGTTGGTCCTCGTCGTCGTTTTTGACGTCGTGTATTATGACTGGTATCTTTTAAATAAAAATAATACTTAATCATCAGAAAATTTAATTCAAATAAAGAAATTTACCATTACGATTATGTACATTATTATCCGATTCATTTTCCGCCTGCAAATCAAGAAAAGAACAAGAATCATGATTAATGATCTGTTAAAAAGACAAAATAAAGAACTAACTCGAGATGTAGAAACATGTATTGCTTTTGGTGTAAGAAATTGTGTATCTGTTAACGATATTGTATCATTATTAGTTTTATCTCTCGTACATGTTTTATAAGATTGTTGTTTAGCTACTTCATTAAGTAATTTAGCTACAGAATTTGATTGATGAGCAACTTCTTGTAGTAAACTTGGATAAGAAGAATTAGGAATAGATGAGACAAGAGCCGATAATGGCATGTTAACCTTTGAATGGACACCTGTCGCTAGCGAACCACTATCAGTTGTTGTTCTTAACAATAAAGATTGTTGTTGTTGTGCTGATCGAGCAGCATTAGCTGCTGCAATCAATTGATTCGAAGCGAATGTTGTCGATGATGTGAGTGATCGATTCGATGAAGTAACATCTTTAAGTGCAGCTTCAAGTAAACTAAGATCTATACTAGGTATTGAAGAATCATTTGATAATAGACTATTATTTATCAATGGTATTGGATTATTATTATTAATTGAAGCATTTTCATTAAGACATGTACTATACATTTTTACACCATGTAAACGTTGATAATGTTGAATAAGATACCAAGCTATAGATAGATAAATATAATGATAAAATAAAATACAAATAAATTTTTATTTTATTCTCACCTGTACTATATACATCACCACATTGACTGCATTCAAAATTATAAGGTTCAACTATAAGAAAGTAGAAAAAAAAATTCATTATATAAAAAAAAGAAGAGAATTCTATAGCTTTTATTTACTGGCACTATTTAATGTATTGGCACTTGCATCGACGAGCACTTTTGGAAAGGTTGATTGTTTTTGTGATAAATGCTGATGACGAGTAGGATGAATATTATTTTCATTTTCATTTCCACTAGAATTGCCACTTTGTTGACTTTTATCTTCTTCATCATCATTGTCTTCATCATAATCATTATTATCATCATCATCATTGTCACCTTCTCTTTGTCGTTGTTGTGATAAAAAATATGGAATTTTACGTTTATTTTCTTTATTACCGCATATTGTCTTATGTTCAATAAATTTAACAATATCGGACAATTGAAAATCCTGTTGACAGCATCCACATACGAGCATATCGATAAATTTTATACGATTGTCATTAATTATTGAAGAACTATTATTATTATTATTATTATTATTATTACTGTTCATAGAAGACATCATTCCTAATGATGTTGTTTTCATTGGTACTCGTTTTGATAATGTATCATTGTTATTACTGTCGCTACCGCCGTTGGTCTTCATTATTGACATTAATCGATTAGTACTGTTGGCCATGGTCAGCAGTGGCTCAACAGTACCGTTGAGCATTCACTCTAGAAATAATAACTTATTGAATTATATAACTCTATTATCATTGACAATAGAATAAGAGATGCATACACATATATGCACATCTCGTCCATATATTAAATATAGGAAAATGACAATAACAACAATAGTAACAGGAAATGAAAGAGAGATCGACTATGAGAACTGTATATATATATTTTTGTTAAATGTAAAAACAAATTTTCTTTTACTCTATAGAATTGTCTTACATTTTACATGTAATAACATCCTGCATTACTAGATGATAAAATGAATACGAATAGACCGGTGTAAACGATGAGAAGGACACAAGTTCACCGTATTGGATAATAGCAAGTGAGTAAGTGTTCTGTCACACACGCATATACTATACATATATATATATATATATACATGCAAGCGTATGCACACACATATATGCGCATATATAAAGGAGAAATAGCCTTGTCCTTCGCATTGGATTAGATGATGGTTGTGCGAAGAAAGAATGGAGAAGGAGGACAAGAGCGAACGTTATATAGTCGTAGTCGCCATGACGTAAATTAGACATGCAATCATCTTTTACTCGCATTCTCTCTTTTTCCCCGCCCGTCGTCGACATCGGCGTCTCCCGTCTCGGACTCGTATGTCCGCCATATGGAAGAAAAAAAAAAGAGAAAGCGACAGGAGGACGACAAGAAAAGAAATAAGAAGAGGATGAAGAGTAGTAGAAGACGAAGAGAGTGTGAGAAAGAAAGAAAATCGTTCGGGCGTTGGTATTCAACACAACATTACCATCATCATCATCATCGTTCGTTGCAATAGTTGGTTGTTGATGAAATGGGAGTCCGCAGGCGAGCTACCCATCCGGCCTAAATCATCTTTCATGCATTATTTTCTTTTTTTTCTACTGATTTCTTCTTTTACTGAAAAAAAATATATACTAATGATGATATTTGAATGGGTCAGACCATATCTCACTTAGAATATTAGCAAAAATACGAACCTATCAAATGTCAACTCAATTAGATCATACATATTTTATCAATCGAAAGAAAACGAACAGATGACTTATGCTATTGCAGACGAGACATAATATATGTGTTATCGGGTCAGATGTTGATGTGACTTATTGAGACATAGATATGTGTTACATACTTAAAGCACATATATTTGAATAGTGCAGTCGTAGCCGTTGTCGTCAATGTAATATATATATATATATATATGTATATATACACGTATATTTGGTGGGTGAAGTGACCGTTAATGACGACGTTCTTTCTTCTACTCTCTTGTCCTCTACTCTCTTATTTTGTTATGTCCTTGTACACTGATTGTGTGCGTGTGTATGCATGTGTGCGGAAAGAGCGAGAGAGAGAGAGACAAAGACAGAGCGGGAGCTGAGAGCGGCGAACGGGCGAAGACGAAGTGAGGGGCAAGCAAAACGCGCGCTCGAGAAAGAGAGTAAAAAGGACAGGACACCACGAAGATGGAAAGAACGAGAGGAAAAAAAATGCATTACAATCAAACGGACGATTATTTGATGCTTTACCGTTGGTCGTCGTTCGGGTGTTGGTTGGTGATGGTGACGACGTTCTCTTCTCTTCTTCCTTTCTCGCATTACATTTCTCTCTCGCTCTCTTTTTTGCGTTGTATGCAACATCTGGTTTGTCCAGCCACATAACGTTGTCTGTTCTTCTTACTACCACCCGATTTTTTTTTGCCGTTCTTCTTTTTCTCCATGAAAAGACCAACGACAGCGACATACAATGTAACAACAACCCATTTTCTTTCATGATGATGATCATCATCATCATTGTCGTCGTCGTCAGATTTTCGAGAGCATACAGCACGTCCATCGAAAACGTGTTGAGTATGCATGATTAGATGTGTATTATATTCCATGCGTATTCATATATATATGTATATACATCTATATCTCATAATGTTCTTTGATAGAATTCTAAAATATATACTATCAAGGTCAAAATGACCGACAAGAAGATGTATATAAAATATCATTACATTTCTTATTAAAGAATATTTGTTGCTTATTAAGAAAAAAATAAAGAAAACGCTTCAACGAACGGACATAATAACGATGATGAAAGAGAAATTACCTTCTCCTTCGATTCACTGTTTGATTGGCCTTGTTGCCCGATCTAGTTGGCCTTTTGTATGTGCAACTCGTGCTCTTTTTCTTCTTACTCTTTTTTTTTTCTTTTTCTTCAACCACGCCGATGGTCGATAGCAATGGTGAAGTAATCCATGTAGATTAAATCAACATGAGTCGAACGAGCGAGCGAGCGAGCGAGAGAGAGGAAAAGGGAAGGCTCGACCAACACAAGCGAAGAAAGATAGAGAGAGAAATATCAAGACCGAGCAATGCAACTAAGCGCATGTGCACGACGGGGACACCTTCTATAGCCTTGCTTTGCATGTCTGTCTCTGTTTTCTCTCCTTTCTTTTTCTTACTTTACTCAATGCCTTTCGGTCTTCGATGACGGCGACAACATACACGCACATGCATACACACATAACGCACCAGCCGCCCAGTGTCTTGAACGCAATAAGAGTCTAAGTAATGGCGGACGAGCAAAACTTTTTTTCCTCCCGGTTTTTTCTCTTCATACTGATCTACTCGTCCGACGTTGACGCACAAATGCGAAGGACAACTCAACAAACACACACACACACACACACGCGCATAGGATATAGTGAGAGGATAAAGACAGAAGCAAACTAATCACGTAATCTACGCAAATGCAAACGCACTCGTGCGGGCATTACATTGAACGCCAATGGCCTTTCGTAAGAAAAAGAAAAAAAACGAGAGAATAAGAGTAGCAGCCTGTCGGTGTCGATTACAGATGAATACAAAAAAAAAAAAAAGAGAAAATGAGAGTGAACACAAATGTCGACATCATGTAGTTATATATGGGTGAAGTCAAGGGCATTATCGTTTTTTATAATGAACTTCTTTTCGCACACTTCAATATTGACCATCACTTAACATGATTCAATGTAAAATAAAAAATCAAATATTAAATGTTAGTATGTTTGACAAAGATATGATCTAATATGGACATTGCCCATTAAAATGATTTATCAAAGAATAAATTATTATAAAATGACATCATCATAAACATGATTTTATGAGATCAATGAAAGAATACGTAATAGACAATCATAAATATACATACAATCACTACAAAAGTTAATTAACTAAAATCATCGAACAGATTTCAACATTTTTTCTAAATCAATAATTTATTTTCGAAAGAATTATATATCAAACATATTGACGAATTTTGCAAAATTCTCAAGCAGATAAATTGTAATATATCAAAACATTAGTTTAACGATTTTTGATAAAATCAGATTAGTTTTATATTTGAAGAAAGTTAGATATATATATATAACAACTTGAGAAATAATTGAAATTGAACCAAAATTTTAGATAGATATTATTAAATGAGAGCAAATGTGTACATAATATCTATTTGTCATTAATTTCTTCTTCAGCAATACAATCTAATTGATTGAACTCAGCTGTTTGCCTATAGATGCTAAAGATTGACAGATGGCGTAATTCATCAATGATTGTTTTGTCCTAATTAAGACGCGATCATTTTTAATAATTGAATATTTTCTTAGATAAAATCTTTTAGAAGTCATATAAACAATGATTAATATATATATATAAATTTTATTCAAGAAAATTTTGTACATAATTTAGATAGTCAGTTTTTATTTCAACATAAGAAAGGTCTATTGATTATTGATGTATGATACCTAAAAGTTCACTTGAATATGATATAATCTCCAAATTTTTCATGAATCAAGGTAAAAAAGAAGTTGATTTAAGAAACTTTAAGGTTTTAAGAATCACAATAGAAATTTTTTTACCTAAAGGTCAATTAGACCTGACATAAGTTCTATAAGTATTACTTACGTATTTGAAAATAAGAAGAAACTTTTGTTTTAAAACAAAATAGTCTTCATTAAGATGCTCATTATTTAAACATGCCAATGCTACACAAGTATTTTTAATAATGTTATTTTCTCATCTATGAGCACGTCTAAAAGTTTCAAGATTACATATTTATCTTCTGTCATTGGACTAACGTAATACAATAATCTTTAGCCTTATTTTATCTTTATAAATAGACATCTTCATCAGTACATATCTAAACATCTATTTTTTAAAAAGCATATATAATCTGTTCATGAAATATATTTTACATAAAACTCTTACAAATATCAGAGTTAATATTCTACAAAAACAAATATTCTTTTAAAATTAAACATAAAAATCAATTATCATCAAGAAAATAAAGTTTTCCTTCGATGTATCTAACTGATATATATATGTATATATTATATATACTTAACACAAAAAATAAGCTTTACATATTCTATCGTTTATTAAAAAATTTGTTAAACAAAAACGATGCTTGAGAAAAATAATCACTTGTTAAACTGCTGTTGTTCGTGGTTCAAAATAAGCTGAAGCACGTTTCTTTTTTTGATTCAAAATTCGTTCAGTTATTGTACCACTATTAGGTAAATGTGACATAGAAGCATGTAACGAACGAAGTGTTATTGAACCTGATAATGGTCGTTGTTTTTGTTGATTAGATCCATTACTTACATGATTAATATGTTCAAAATTAATTGGTCCTGATATATCTGATTTTTTAACTGTACGAATTTTTGATAAACTTCGACAACGACGTAATTCATATTGTTGTTGTTCTTGTTCTTTATCTTGTTTACTTGATATTGTTCTTAAACGCGAATAACGACGTGGAACTTCTTTATTATTATTATTATTGTTATTATTTTGTTTTTGTTGTTGTTGTGGAGTACTACTATCAGCTGGTAAGGGTGGTGGATTTGCTAAATTCATACGTCGTTCATATTCTAATATTTCATAATAATGTCGAAAAAATAATCGACAAGCATCATTACGATCAAATTTAAATACAGCAAGCATATTCGATTCTGGTAACCAACATGTAATGTAATTTTCTTTAGGTAAACGTAATTCGGCTTTATCTGATATTAAACTTGACCATACGGCAAAACAACTTTCAGGCTGAGCAAGCATTAATCGAACTTGTCGTGTTCGTTTTAAATTAGCACCCTATATGAAAGAATTAATTTCTATTATTTAATATACATATCAAAACACAAACTGTATTATAAATCCATATAGGAACACCAACTTGTTGACATGACCAATCTTCAAAATTAGCTAATTGCCGTGTTGTTGTTATATAAAGATGAGCAATTGAACGAGCTGATTTAACTAATGTTCCAACACTACCATAGAACATTTCAAGACGTTTAACATCAACAATAATCGTATTTTCATCATTTTGTTGTTGTTGTTGTTGTTCATTTTCATGTGATGATATTCGTGATGAAAGTTCATTAATACCAATAATCGATGACGATGTTGATGTTGTTCTTGATGAACGATGAGATGATCCACGCTTATCGGTACTAATCGATGAAAGTCGCCGTGGTGCAATAGGTGGTTGACTATTTATATTATTGTTTGATACTGTAGGACGAATTCGATACATAACAGATGATGTTGAAGATGATATTGATGCTGGTGGATGTAATGAACGTGATGAATTATGATGCTGAAAATTGTTCAATGTCATGTCAGAAGTTTTACTTTCATTATTATTATTATCGCTGTTCAGTTGAGTATAGGATCGTTGATGAACCATCGGTTTAACAATACCAACTACAGCTTTAGTTTCATATCGTTGACGAAGATCATTAACATGAAATGATGAAGGACTTTGGGAAATTGAATCACAAATAATTGTTGATTTAGGCCGATCATAATTAGATAAGTACTGTGATAATGGTTGATAACAATTAATATAGTCTGGTGTATGTACTTGTTTAGATTGTTGTGAATAAGGAAAATAAACTGATGAAGAAATTTCTACAGCTGTAGGTTCATGTGATGGTAAATTAATAGTTGTCGGTGTATCAAGCGACCAACGGCTGTGGTCTACACGAAATGGACGAGCTGACCTATTTGTATAGGGAGTTATACGAGAATTATTGTACATTATTTACTTGTTACATCTAAAAAAAATTAAAATAAAATATAAGAAATATTTCTTGTAAAAATATTAAATATCTATATAAACTAGTTCAATGAAATCAGTAGATATATTACTTAAAAGATAGTTTATTAACATTGTACCATCATGAATTATGTAAAAAAAACGAAAGGACATAAATAGACATATGACACCAACTATCACATCAACATGGCAATCGATTCAAAGGAAGAACTTCCTTGACACATCATCTCATACAATGCATATGTGTACATAAGGGAGCAATAGATTAGACAAAGGCAAACTACGATGATTTTTGTATAGAAGCATAGTCATGTAGTATACCATTAAAGACAAAATATGTTTATAACGCTCCTATCAAGAATGACTGGTCAAACTAAATATGTTCAATATACATGTGCACAACAAAAAGAAGAAGAAAGAAGACGAATAATACTTTATCAATGTGACATACTCGATAACTGGTTTTTGTTTGGCACATTCATATGAGCATAGCAATTGACCATGCATGGACTGCTGAACATCAATATAACTATTGTATTCATTTTTTGTACGCTTGTGTCTAAGTAGACACAATACAACTCAAAAATACATTGTATAAGTACTTAACGAAGATAATAGTGTTCTTTGTTTCTTTCTATCTATCTTTGTTTCTTTCTTACTCGTTTTTTTCTTTTCCTGTCTATTGTTTTTTTGATGATAAACTACAAATGAAGATGTATGAAGAAAAGAAAAGAGAAGGAGACGAAGAAGAAGAAGAAGAAAAAAGAAAGTTTTGGTTATTTATTCATTTAATGAAATTGTTATCAAATATTTGATTTCTCTAATTTCTTTCATCCGTTGGCCGGTTGATTCTAATCGTTAAAACTGATAGATTTTTTCTTAATTTTACGATGTTGAATTATTACGTAAAAATGAGAAATCTCCGTTAACAGTAATGAGAACGATTGAATTAAAGAAAGAAAATGATGTAAGTAGTAACTTAACGGAAAGATTATCATACATATAAATATATATATATATATAAGAAGCAGATTGAGAATGAATAGTAGTCTAAAGAAAATAAAGACATCGAACATCATTGTTATGTTCTGTTCAATGCTTTAATTATCAGTCGTAAATATAAATGATGTAATTTTACAAAAAGTGTAAGAAGAAGAAGAAAAAAAGAAATTAGCTCTATTGTCGTCGACTTATTCTGATCAACCTTGGCACAGCAATGAACTGATAGAGAATGCCTGCGTGTGTCGCAAAGTAATTCGTCATCATTTTTTATCACCTCCTGACCTTGCCAACGTCATATGCAAAAGAGTGGAATCAGGCGACCAAGATTTTGTATATACACATATGTGTATATATATATATATAACGGACCATAAAGCATGTTCTTCATTTTCTCTATGTATTTATTCGCAGTCACCAATAGTGCTGAAGGGCATCTATACACTTTGCTTCCTTTACTTCCATCATCATTATCTTTCTTTACCTGTATAATTAGTATATTTGAGGTACTTACTCATACCAGTATTATTCAAAATGGTTACATTGAACTACTATGTCATTTAAATATTGTCAATAGAAGAATTTTACGTAATTTAAATGTACAAGTAGTTAGATAGATGAATAGATCGATAGATAGATAGATAGATAGATATAGATGAATTAGAAGAAGAAATTTTATTATGATCCAATTCTATTTGATAATCAATATCTATCTACATTTTTGTCTCCTACTGTATATATCATAGTAAAGAACGAGGTCGTGCATATGGTCAATCAACAAAATATACACAGAAAAGAATAACAAGAAGAAAAGAAAAAGAAAAAAAAAAGTTTTATGTTTGATGATAATGCTAGCAGAAAGAAGAAAGAATTGATAGCTGCTGATTCTGAACAAGAGAAAAGATTTTTACTCAATGAAACGCGGCACAAACATTCTTGTATAAATGTGGCATGCAATTTTCTTTGCATTGTATAGTCGTTCATCAAATAGCTACAGCCACAAGTATTGAATGTTGTCTTTCTGTTACATGCCGTTAGCAATAGATAATGATAATAATAACTAAAGGGATGTTTACATTTTTTCGCTCATCGACGCGTGCTCCATAATGATCAATTCAAGAACAAAAAGGAAAGAAGAGTAGATATAGCTAAATCTTGAAAATAAATCAGACAAAAAAAAAAAAGAAAAAGAATAAATAGAATTCTCATCGTTATTATCAACCAAAAAAAATGATGTTATCATTACAAGTGTATGCACACAGATATTGATTGTCAAGGCTGTGACATTAGTCAATTGACGCAAGCCTAATCAGTTTATTCGACTCAGTTCTAGCAATCAAATAATTAGCATTCGTTCAGAATTAACCTTTCTACAGTTTTATATGCATATATATATTGCCAAAAGCAATGCACTTTATGATATAACGGGCACTACAGTTTTTACTTTTATCTACAACATATATACTTTCATTGTCAAATTAAGTAGTACAAAAAGAAAATAGAAAGGACTTGTGCCTATTAACACTTTAGTGTATGATGCTAGAAGAGATCAAAAGGAAGTAGAAATGACTATTTTATAAAATATTACATAATTGTTCGGTCGATCATACGAAGTATCATAAAAATTGTTTAAACAAAGAAAAGTCAAAAGTAACTATAAGTACTTTCCGTTAATAATTAAAAAGGACCTGTGCGCAACTAAACGTTTGAAAATATATTTGATGAAAATCAATATTATAACCTCATATTGTGTAGTTTTTATTATTATATTTGACTAAATAGATCGATCAAACTAGATAATTTAGAAAAGATTATTGAATAAAGACATAACATGTCAATGTTTTTTTTCTTGTTTAGGAACAAATCAATTAAAACGAATGCCACTAATCATCGATTGATTGCTTTAAACAAAACAAGAACAGGAAGATATGAGAATGTTTGATGATCTAACTTTTTTTTCTTCTGAGCCATTAGCACTTCTTCGTACGAACATAGTCCATCTGCCATTCATTTTTGTTTGATATTGTGAGAAATGATTATACCACATAATACTATAAATGACCTTTTCTGACAATCTCAAAGATAAATAATAATCATCGAGATTAATATATAAGGTTTACTTATATTTTCCAATGATAAATAGATAAAAATCACCTATCTATGTATAACAAAAAAAAAATAAAGAATTCTATAGAAACATCGAGTAAAATTCGTCCCTATGAGTTATATTCATACAAAGTATAGTTTGACTTGTGTTATTTTCAAGAAAAAGTTTACTATTGGATTTTAGAACCATGACTATTATTCTTTACTAAATAATTTAAGTTATCTAACATTCGTTAAAATGAAATGATCTAAAACCCTACATAGAATATTTGATAGCTTACATATTCATTGGCAAACAAATGATATTACAGGTACTTGATAGTAGAGTTTTATGCTACTATTTTTTTACTTTTCGATGTACTACTCATTTATATTTACATTCCTGAAGCATTTAATACTATGAAAGTAATTTCTAAGTAATCGAGTATAAGATATTAATTGCATCTTCAGATTATACGTGTTTCATATTTCTATTTGCATCAATGAGATTGATTGCTGATAGGCTCTATCGTCATGTATTATTATTATGAATGTATATTTATAATCTCAAGGGTCATGCATTGGAATGACATAAGATATAGTTCTTCCTTTTTGGTATGTTGATGAACTTGACGATGTTTTTTTTTTCTTCAAAAAAATGTAACAATAATCTTCTGATCAACAAAGACGAAATATAGTTTATCAAAATTGTAATAATTTAATTATTGTAAGATGAAGAAAAAAATGATTTAGTAATTTGATTGAACTAATGCAATCTTCTAAAAATGAAAAACACTATTTAAACTTTTATTTTCTTTTCAGATAAACTAAATAATTAGATTTTTTTTTGTAAAAAAAAAATTTTTATTCAGGAAAAAGTTGAGTACGTGAGTTTGGACAATTATTTTTGGAATGATGTTTAATAGAAATGTTGTTACTTGATGCTTTGCAATCCTTGTCAACATCGATATTACTATAAGCTATTATCTTGTTGTTTTGAAATATTATTTTAAGCCTACTCTCATTACAACAAGATATGTAATATCTTCAAGTTGACCTATAATAAATCTGATGTTTGCACATTCATACACAGGTTTCAATACTATGAAAATTACGTCATGATTCTCTTCAATAACATTGTCGTAGTTTGTACACGTCTCTATCAAAAAACTTCTTTTATGTAAAAATAGTCTGGCATCATAAAGATATGATAACTGTAAATATTTACATTAGTTATAGTATAATATTGATTTGCTATCAAAAATTTTCTTTAAAAACGACTAGCAGCTTTTTAAACATCCAAATGAATATTTATTATTGATATAATACTACTAGTATTTATGTACTATCTTCAATTTTTTAGCTGATAAGTTAATGTAAGACAATAGATTTAACATTCAATTATTTCTATTGTAAATAAATAATCGTGCAAATATACAATTAAGAAAGAGTGCGTGCGATATAAATACGTTTTCAATTATATTTAACTAAGCAACAAACACGTTATTACACAGAAAAAAAAGAGCAATAAAGAAAACAAAAATTAATTCATTCGTATACGTTCTGAAAGTAATTGAATATTGAATGGAATAATATTGTTTTTCTTTCAATTTAAATACGACCTAGAGTAACAGGTACATTTGCCAAAGCTTCTTCTTCTGTAGCTTCATCAAATGCACCTTTTCGTTTTTTACTACAGACAAAAAAGGCTAGAGATGAAGTAAGTAATAGAATAAAAATCAGCCAAGCAAGAATATAACAAATACCAAATGAATGTTTGGTACCTTTTGGATAAATTTCAGGTAAATGTTCACTAGCATGACGAAATATTGTACTTAATACTTCGATACAAACGAGAAGAGAAGCAGCTAAATTATATAAATAATTAAAAATAATTGATTGAAATCTTTTTCTTATTTACCAGTAAGTATATAAATCATGCCTGTTAATCGTTTATATGTATATCGATATTCACGAATACTATATAAACCACAAATAAATGTAATAATTAAGAGTAAAATATGAATAGCACTAAATGACATCATTGTACGAACCATGCCTATAATAAAATAGCTTTTTTTTTCTTTCAGAAAAATTTCAAATAAAATAAATCATACCAACAAGTGTTTGGTCAGCTAGTGAAGATGTATTATGTACTTGATTTGGATGATAATCACATCGATTTTCTATATAAGATAATATTATAAATATTATACATATGTATATATAGATATATATGTTCTTAATAAAATATCATGTGCATCTGAATAAGTCTCGTAGAAGAAAAGTGTCGACAACATGTCATACCCCCTGATATTCAAACAATTTGATTGGTAACATCTGAATATTAAGATACAAGTAATCAATACGTACCATACATAGAAGTTTTTGTTGGTCTACTCAGCGCACATTCCCAAATGATGCCATAAGTAGTTCGAACAATAAATAGATTCTGTCTTACTGCCAAGAATTCAGGTGGATAAGTGATAACTACCCAATAACTTGATGTAAGTGCAATTGAAAAAGTAATAAATGAAAGAACTGTTAGAGCCAGTGTAATACGCATAATTTGGACATTTCGTTGAATAACTGCTGATGCAGCCGAAACAGTTGCTACGGTTGTTATCATACTGTTTTTTCCATTATGATTATTCATAATTACAGTGTTTATTATGGTCACAATGATTTATTCTAAGTTAGTTTCTTTATATGTATATATAGAATATATTAGACAAGAATAATAATAGTCCAGATACAACTTCTTTGTCAACGTTGAAATAGAAAATGGTAATGTTAGAACATGCGACAGAATTTATATACTGTTTACATAAACGAGGTAAAAGAGCAGAAAACAATCTTAAATAAACAAACAAAAAACAACAATTTCATATATTTGCTCTACTTTATTAATAATAATTGAAACTGAATTTACACTATACTTACTACCTTTCATTACTATTGGCAAAAAATTTTTCTCTATGCCCGATGTACAAATGATATCTGTAATGACGATACGCTAGAACATAACTCTATAAAAATATACACAGAATATTTTTCTCTCATGTTGTCTTCATACGATAGAGAGAATAAGAGAAAAGATAGAAGTAATGGTCTGATGTTAAGCAAGTTTCTTCCTTCTTTTACAGGAAAAAGCTAACAAGACAAATTCTGTACTATATTAGAAGGAGGAGAAAAAGAAAAAAGAACACAGTCGACAATATGTATATGCAGTTTTTTTGTTCGGATAAAAGAAGATTAATAATGCTGAAAATACTTCAGTGATACCTGACGAATGTTACTGTCATACATTCATCACTATTCATTGTCATTGACTCAACTATTTATTGTATGTATTCACTAACTAAAAACAAAATATTACTCATATGAACACTTTAAAACAAAACAAAAGAAAAACAAATGTTAAGAATGGCAGATCTTTTGTCAAGTGGTATTAATGATCAGATCCATTTCTACTAATGTAAACATTTGATTTAAATTCGACAGATTATATATATATATATAATGTTATCTCGCCTTCTCATTACTCATTTGCCTTACTTATTTATATATAATTGTACGTTCCAAATACTGTTTCTAATTGACACAATGATTATTGTCGCTTGCCTTAGGCGTTCGATTGTTTTCTTGTATTATATTCTATATTTCTATGATGCTTCTTATGGTATGTAAAGACAATTCCAACTACAGCATTGATGCCTATTCAATCATCAAGCGCCAGCATTTATTTTTTTGACCTTTAGCTTGTTTCTATCATTAAGAAGAAGAAAAAACAGAAGAATCTCAATTAAGATTTATGCTCAATATAAATTCTTGCTTCGATTAATTGAATTTATGTAACTGTATTTATTTAATATTATTATTGAACATGAATTATCTAATTATACTCATATAACCTATAAATAGATCGATTTTGTGTATATCAATATATTTAAGATATTGAAACAGATAAATAATATTAACATGATGATAATTGAAATAAGACAAATATGATTGCTGTCAGAAGATTAATATTTATAGAAATAATGAAAGATTCATAATAAAGACAAGAGAACGATTTATAGAATAACGTAAAAAATATGCTAATGCAGCTGTTACTTGACATTAACGAAGAACAATATATAAAGTTTTTTTCAATAATAATATGTATCATTTATATCCGTCTTCTTATGTTTCAATATTTAGTACGAGATGATTTTTCATTACTATTTCTTTTTCTTAACATCTATCTACAAGTAACGCTCTTCTAACGACTCGCTTAGCTCTTTCCCGTAGAAATGATGTTCTACAATGCTGCGGGACCTTTTGCTTATATAATTTACAAACACTAACATCAGATTCGAAGTCCCTGAATCGAAATACCTCTAGAAATGTCTTTTCTGAAAAATTGGTCTTCGATGTTTTTTTTGACCCCGCAGACACACAAGCAAACAAACAATTTATATTTGCTGGACTCTTCTCTACGAGAAAGAGAATTATAATAAATACTATTTTAACAATTAACTAATATTTATTATTATTAAATCTAGTGAAAATGTTTTCATTAATTAAATAAATTGATTTGTTATATAATAAAAATTGGTATTATTGAGTAACAATTGATATATGAATAGCAAATATTCTTGACAGAATTGAAAGCACAAGGTCAGACTGATATATTCAATGATTAGTGACATGTGTTATATAGAAGATATGAAGATGTAAAATTATTTATTTTCTCTTCTTTATAATTACAATGTATTTCAAACTATTTATTAGACGATATAATTTAAAATATATGAGGAGTAAGTTTTTATGTTCTTAATTAATATTTCTGATGGAAAATTGTGAGTTTTGAATACAATATCTCGTTCAATCGAAATAATTCACTAATTTCAGATTTTTATATGATGATAAAATACCATGTATGAAATAGGTTGTAATGTAATGATTTATTTACCAACAACTCTGATTAAAAACTTTGTATATTGCTTTTAGCTTTACTCATATTTACATATCTTTAGTTTTTTCTAGAAATAATATAGATAAATCAGCTCTTATTTTGCAGTTTATCTTGTAAATATTTTGTTAGTAGTATAATAAATTATACCTTCAAGCAATGTTACACTAAGATTTAAATCGTACCATCCGCTATGATATTGAGTGCAATATTCGAGAAAGAACTATCAGTTTTACTAATGTCTTCAAGTGCTGTATGAATATTTATATTTCTTTGTTTTTAAATATTAGTCACATATATATTCCCGAGGTAATTAATCAATGATTAGTTTAATACTCATAAAGATGAAAGTGAAAAATATTCGATTTATTTTGAATAGTTTACAGCATAACTGTAGTACAGAAATGCTTTTATACGATATTCGATTAAGTTAAAGATTTATGAAATATTTTTAAAAATATGTACATTTAATGGAAAGACAAGAAAAACATAAAAATAAAATAAAATAAGTTGTTAAGATAGAATAAACTATTATAACACAACGGAATAAAAATTCATGGATCTTTATCAAATAGAGTGTTTGTACGTGATCTTGAAATACTTTGACGTGATTTTCGATCCAATAAAAAATATGTACGCATTAAACCTTTGCCTTTAATATCTATTTCACCACGTTCTTCAAATATATATTGTTCTGGATTTGTTAATCGTTTATATGTATCATCACTTATATGAATTCGCTCAGGTACACCAGTAGATTCCATTCGATTAGCAACATTTACTGTATCACCAAACATACAATAACGAGGCATTTTTGATCCAATTACAGCAGCACATACAGGTCCTATATATATATCATTATAAAATATCAAATTCAATGATACTATTAAAAAACTGATACTACGAAGGTTATCATTCATAATTTTTCAATGTCGAGATATACATAGAAATAATTTCGCTCAATATATTTATTGTTTTAGTTTTTATACCAAAAAGATTGAAATCTAAAATATAATCTTTATTTCCTTACAAATAAATTATATTTTTGTATTAAAGATCATCAGTAGTTCATATTTGTATGGTAGTCCTTGGTAGCAATCAATAATATATAGAGGTGCGTTGCAATCAGAACAAATATATCGTATATCACGTCCAATGTTATGGGAAGATGTACAAACGATGTATTTCCTTAGAGACTGTTTTGATTGCAATGTTTATGGAATAAATGAAGGGAAATATCAAGCGATCAGACGAATAAGAGAATCTCTTGTAGATCGTTTTCCAATATTAGTTGTTCTCTATGGTCTGTATTTTGTCAAAACTCTTCTAATTGTTTCAAGCCAAAAATCAGATAGATGAGAAGAAATATTGTTATACATTTTATACTGTCATATCCAAAAGATGAAAATAAAGTGATTGTATTGGAATGTAGGACAGTAAAAGAAAGTGTACGTCATCATATAGAGAAAATGAAAACTGACAAAACATAGATATATGATACTGATAAACAGAAAGGAACGAAAGAAGGATTGCACTTGTATAACATCACTTAATAAACGATAAAAAGATGTTCTAAATAATTAAATAACATGCTAAAGGCATCTTTGTCAAATAACAGCATCAAAATATATATACACATCGTCGGGACCTAAAGGGTTAACTTGAAAAACAATTTCTTAATCAATTTGTTTATTCATTTTTCCCATATCAATTATGAAATTCATGATATTTTTCAGTAGTGCTTAAGAAACCTATCCAAATATACAGATGGTTGTTTTTAAGAATATAACATTCGTACATTAAAATATCGTCTTAAAAGGATATCAAATGATTTCTTTCGAGATCAACAAATCTAGTAGAATTGCTGCAATTCTCAAGACAGTTTGATTAAGTCTGATGAAATTATATCTAAGAATAACAGAAATATACCGCTATGTAATAAGTTGTTGATCGATTTAAAAGCTTCATCTTTTTCAGAATTATGAAGTTCATAAATAGAATTTGTGTCGATTATCTATATTTCTGATAGAATATATACATTCTAAATTACAGGCCCTTTAATATTAAGATTATAGGTGTAGTGAGGATTTTCATTCGCCGCACTCTTCGAGTATAAGTCACGCTTTTGAAAAGTTTAATCTATCTGTTACTAAGGATAATTACCTGTATGAATACCAATACGTAACTGAAGTTCGGCAAATGTACGTGGTACACGAACTTGCTGTTTACCACGAATTAAACTTAATGACATATTGACAATTTCATTCGGATGCTTTAATACAACAACGAAAAAAAGGTTATGTCCAATTCTCAAATTAATCATTCTTCTTAATATATAAACTTACTTTATCACCATTCTTTGTTGGTGCTCCTGATACAACCATATATGCATCGCCAATTGTTTCAACTTTATAAACATCAAAATTTTCCAAAAGTGAATCAAATGTTGAATAAAGTTGATTTAACATATCACAAGTTTCATTTGGTGAGCACATACTGACAAAAAGTAAAGATAATAAAATAGATATATTTTATATATTGAGAATTCACCTTGCTATATTTGTAAATCCAACAATATCAGAGAAATATACAGTAACTGAATCAAAATATTCAGCTGGTGCTTTTCGTCCATTAATTAAATCTTTTGCTACGCATGGTGGTAAAATTTGATGAAGTAATTTTTGTGTTAAACATTTTTCTTTTTCTAATTCATCTGTTTTACGTTCAAGTAAAAGTGTATGAGATCTTGCACGTGTATATAATGTTAAAATACTATAACATAATAATGTTGTTATAGCAATAAATATAATTATAACTAATCCTTTCATAACGCACACTTTTGGATAATAAAAACATAATGTATTTTTATTAATTATTGTTGAATGTTTAATTACATTTGGAATAGCATCATTTAAATAAGCTAAATCAAGAAAAATCATGAATATTAATAGTAAAGCACTTGCAATTGTAATAAATAATGTCATAATAACATGATGAGATTCAATACGAGGTGTTATATGAAATTTATCCGATAGTAATGAATCACCAGCAATTGTATTATTACGAAATAAACCTTTCCGTTTATGTCTAAGTGAACTACGCATAAGATAAAAATGACGAAATAATGGAAATGAAGGCGGTGAAACATATTGTGAATTAATCGATGATGTATTCATTCCATTTCGACGAAATGGTGATCGATATCGACGAAAACTCGCACTGAATGAACTTGCACGATCCGTCCATCTTAAATTATCTCGTGTTAATTTATTATTTGGCGTTAAAGACGTATTTTGATGCATTTTATTATGTTTCAAATAAGGAGAATTAGTACCAAGAAGAGCACAATTAATAGTCTGAGAATCGTCATAAGCCATTTTTCAAAGCTGTTTATATCTAGATGATAATCTAAAAGCACATCGAAAACAAAATAATATACGTCAAACAATCAAAGAAAACATTCCATAACAATGGTAGTATAATTATGAAAATACCTCTCGTCCTATTCCATTTATTTTTCTTTACTATAGTTTCTATGATGTTAACAAATCAGCTATGGATTTTTTTTTCTTCTTTATATATATATATATGCATATACATATTCAGCGTTCTTCATTTTCTGTCTACGGTTCTTTCTATATATAAATATATAGTAACTATTCTATAGTGAATATATAGCATCTGCCTTAACATATCTAAAAGACGATATGGATTTTTTTTGCTGAGTTACAGACTAGAAATACGTCATATGAATGAAAAAAGCATTAGACATGAGTGTATATTTGTCTGAGATGTCTAGATCTGAAAGAAAAAGTTTATATCACATATATATCTCTCTGACATATACAAATAGTTTTTAGATTTCTTGACTGATTTGTTCCTTAAGTTGGATATTCACATGGAATAGAGACAATAATATAGTCTATGTCTTTATATCTTCGGTACATAGTGGATGATACGCACAATTTACTGATATCAAATAGAAATGCTTCCGGTTAATATTAAATTAGATTTATCAAAGATACTAATTTTAGATGAAGGTCATTCTTAGATTATATTGTTCTACTTGTAATATACTTGTTTTTCTATTTGATAATAATAGCACAAGTACTGATATATATGGAATCTGTTTATATAATATAACAGAATTATTTTCTATACTTGTTTGATAATAAATAGAATGCAAAAATCAAACTTTATCTGGTTTCATCATTATTTATACTATTGAACGATATGATCAAAAGATTCATTTTTTCAAGTTCATACTAACTATTTGTATATGACACACAAAGTAGAAATGTTTAAAGTCTAACCATGTGATAACTACTATCTACATCAAAACGACATAGATGATAAGAACGAATAAGAAAAAAAAAATATTTAAGAAACGATGGACTACGAGGTCAATGTATAAGTAAATTATTTGAAGGTGTGCGACTGTTGTTATTCATCGAATAATGTAAACTATCTCTTCTATTTTATTAGAGAAGTAGCAAACATGAAGGTATACTTCGTTCTATTCTTCCTTTCTGTTATTGTTATTGTTTTTGTTTATGATAAGAAATGTATATATATATATATATATATTCATCATATGTTTTGAGTTGAAATGAGCAAAGACAAGTATTACTCGAGTAACAACGCAATAAATATGAATTCAAATGGTTCTTCAAAAGTAATGAATAACTTTTAAAGATAATTTTTATATATTTTATCTAATTGTAGGTATTAACTTTTTCAATAAGTAATCATCATTATAATAATATGAATAAAATAGTAACCACTGCCGACGATGATGATACTGATTGTGTTAAAGTCGAGGTGAGAGGAAAAGTCAGTCAGAAATTATCAAATTGGCATGAATTACTTCAGGTTCGAGTAGAACGAGCTTGAAAATGTAAGAGAGATACGTAAAAATATGCCAATAAAGTTAGTACTATATTTTAATAAAAACTGTTCATATTCATCTAGAGAAATTTATATTCATATGATCAACTTTTACTCAAATATAATACTAAATTTATTCATATTTATAAAGAATGCTACTCTCTTTGATTAATAATAGAAATACAAAAGATAATACTCATAATTTTAATTTTTCTATTTTATTTAGATCTCTGATCTTGACAATAGTTGTCCACATCAAACAACAGTTAGTTTAATGAGATGTAAAAAACAAATCTTACATCCATTTCGTAATCTATTATGTTTAGTAAGTAATTGAAATTTATTTTCAAATATATAAATCAATTTTGTTTTTGTGTTAAGATCGGTTGGAGACCATTCGGTGTTGATAGTTTAAAACGTTCATCAATTTTGATGCGTATTTTTAATATTATTTATCCACTTTTCATTTTAATCTTATTGTTATTTAATTATACATATGAAATTATTGTCTGTCAAGGAAAACTCAACGTAGTTACTGATACCAAAGTAAACTTTTCGTTGTTTCCTATTTCAACTTAATTCATTTCTCTTTTTCAAAATAGACTACAACCACGACAACTAGTACTACGACAATATCAATAAAAGAAAATTTTACTATGTTAAATTGGAGTTCATTAGTACCTCCAAAACCTATACATTTAGTTAATACGAGTAATATAGTTTCTCCAGTATGTGGTCATATATTTACGACTTATATTCTACCTGATATCTTACATTTTGCTGCATTTATTATTGGTTTTATGTATTTTCGTATTACAGAAGGTGAACAAATGTATTCTCTTATGGAAAAAGTATGAATATTACATTGTCAATTTATTTTTTCTTTATATAAAAATTAACAGGTTTTTATTCGTGCTGATCAAAATATGCGACAATTTAGTCCAAATCGAGTTATTCGACGATTGAAGTAAATATTTTTCATTAAAATTCTCATTCATTCATTTTTGTTTTTTAAATAGAATAATTTTATTAATTGGAGGTATTTGGGTACTTGCATCAGTAGCTACACATGCACTATCGAATGCCATGAATGATTTTGCTCATCCATTAATTTTTGATAAAAAAACTCAACAACAAAGGTTTTTTTTCATTATTTTCTTTAATATAATTAAAATACTCTATTTCGATTCTTCTTTAGAACTTCCCTAAAATACATTTTATTTACTCTTGATATTATGTGTTTACTTGTTTCAAATTGTATTCATTTGGCTATTGTTATGAATTTTGTATCTCATTGTGAAATGGTTGTCTTCTATTGTAAAGCAATTCGAACACGATTAGAAGAAAAATCTATACATCTTTTAGAAGCTATGAAACAAATTCTTGATCTTGGCTCATCAATTAGTCAATTGAATGGTGCAGGTTCTCGAATGATGTCAGTATTAATTGTTTATTTTCTCGAACGTACAATATTAGGTATTATCTTACTCATGCTCAATGAAATCAATGAACCATTAATGTATGTTTATCGAGCGTTATATCCAGTAGTTTGGTTGTCAATTCTGATGTTTTGTCTTACACAAGTAAATTATATATATACATAAAATTGTTGATTTTCTTATTGAATATAATAGGCAGCAAGAGTAACAGCTAAATGTGATAAATTTCATCGTATTAGTCTTTCAATGCGTGTCTATGGTTATCATACAGCAAGTACAAATGATCTTGATGGTTTTCTACTTTTTCTTGCACAAGCTGAATTACGTGCAAAATTATTTGGATTAACTGTTCGACCGGGTAAAATTATTTCCATGGTTGTCATAAGTATTGTTATAGCTGTTGTTCTTCTTCAAACCAATGTTATTAACAGTACAACATTTTTTCTTCAATAAATATTGTTTTTTGAGACAAGAGTTCGTTTTTTTATATTAACAAATTAATGAACAAAGATGAGATCGTTTACGTTGAATATCAATATCATCATAAATAGTTGATGTTTTTCTTTCACGAAGATATTTTGGAAGAAATCTTTCTATATATAAACGATGAATAACTTCTGTCATAACATAATCTGAACTATTTTCTTTAATTAATGATAAAATAAAAAATCCATCAGATTCAAGATAATCAATTGTAAATGTTTGAAATTTCATTTCATTATTAATATCATTTATAAGTGGATATTTTTTTGAATGAAGACGTTTACGAATAAAATCAATACGATTTCGTAATGTAAATGCTTGTAACCATAGGAAAAAATCACAAATATTAAGTGAAATAACAAGAACATACCAAAAATAAAGAAATGTAAACATTTGTTGATTAAATAAATTTAATGGTAAAACACATGGAACTGTATATTCATGAGATAATTTTGGATGTCCAAATTCACGTATTGTAAAATCACATAATGTTGTTTTTGGAAATAAACGTGATTCTGTATCCCAATGAATACCTACATAAAAAATGATATAATTATTTTATTGAAATAAATAAGATTTTTTTTTTACCTCGAAAAAAACGATCAACGACTTGTATACCATAGAATGCAAAATTTGAACCTAACATTATACTTAGAAGATATATTTGAAAGATTGATACACCTATATACATTAGTTTTGTTGTCATATATAAAATAACAAAATAATTGCCAAGATATTTTCCTGTTAAACAACAAATTGTCATAAAACTTCGTTGAAATATATTTATATGACTACGTTCATCATTTTTATGTCGACGATCAAGACAATATTGATCAATACTATCAACAACAAAATCAAGACACATTTGACGATGTGAAGAATCTGTTGTTGGTTGTTTATAATCAAATGATGATTCAATCAAATCACCTATTTGTATACCACTTTTTAATCCAAATGTATTCCATGATAAACGTGGAATATAAAATATAAATGCTTTAACTAATAAAACAAATGGAATCCATTGATAATATAATAATTCATTTTGTTTTTTAATATCATATGATCTAGGTGTTTTTTCTGTATGATGAACATAATAAGTATTTTGTACAAAACATACAGATCGAACATATTCATCATAATTTGGTGTAAAAAATGCGGGTACCTATTTGTAATAATAAAAATCTATGGTTATGTATTAATTACTACGATATATTTACCCAACATTTGATTTGATCCGTATAAAGACGATTCATATTAAGAATTGCAAAGCCAACTAAAATTGCAACAGAATATCGATAGTTAAGTCTATCTGCTATAACATCATCATTTCGTTTGCCTGTCATAATAGTCGATACTCGACCCATAATAGAATGAAAATCCATTTTAATATTTTAACTAAAAAATAAACATTATTTTTTAATAATAAAAGTATTAAGAATGATATGAATTATGATTTGGATAACTAACTAACTAACTATCTTTTTACTGATCGATCATAGTATATTGGTAGCAAACTGCTTTCTTTCTCAGGAGAAAATCATCGTTATTATATCTGTCTATATGCATTCTATCAGATATTCCTTGGAAAAGACATCAGTTACTCGTTTTTCTGTTATGCTCGTGTTATGATATATGGAAGAAGAGAAAGTGGCAAATATGGCAATTCTTCTGTATATATATATGTCAGAAGAGTACTACTTTATATTTCTATCGTACATCTAACCAGTCACGAATGATACACGAATGGCATACAATGATATGTTATCCCTCGTTTCTCTTTCTTGTTCTTGTAATATCAACAGACGCAAGTAAATAAGGCTACTTATTTGTTCGTTGATTCCATGTTTAGAACAAGAACAAGAAGTAAAAGAACATGACAGAGGTGACAACTATATGAAGACTAGTGTGTGTCAGATCATCTGTTGATAACTACTGATATTCTATTATAAGAAAATATCTTTCCTGAAATCTTCTTTGTATGGAGAATACATATGAAAATAAGTCTATCTCATCTATCAATTCCTATTTGACCAATTACCAATGTACTTCGAATAAAATTACGTCATTTGAAATATCCTATTCATTCTAATTTCTCTTGCTGTCAAAGAACAAATAAGTTCATATCATTCCTTTAAATTAATAGAGCACAATGTACTGCAAACTCGGTTGCCAGATTACTACTATCAATAGAGATTAATCAATCATAATAATTTGAGCTATTACTTAAGATAAGGAATGTTTCTCAGATAGACAATCAAAGAACTCCGTGTACAACTGTATAATATACGCCATGATTTTATCTTATTAAATATCCTAAAACAAATCAAACAATATTATTTATTGAATTACATAATTTTCAAATAAATTATTCAAATCTTTCGATCTTCAATACAATTGTATGAATCATTGAACTTTTTACTCATTATATGATGTAGTCATAACATAGACAAAAACAAATATGATAATTTGGAAGAAGAAAAAAATGTTCAGATCTATTTATTACATTGTAATTATAGCTATTCATTCTCATGTATCGTAATACATTAAACAAAAAAAACATATTTAATTTAAATCAATACAAGAATAAGGTCAGAAAAGAAAAAAAACAACAAAACACAATGAGATTATGCGTTAAGACACTGAATCTCACTGATATATCTTTATTAAATCAAGAAAGAACTTATGTACGTCGTTTTAATGAACTAGAATCAAATGTAATAAGGATAGGACTAGGTTGAACTGCATGTGGATGATGAGAAATAGATAATGAAGGTTCAAAACTATATCGATTATTGGCGAGATCAAGTTCATTCATTTCTGGTACAACTTCAAGTGGAAGACGAGCACCATTTTTACGAGTTTCTATATCACCATATAGTACAGGTGAAATATTGCCAATTGAAATTGGTTCCAGAAATGAAGTCATTTTAGTTTCATCAGCAGCTGTAAATGTAAGAGCTGATGAAACATATGCATGTGGATTATCTACGGATATAGAACCACGAGTTAATTGTGGTGTAGGAATTCCATTTGATATTATTGAATCACGACAACGTGGAATTGTTGCAACTTTAGCTAAGGATATTGTTGAATCAATACAATTATCGTCTGGTGATGCTGGTCGAATTAAACCATTATCTGTTTGAGATAGTATTCGATTATGAGGAGTATAAAGTGGTGTTGTTGCAAGATCATTTGATTTAAGAAGACTTGCATGATATCTATCAGCTTGTAAATGAGAACAATCACCTAATCTATATAATTACAAAAAAATAAAACTATTATTCCATAGATTTTATTCACATACTTATATCGAATAGGTGAAAAACAGCACCATTTCCATTTAGAATCTACATGACAAAGAAAAAAAACTAAATGAGTCAATTATTATTTTGTTTTTTCTTACCACATTCAAGATCTGTACAATAGGTTCTTCGATAATGATAATATTTTAATGCACAAAATATACATACAAATATTGATCCTATTGTTAATATAATCAAAATACAAAGTAATATTATTAATATTCGACTTGATCCATTATACGCTAGAATTGAATTAAAACCTAAATAAAAGAATATATGATTTTTTTTGTTACATTTATCATATGAACTTTTGAATACATACGAATATCAATATGTGATTCAATAGGCGAACTATATGTTCCTTTATCTGAATATGATATAATTTGTACAATATATTTTGATTGTTTTATATCTTTTAATATATATGAACGTATAGGATAATCAACAACAATTGAATGTTGTGATTGTTGATTATTAAATAAAATTGTTGAACGCCATTGTATAACATAATAAATAATATTTGTTGATAATTTTATCTTGTCTGGATGATTCCATGTTATATAAAGATTTGATCTTGATTGAGATAAACGAAGATTAGTTGGTGATAATGGTCGTGATAAATTTGTTCTCGATGAATATTGTAAATAATTTATTGATGAATTTTCCGTTGTATTTAATTCAATTGTAATAATAGGAGTAAATGTTCCTAAACCTAAATTATTTTCTGCAACTATGGTTAATTCATATATTTTTTGTAATTTTAAATCAAATAATGTAAATTCACTGCCATTATTAGGTAATACACGAATTTGATTCCAATCACGTTTTCTTGGATGTAATATTCGATACCAAATAAAAAAATGTTGAGATCGTCCACCATTATAACCTGGTTCCCAAGAAATGACAAGATTAGACGACATTTGTTTGTATTGAATATTATGAGGTGCTTGTGGAGTTGTATCTAACAAAATAAACATAAAATATATATTTCCGATATTAAAGATTGAAATCAAATTTACTTTCAACAATAAGTAATGATGTAATATTAGTTGTTGTATGTTCATTTGCTGCTTGACATACATATACACCATGATCTGTTTTATCAATATATTCGAACGTTAAATTTTCTTTAACTTCCTTCAATTCATTTGAATTCTATTAATATAAAAAAGAATTATGCCAGGAAAATTATTGTATTTCAAAACATACTTTAAACCATTTAATTTTTGGTTGTGGATTACCAAAAGCAACACATGGTAATGTTAATTGATCTTGTTCATTGGTATGATAAATTGATTTTGGTTGTAAAATAAATTTAATTGGTTCTAGAATTTGATTATATTTTTTTTTCTGTTAAATCAATAAATAAAATCAAACCTTTTGTTTCAACATAAAACGTTGTACTATCATGACCAAATCCTTCCGAATTTTGTGCACGACAAAAATATTTACCATCATCAATATCTTCAACAGATTTTATTACTAAACTATATTCAGCATTAATAGAATATGCACCACCTAATTATAAATTATTGAATCAAAAAAAATGTATTTAAATTCTTATAAATTACCTTTTGGTTCAATACGTATAGATACTCCATTTCGATACCAAGCAACAGATTGAATTGGCGGGTATGAATCAAGTAAACATGGACATATACCTGTTGAACCTCGAATTAATGTTAAATTTTTTATTTGACGAGTACGTGATGGCATTGGTGGATCTAATTTAAACTCTTATTTTCTTAATAAGTAAATATTCAATAAACTTACATTTAACTGTAATAATTGCAGGTTTACTTCGAACACTTGCTGAATTTAATATACTTATTACACATACATATAATCCATAATCAGATGGTTGAATATGGTTTATAGTAAGAACACCATCACTATAAGTTCGTATACGATCTTGTGATGCAATTATATCAGATATAAGAACATCATCTTTCAGCCTTATATAACAGAAGAAAATATATATTTTAATAATCTTTATATTTAAGATTAGAATCTTACCAATGATATTGTAATGGTTCACTACTTTCACCTTCACATTTTAAATTCAAACTACTATTGATTCTAACAGTTTGACTTTCTGGAAATCGTCGCCAATAAATCGAACCTTTTAAAATCAAATATTATATATAAGAAACCAAAATCGAAGTATTTTCTTTTTTTTCATACCACGTATAAGAAGTTGAAAGTCATTTTGTACTGTAGCAAGACGATTTTTTCCTATACATCGATACTTTCCTGCCATGCGATCATCAACATTATGAATAGTATACCTTGAAAAAATTGTTAATCTGAATCAATGAAAATCTCTAGGATGAATATACATACTGTTGATTATTAATTGAAAGTAATTCTAAATCTTCACTATCAATTGTTTGTTTATTTTTCTCAAGAATTTTATACCATGTTACTACAGGAACTGGTACTCCATAGATTTGACAAATAAAATTAACTGTTGAATAATGTGATGCTATTTGTAATGAATTTGATAGATTAATAAAACGTGGTGGTTCTAAAAAAATTTTAGTTTTTATAAAATAATACAGATTAAAAGAAAACCTACCATTAACACGAAATGTAATAAAATATTTATCTTTTATATCAAGTAGGCCACGATCAATTAATATTAAACGACATTCAAATGTATCATTATCGTTTAATTGAATATTATCAATATGTAATGAACCGTTTGTTAAAAGACTATATTTATGACGATAGAAATCATCGATATGTACAGGATAATCATCAAATTGACTAGCTATAGGTTTAGTATAATTATTATTTGATCGATACCATTGAAGTATTGTTGGAAACGACCATTTATTTCGATCTATTGGACACGGAATAGCAACATTAATATCACCTATTTCACTATCGATTATTATTGATGATGTTGATGATGAAGATAATGATAGTGAAGAAGCCACATTTACTATACGATAGAGTTAATAGAAACAATTAATCATTTCAAATAATTTCTTACCTGTATATAGAATTAGAAAAATGTTGATAGTTAATAGTAGAATCGACATAGAGTAATGACATAATTTATTAAAAATGAAAAGTCTAATCACATTTTAAAAATCTAAAATAAACTTTTTTTTTTCGTTACTTATATTTGATCGATATATCATTATGATCATGACAGCGAATGCATTATATGTATACGTATATATGTATATATATATATATATATGAAAACTCGATTTAAAATAAAGTTCAAAAGAAATAAGCGAACGAACGAAAGAAATGAGAAGAGCAACGAATACATAATACGGTCAGACAAGACATGCGAAGAAAAGAAAACAATATGAAGAAGTGTTCTTATACAAATTGAAATAAGTTCTTTCATGAAAAAGAAACAGCAGACAGCTACTTATACATCCATACAATTCTCATTCGATGACATTCACAAGTATCTGCTCGACTTCTGTTCTTTTTTTTTATGTATGCTTTCTTTAACCAACAAAAAGTTATATTTTGCTGTGAGGATATGAAAACTTTTCATATTATTCTTTCGTTTATACCCACTCATAGTTTCGATTGAACATCGACAATAAATTGTGTAGATAGTCTAAGTTGTTCAACAACATGTACCATTCATTGAGAACAAAAGAAGAATGACTTTATAACATATTATATCAAAAGGTTATGATAGCCTTGGTAAATGAACAAGAGAACAATCTTGTTTTTTAGATGATTAATATCAGCTATAGCGGAGAGAGGTCAACAAAAGAATAACTATAGATTTTGTGGAAAAGAAGAAAGGGGAAACAACAAGAGTGAATGTTCTATATCAATCATATATGTTTAGAATTACACCATCATACTAATGTTCCTTTCTTACTCAATAATGTAACTACGTACTTACTTATTCGATCATAACTATAGAAGAAATTACGAACTAATTCACTTTATAAACGCTATATGCATATGTACATATACATATTAAATCGAAACTATGTTAGATGAAGCATACAATTCATGTATTTTATATATGTATATATACGTGTGTAAGAAATAAAAAATGATCGTTCTGTTAAGTTGCTGTTCAACTGAAAAAAGAAAAAAAAAAATAACAGGCAGATGGACAGACGCACTAATTACGTGTCATTAGCTGAAAATATATATATATGTAGTTGAGAAATACAAAATAGAAGGCAAAGATCACGTCACGCTATATGAACATATACATGCGAGACAACAAAGAGAAAAAAAAGAAAGAGATCTTTCATTATCTATTCGAACATGAAATATTGATAAACAGACAATCGATTATTGTTATTTATCATAGAACTCGTATTCTCATTCGTTTGAACGTTTTATTACCAGTATTCTTTCTTTATATCTTTTTCAGATATATCCATCAGAAATATGAGTACAATGACGAGGATAATGGCCAACAGGTCAAAACACATTTGTTCATAATGATGATTCAAATAACACGCCTTTTATTCCCTCGTTTCTCGTGTATATATATATATGTACATAAAAATGTACACGTTGATATGATTACATAGTCATACAAACACCAGCCGGAAGACGAACGGTTGTAACAGCTCTATTCAAACATGATATTGAATGAACATGAGCAGCTAAAAACAACATCAACAATTCTCTAGGTTTATGCTCTTGTATATACATGTATGGCATTAGATGAAGAAAATGACTATTGAGTGTTCATGCGGCGAGGTCAGCAAAAAAGGAAGAAGATAACAGCATGCTTATTCTATTCTTTATGCCAATCAAACGAGTTCCTGTAGTAATATGTCCTTCTCTATTTTTTTGATCTTTTTTTTTGACATTATCTTTACATCTTATACCTTTTCAACAAGGTAATATAATCATGATCCCTTTGTTAAAAAAAAATAATCTACTTCATATCAAATAATCATCTATAGAAATAAAAAGAAAGGAGACATTCTTATCGATTTATTTTTTTGTTTTATTCATACTGAACAATTTTACAATCGATGAAATGTAATAAAAATAAAAAACAACAATTACTCACTTGAATTAAATTATAAATACTTCTCACTTATTTCTTCTTCTTCTTTCTCTCTTTCTTCAATACAAATAGGAAATCATTAAAACAATGCTTATTCTTATTCTATTCTTTTCTATTCTGTTGTTGGGTGAAGAGAAGAGCCAATGTTCACACTTGACCATTGTCCAGTGTAGAACGTGTGAAAAAACGCCATCTTCAAAAGAAATAATCGAATATCCGCCATTAAAGATTTTTATCTTCATTTTTTTTGAAATGTATAAGAAGAAGAAAAAAAGAACTAATACAAGTGTAAAATCTATGTCATATTATGTAGGACGTTTTCCTTTCTTATTTTCGACAAAACGTCTAGCATAGTCATAAGTTGCAGCATGTTCAAAAGCTGTACATCGTTCAGTAAATTCAGAATCAACTGGAATCATTTCTAAAATTACATTTTATTTGATAAAATAGTTCATAACAATTTTAAACTTACTAAAAATGCCAGTTACATAATACTTATATTTTTTAATATCATCTTGTTTTTTACAACATTGTTTCAATTTATAATATATATATCGTATGATACTACCTATATAACAAATGAGAATAAATGGTGGAACAGGAATTATTGGTTTTTCGAAATATTCTTGTGTCATAGTGTATACTTGATAATGATAGAAATACCTGGAATTTGTTTCGACTTTGCTTATTGTTGTACTATAATAGAAATATTATAAAAAGCTATATATAATAACTAGTATACATACGCAAATGCAGCAATAAGCAAATTGAGAAGAAGAATATTGAATAAAATCATATGAAATGCCAGTAACATATGAGTTGCAACTGATTCTGCATCAAGATTTGTAGCATTATTACGAGAAGTTAAGTCTAAAAATAATTTATAGATAGATTTTTCAATATAACAAAAAAAATCGAACCGTCAATTGTTTTTTTTTCATCGTCTGCATCTGCATATAGAAGCCAATAGGGTGCATGAAATATGTCTGCAAAGAGACTACGAGCAGTAAATTCCATTTTGCCTTGTTTAATCATAGTTCGAGATACAACTCCATAAGCTGCGATACATATTAGTACCACATATAAAAAACCCATTAGATCACGAAGCTATGAAACAAAAACACGCTGATCTTTTAATAACTTGTTAGATATTGTAAACTCACCATATTTCTCACCATAAACACTTTTGGACTTAGAATTTTGATAACAGTAATAAATTTGAGTGACCATAAATACCATAATTCTAGATCTAATGCTAAGATAATCCTATAAATCAATGATTTTAACATACAAAGATAAGCAAATTCTTTTTACTTAGCAGTTGTGAACAACGAAGGTATACGTCGAGATCCATACCAAAGACCCATTCCTATGAAAAAAAGGTTGTATGGGATTGATTTGAGAATACTACTAAGCAATCGTAATATTAATGAGCGTTGTTGACCTTCACGCATGTATGTTATATAGTAGAACATATTCTATAAAAAATATGTATATAATATTTCTTTTATAAAATCTTAAATTTATACTCTTCGTATATATTCGATTAGCATTGTAGAAATAGTAACTATAGTATAAATTTCTGTCCAATGATATTCACGTCCTAGATCAGTTGGAGGAACTAATTTAAATAATACCATATAACTGAATACTAATAGTAACCATATATAGCCAATCTATAATATATTTCAAGTATGAAATAAAAGGAAAGAAACCTATTTTGTTACTTACAAAATGATAGCACATTTTTATCATAGGACATTGATGAAAATCTTTTACTCTTTCTACGTAAGTTTGCCATGTGTCAACAGAGGAATTTCTATATCGTGTATAATAATTTACACCTGCATCGGATAATTGAGAACTAAAAATTTTCTTCACTCGTGTAGTACAGTTTATAATTACAAAATGTGAATACTAACCTGAGAAATATTCTATTATTCATTCTGTTTGTATTTTCCTGATGAACGCCATTTTGATAATTGTTCGATGATTTATTTTTTTCTATGACTTCTGGAAGACAATAAGACATCATAAATGGTGCAAGCAATCCAAGTGTTAAAAAAGATATTATAAATCTCATCATCCAGAGAAATGAATTGTCAGTATGAGAAATTTTGTTATACCAAATACGTTTCAGAACTTGACTGAAACAATCAGTATTAATAAAAAGTTTACTTTCAGATGAAATAGCGACCTATAAAGTTATATTAATTTAAAATATACAAATACAGAAAATTAAGACTTACTTGCATACAAGTTATTTTACCAAATAATGGCTGTTCACGAATTAATAATTCACAAGCTTTACGTTCATTTTTTGAGTAACACGTATTTATACAATCGATCGCATAATTTTCAAAATCTTGTGCTTGTTGTTTATACAGATGATGTTTGTCACTAGTAACTGTTTTACTAACTCGATTTCTCAAAATTGCTGCACATGAAAGAGCCGCACATATTCGAGTACGAATGTGAAGTATAAATACCTTTGCCATATCTATACGATCGGTAAATATTGACCAATAAAGAAGATCACGTAACATTGCCTGTGTTAATTCTTCAGCCAATGTACCATCGCGTATTTTTATTTCTATTATTTGTGGAACAGTGAGAATAGGAGATTGTTGAATCATTTTTTTCAATGTACTAAACCCATTTTTAGTTTTATTTCGATTTCGATTAATAAAATTCCATTCACAACAACAGATATATTTTATGCGCTGAATAAATGTTGAACATAATTCGTTAACTGGCATTGTTAATGATGAAGAAACATCATTAAATACTGGCCACATAAAACTTCCTATCCATTCACTATATTGAATATCTAATTCATCACCAGATTGAGGTTGAATAAAGTGTAATTCACGTTTGCTCGAATTAAATGGTTTTTCATACAATTCAAAAATGAAATCTAAACCACGTTCACCTAGTTGAAGTTGATTTTGAAATTCAGGTATAATATCTTTTGATGCTAATGTTTCAGAATCACAAAGATTATCACACTCTAATGGAATTGATGCTTCTGCTCGATTAGATATAGAAGCTCGTTTCTCTTTTAGTAGATCCAATGTACGACGTGGATCATAATTAATTCGAAGAAAATAATCAACAAAAGCGGGTCGATTTTCATCAACAGCTTGCTTAAATAATTTTGCTAATAATTCTTTTTCCTAAAAATAAAATCATTAAATTTTCATGGAATATATAACTACCAACCATATATTCCATCTCGGCTAATAAATCAGTTGCTTGCTCGAAACAATTCCATTTTATTGCCAATTCGAGTAAACTTAATTTTTGTGATTCTTTATTACTTCGTTCTGATGTAGCATGTTTTAAATTGGTTATTAATAAATCTATTTGAGCAAAGTGAGCTAATAAAGATAAAGAATATATAGTTTTTTAAAATGAATAATATTTTTTTTAACCTTTGAAGATTGCATGAAAAATAGTTTGTTTCATATTAAGTTCACTATTGTTACGAAATACATTGAGATATCTACGTACACTTGGATGCATAATTTCTTTTATTTGATCAATTAATCTTTTATGTTCTTTTTCTGTTCTTGCACGCATAGGAAAACGTCTTAGATTATGTTCAATTTCGTCTTGTTCAGGTACCCTAAAACAAAAATATTAATTTACATATTAATTAAAAAATGATAACCTGGCAGGAGTATGTTCATTTTTGGCTGTAAGATCCATGAGACCGGCAAGAACATCAGCAATTTTGCCACTACCCTATTTAAAACAGAAGAAAAACTGATTATAATAGGATTCAATTAATACTTGAATAAAAATGACGGGACGTTGAACTTGAATTTCACTTAAAACGGCTAGACATGTATTGATGCCTCCTTCGACTATGATAGTAACTGCATAACCTATTCAAATATATATAAATTCGAATAAATAGAATATTATAAATTTTGAAGGCTTACTATCATCTATTTCACATGCATAATTAACAAAATCGGAACGTTGCATCTCTGTTGGATATTTAGTTGCTTTAGCAAAGGCTACTTGTTGTTGCTTTGTTAGAGCACATAGATCTTTTTGATTTATAATTTCTGAAAGGATACAATAATCGATAGATAAAAAATTATTTTCATCAGACCTATTTCTTGTTGTTGAACATCTTCATGTGCATTTAATTGTCGATTTCTTGCAATTGTTGATGATTGATCATTTTCATTATTTAAATATTGACTTCGATATTTTCCATCGTCCAGGAGAAGAAAATGAGTATGATTTTTTTCAAATGTATGACTACTTTTATTATCGAACGAAAAAAGTGTTTCTGTATTGATAGGATTATTATTTATTATTAAATTCTAAAGAAACAAATCATATTATTTTTATTCATTGTTCTTATACAATTATTTACTTCTCTTTGAAGATCCAATACCATTCTACGTGTCTTTCGTGTTATTTTACCCCACCAAGATATTCCAAGAAGAGTTGTTGATTGTTTTGTATCTGTCAATGCTTGAAATTGACTAATACCTTCTCCGACCAATCTTGCAACACCATTATTTAATCCTGATGTTATAATCCATGTTCCAAATGTAATGGCAATTTCAGCTAAACTATCCATAAATTCTTTTTCTATATCTTCACTTAATGTGAAATGCATACGACCACCATAAATACTAATAATTAATTTTGGTATATCACAAGTATATCTCATAAGTTCATAAAGTGTAGCAATATCATCTTTACTTTCACATGAACATCGTAAAAACTAAACAAATTATTAATAGAAGTTTGTTAGTTTTTTAGTTTAATTTAAACTTACTTTACGTGATGGATTAGAATGATAAATAAGACGTTGCAATTTTTTTGCATGATCTTTAACATTCCAATCTTTTGGGTTAGGTTTTTCTTCAGAAATATCTCCATCAAAACTATGATGTCGAATAGGTCTTTGACAACCACATCTTTCATGATTTGTTTTTGAATTGGAATCTTTGTTATAAACTGTACATTGATGTGATGTAAGTCTACCAGCTTGAAAAAGATTTTCTATTTTTGTTGTCCATTTGTCTTCTTCATAGTTGCCAGCCATTTATTTCTTTACTTATAATAAATGTTAATGTATTCTTTAGCAAGTATAAATATGATTACAATCGATTAGTTTCACAATAGTTTTCGTTCGTAATAGGTAAATAATAGGTAATGTAATCTGTTCTTCAGTAAGCATTTTTTTTTTAAAAAAAGAAAAAAAAATACATTAGAAGCCAATGTTATGATTTTGAATCGAATCAAATGAGTTCTAATAAGTGTACATTATTGTAAATAATCATCGACTGATAAAAATAACTGGGTATGAAAGACAACTTTTATAAATGCTAGATTTGTTTTATTAAACAAATTTTTGAAAAATACATTATTGACAAAATATAATTTATGGTGATTTTTTTTTCTTTCGAAATTATTATATTAACTGCTTATCAAAAATAATAGTGTAATATTTGACAAACAGCATGAAATATCATTTGCATGGGCATATCTTCATTATCGATATTGTGTTTGATCTTAAATGGTTAATAAGTTAATATATATTTTACTTATTCAACAATCAATGAAGCTATTCTCTTCTACCAATAAGCATGATAGAACAAATCAAAAATTGATTGCTGCACAGTTCCCTTATGTGTTAAATTATAAAAAAGTTATACAAGATTCTTCTGAACAAGATGTTACTATTTGCGTTTATGTTCTTCTATTTAGCATTTCTCTAATCTTTCCTAATCATGTTTCTTTAAGATTATATTAATTATTTATTCAATACAAGTGATTTTTTGCATTTTAAATTGATTATTTTTCAACTGTATTATTCCTTAGATAAAATACAAGCAATAAATTTTCTTTCGTATAGATTAATGACCAATAGTTTTAAAAAGTACCGAGATATCCAAATGTTTTTTTTCTTTCGGATATAATCCAATATGAAGGACAGAGAGAATTTTCTTTTGCTTTCACACTTATATCATCGTCTCATGCATTTGACTGAAGTTGTAAAATTTGAAAGTTTATCAAGCAACCATTTTATTATAACTTTTACATTCTATTCACTAATATCCTTTTACTAGTATGGAGATGCACTTTTTTATATAACATTAACATTAAATTCACTCTTTATAGTTTACTAAATCCCATAACTGTAAAGTTATTTTTAGGTAACCTAATCAAATATTCGTCAAAGAACTTTTTTAAAGTTGAAAGATATTAAAGAATAATGCAAAAGTTCTAGAAACAAATGTTTTATGTAGGAGACACGTCATTTTCATAGAAAAAGTACAAAAAAAGAATTTTACAGCAGTATTTCTGAAACTGTAGTAGATATTAATTGAACATTTTTTAGAATCTCTCTGAAGCATAGCCATATATCTGTTCAGAATACTTTGAAAATCAATCTAGTTAAGAAAGCTTCAAATAGTTAATATGTATGTAAGCGATTGTACACTTATGCCTTCTAATGTTCTTTAGAGACAGTAGCAATCAATGTGAACGTAGTATGCTTAGTAGTTGTATAAACAATTAATTTAATAAGAGTATTATAGAAGTGAGTCTATAGTCAACACGAATAATCACATAATTGATACAGAGACACACAATCAAAGTCAAACATCAGAAGTGACAGAGTGAAGTTCAATTACTGTAGAATATTAGATTTGATATAGAAGAGCAAACAGAGTTTAGAACTGAGGATGGATCAAGGGAGAAAGTGTGGGTATGGATGGGTGTAAGTGTGGATTCATCTTTTATTTATCCCCGCCGACACCCACATTTACCTTCAATAATATGAAATGATTCATCTATATCTCCATTGATAAGGAGACATGAAAGAAACAGAGATATGAAGTATTTTATTTTTTACTTTAACAGAATATTCTAGAAGATATGAATTTTCGTCAGCAGAAATGAATAAATGATAACGTGAAATGTTTCATTCATATCTCCATTCATAATGAAAAATGAAAGTTGAAAAAAAGGACTTCATTCTAAATGAAAATATCGGTATCGTATTGAATTATATATTGAATGCATATATTTTCACGTTTGCACCATTTCTCTTTGGAAGAAAGGATGTCTCTTTGTATGGAATACCCTTTTGGTATCGAATGAGGCATCAAATTGATGTCGTTTTCGCTGTTTCCATTTCTCATTAATGTATTGCTTTTGTGGGTTTGAAGCATTTCTCCTCAAAGTGGAACAATTTGCCGATCGGCTTCTCCAATAGTCCATTGCTGTGAGAGTGTTACAATTATTCTCAACCACAACCACATCAAAACTTATTTGCATCCACAGCAGTCGATTTTCCAAACAAAAATTACAAAGACTTCTTTTCTTTATGCTAATGTTTTGGCTAAAGTAATGCGCTGTTTGTTATTGCAAGACAAAAAAAAAGAGAATCAATATTTTTAAAGATTCTTTGCATTGTGTAATATTACTTCGAACGTATTCATGGAATTTTTTTTTGTTATCATTTATAAACAGAGAAGAAATCAAGGGGGGGGGGAGAAAGCTGATTTAAATCAGACAAAAATCAAACTTAAATCATTTAACTCATTTTAAGTCAAATAAATTACTTTAAATCATTGAAATCACTTTTAAATCAGTTAAATCACGTTAAATCATAAGAAAAGTCAGTTTTTATGATTTAAACTGATTTAAATCATCTGAAAATCAAAATTAAATCAGAAAAATCACAAATCGCTTTTTCCTTTGGTATGACTTGTGCATATCGCTAGGGAAATAATAATTTTATACCGCCGTAAGGTCATGTTGTCGAACTTGATTTACGTGAGTTTTAAATTATCTTAACTCAATTTAAATCATAAAAATCATCTTAATTCATTTTAAATCACTAAATCATAAATCGCTTTTTCCTCCTTGGAAGAAACCTTTCTAAGATAAATAATACTATTATCAGTTGGAAAGAAAATGAGTGCTCTTATCAACTTTGAGTATTGCCTTTGTTTGCGACTCTATCAAAGTCAATATAATATAAAATTTCCTTCAACTTCGTATATAAACTGTGGACTATGTATGCTCTGCGCTCTTTTATTCATTCCGACAAGACAAACCATTAGCAACATATACGTCGAAAAACTAGAATAACAACTATGTTATGCCCTGCATCATACCCAGATGCAGTTCATACGAACGATCACCACTATGATCATACATGTGCTATATCCTCTTGCGTTCTGCTTCTTCTAACATATGTAGTATCCTCTCTTCGTTTTTTTTTGTTAACGCTTTGTATTCTTTCTTGTCACTCTCTATCGATAGGCATTTTCCTGTCTGTTCTTCTTATATAGATATTTTCCTCCCTTGTCATTCTCTCTATCGAGAGGTATTTTCATCTTTTTCATATATGAGGGATTAATCCTCTCTCTATGCTATCTTAGCTTTTATGTGATTCTAGGAATGTTCATGTTAGGGATTTTCCTTTCGTATTCATATATAGGTTTTCTCCTTTTGCCAACCTATATATAGTCGTTCATTTTATGCCGAGTGGGTGTGTGATAAACAAACTTAAAGCGAATAACGAGCCTAACAAACTAATTTATAAATAACCAAAGTGAGTAAGTACTATTCAACCTATCTTTTTTTTTCACAACGTTCCTATTTTTTTCGGATTTCTAGAGGACAATTGAAGGGGAAAATTTGAAAACTATAGAAAAGACATTTTGACTAGTGGAACAAAAGCAGTGTTACTCTCGAGAAAGTCTCATACTTTCATCTAAGTAATATCGATGTTACAAGTAGTCAAAATGATTCTGCGCTAACGTCCTTGATGCATGAGAAGACTCAGGGCCTTTTATTCTATCTTATGTTTAACAAATTACTAAGGAGTGTTCCATTGTATTCCTAAAAAAAGTCAAATTTTTTGGTAATCTCAAAGATAATTTCTAATGTCAGTTCTTTTTCTTTGAGGACGTAGGTGTGGACGTCGATATGATGCATCCAGCACCACATCCACACTCACGCCCTCAAGATGCTGTTCCTTTTGTGTCCTATTTCTTAAATAAATACCTTCTTATATTTTAAGTAAATAATATATGATATAACAACGAGTAAATTATACTCTTAGTTTAAAAATGTTTGAGAAAGACATTCAACAGAAGTGTTCACTTGATAATATTCGTTTAAAAATATTCTTTTTAGAAATCCAGAATAAAATGGAAACACGAATGACGATCTCTCAAAATAAAGAATTTATTCGATACTATTATAATTTTCGGCTCAACTTACAACGTGTTAAAAACCATCACTATACAAAAGACTATCGACAAGCACAACATGATGCTATTTGTAATTTCAGAAAGCTGATGGCAATCGCAAATCAGGAAGCAAATGGAAATAGCCAATTAAGACACGATTTCGAATTATGGCTATTGTGGAACTTTGAATTGAACCAAGAACATTGCAATCCGATAATGAATCCAGAATTAAATTTTGATGCAAAGACTATCGATGCATTGATGGTTGGAATACAGCAGAAAAAGGAAACTAACAAAATAAATTTTGAAAAAGCATTGCTCGAGTACGAACATGTTAGAGGAACACTCACAAGACGAATAGTGCAAAAATCCCAAGCAAAATATGTAGTCAACTTTTTTGGGTCTATTCTTCGCAAAATAGTAGCATTTGATACAATATACATGTATGGCTTTTACCAACATCGATTGCAAGAAGAGCTCAATGGAACAATTCAACGCATGAAAGAATTGAATTTTCCGGAATTAGTTACTGATCTGCAAGTACAATGGCAAACATTCAAAAAACATGTACAAAATACTGAAAAATTATGTCAACTGCAAAAAGAAGAAATAAATACTGCTTTTAAACAATGTGAATTAGATGACAAACGCACATTTTTGGAACAATTAGGTAATAAAATCGGTGAAATTTATGAAAGTATACGTGAACAACTACGGCAGATTCGGAATAATGCATTTACAATCAAACAGGCTATGTTATATCCGATATGTTCACCGATAGAAAGTATTAAAAATATTAGTCATGTTTTCTGTCATCCGATGCAGACAGCGCGAGTTGCATGTGAATGGATACATGATAATCCAGGTAAAGCAGCAGTGCTTTTCATCGGTATTGCAGGTATCTCAATTATTATCGGAGGTGCTGTTGCGGTGGTTGGTACAGCTCTATACACTGGTACATCTATATTAAGTTTCACAGCCGCAGATTTGATTATTGGAGGAGCTCTCGCTGGCTCTATAATGACCACTACAACATTCACTGCTGTTGGTGGAAAAGCTGCTAGAGAGAGTGCCTTACAAGCCAAGAGCGCAGTTAAAGCTGAGATAATGCAACGACAACAGTCATTAGATGAGTTGAACCATGAAGAAGAACAATATCGCCAACAAGCCAGAGAAGCCATGAGAGAACAGCGAAGAAAATATGAAATACAAAGAAGAGAGACATCATTAGAAGTTGTTAACACTAATGGTACTAGCAATAGCAGTCACTATGAACCGTCTACCATCGAAAGTGATTCTGATCGATTAAATGATGCGGTGCAAGAACTGCAGTTTGCAAAGGAAGATGTATCCAGAGAACAGGTTGCGAGGTATAGAGAAGAAAGAACTTTGAATAAACATCTTGAAGATACAATTAAACAATATCAGCTATTAAAAGAAGCGATCAAACAAAAACAAAACGACACAATTAAAACAACAGCAAAACAGTTAGTTTCAACCCTGAATGAACAAGACCGATTTGATGATGCAACTAAAATATTGGATGCATTAAAAAAACAAGATTATGATGAATTACTTTCAATTATTGGTCAATTTAGTTCGCTAAACAGTTCTTTCGAAAATGAAGTCGGAGAATCAACAGCAAATGACACTGTTGAGGCGAAATAATTTTATTAAAATTACGGACTGTAATACTAATATCATTTATTATAAATTGATGCGTGAATTATATTAAATAAAATTTCTACTTAAAAGAATATGAGAAAATTATTTTTGGTTAAGAAGTCTCATTTCACTATATAAAATCGATATGTCAGAATTTGTAACTTTTCTTAGAATTTGGATATGACGATGATGATATGGGTGGTAAAGTGTCATATGCTATCTACACCTATATTCTCAATCTACAGTCATTTCATAAATAAAATATTATCCAATGAGATTATGTTGTTTCTTTTAGTTTTTCAAATTTTCGTAAATTAATATAGTTATATGATTCAAAGGAACCTCTTTTCACAAAAAGTAAAAAAATACTAGCATCCTTTTGGAAACCATAGTCATGTCAAAGAATTACATGTAAGAGCATATGATAATTATGAAAATAATCTTACAAAATCTTCTCGTTCAATTCTTTGCCTTCAAATATATAAAATCTTATAGGTAACCTAACTATAATCAAAATTTAATACTAGATTAATAGTTTGTAGTATAACTTTAGTTTATTTTAATTGTGTTTAATGTTAGCACACATTTATGTAGACATTTCGTACATAGTACAAACAAAAACAATCACATAGATTCATTATTTACTAATTCGGTCTGTATGAATTATATTGATTTTGATGACGTGGTGGATAATAACCACCTGGTTGTCGTGGACGAAAACCATCATTTTGATAACGTGGTCGATAATTATCATTTGGATTTCGTGGACGATAATTATCATAAGATTGTCGAGGACGATAATTATCATAGGGTTGTCGAGGACGGAAATTATCATTTGATTGTCGTTCATTATAATATCCACCTGACTGACGTGGAGGAATAAAACCACCTGGTTCATAATGTTGCTGTTGTTGTGAACCCATTGAATGACGAATAAAACGTTGAGCTGGTGCAAAATCACGTTGATATTGAGGTCGCTGAGCAAAACCTAAATTTGGTCGATAAGGTTGCATTTGATCATAATCACGTGGTTTTATTGTTAATTCTGGTAGTGTAACATTTTCTAATAATTTCGATTTAAATATATAATCATCATCAAATAATAAATCTCTATATTTAACAGATATAACTTGATTATTAATTATTTCTTCACAATTTTGTAATGGTGCTTTTATTTGTTCTCCAACAGATTTAATTTTATCATCATCATCAGGCCATATAGATCCAGCCATACCTCCACTTAACATTGTTGGCATATCGAGTGGATTTTTTCTTGTAACTTCATTGCCACCTTGAACATATAATTCTTTCATGTAATCATAACATAAATCACTTGAATGAATATATAAACGATCATAATCACGTTTATTACGTTGTTGTTCTTCAATTGTTAATGTTGAATAAACATGTTCAAGTGTACGATGTAAACGTTTTTCATCAACAAATGGTAATAAAGCAACACCTTGCCATTCAAAATGTTTACCATTAAGATCAATACAAAAATTTAATGGATAAAAATCAATTATTGGAGATTCTTTTTGTGTCATTAAAGGTTGCCATTCACTAGGTAGAAATTTTCGAGATTGACTTGGAAAAACAGACATAAGTTGTTCTAATGGTTTAAATGGTTTTGTTTTCTTATCAAAAAATACCGATAAATCCTTAAGTTGAAGAAAATCAGATGCAAATGGTGCATAATGATAAGGAAAATACCTAAATAATCAAAACAAAAAAAAGAAAAAATTATTTTATATAAGTTAACAATAGATATATATACATACCAATCCCAAGCTGGTACACCTTGATAATAGTATTGAAGAACCCAACATAGACCTCGAGCATAATGTTGTGCAACTTGTACACGAAATTCATCGATATTGTTCTTATCAACATTAAATTTATTTTTATAATATCTTTCACGCCATCCTTCTTCCCAAAGTCGTACAGTATCTTTTGGATCATTCGCTTGTTCTTCATCTTGAACGGAATCTTGTTGATTAAATGACGGACGATCTGTTGTTTCTTGTTCTACTTCATCAAAAGTACGTTTTCTCGATCGATTATCCGAAGAATCCGTTGATGAAAGATCAGTACGTTGCATTTGACGTAATTGTGCATTAGCTTGAGCTGGATTGTTAATATTCGATTGAGGTTTTTGACCAATTGGTTGTGGTTCTAGTTGAGGAGCGGCTGCCCAGACAGGTAAATGCACAGGCCTATAATAAAAGATTACATTTTATACTGTATATTTACTCAATAAAGTATATACCCTGATGGATCTGTTGAAGATCTATATCGTTTATTAGGTGGTTGATAATTATTTGAACGATTACGATCACGTTGTTTCTGTTGTTCATCAAATTCATGTCTTTTCATAAATATTTCATCTTCTAATCTTCCAATACTTATTAGAATTGTTCCAACACGTTCCATAACTGGTATACCATTTTCAGTTAAATAACCTTGAAATTTTGGTACATTATTTTTATAAATAGTTATAAGACGATCAATAGCATTTTCACGTATTTCAAGTGATGGTAAATGTGGTAAAAAATCATTTCCAACAAAAAAACACATAAATACCCAATCATCAATAGCACGTTCAAGATCCCATTGAAATGATAAATGTTGATGTATTTCTAAATCTCGATAAAGATATTCACGTAATACAGATAATCGTAAAAATATATAACGTGTTTCGACAGCATGTACAGCTGCTAATTCATCATTTTTACCAAATTTTTCTTTTGGAATACCTTGACATTCTTTAGTTTGATGTCCTATTTGTCCACATATCTCACATGGACGTGGTTTATTTGGTTTAAATTCTTCACGTATAATTGTAAAATAGGGTTCATGTGTTGCTAATCCAAGCATAATTAAATCAGCATCAGCACCACATAAAACATGGTGTGTATTTGGATCATGATTGGGTTGTGCACGTTGTCGTCGTATATAATCCATTATTTTATGTTCACCTTCACCAGGAACATTTGCATCAGATAAAATAATTTTTATAGAACGCCATGCTGGATTTGTATTCATACGATGTCTTATATAATAACGAAGACATTCAGCTAATTTTGACATAAATGGTGTACCTGGTGTTATACAATTTGAATCAAAATGTTCACTTTTCTCTTCAGAATTTTTATCTTCAGGTAAAAGACCACCATTATTACGTATATCATTCATAATTTTTTCCATTGATTCAGCTTTATCAACTGATTCTTTTGATGCTCGAAAACGTCTTGAACGTTGTTGATTCATTTTGGCACGTGGTGCAACACCATCAATAGCCATATAAAGTAATTTACGTGGACGAACAATAGAAAATAAACGATCAATACATTCAAAAATTAATATCATCATTTCATCTTCATTTTTTGGTGGTGGACGATCTTCTGGATGTGTACATGGATGAATAATTCCATTCATATCTAAATATAGATTATCAAACTGAAAGACAAATGTTAGATAATTTTTTTGTTAATTAATTAAATTTACTTCAACTCCGTTTGGATTTGATTTTGTTTCATCTAATGGATGATAAACACCTTGAGCATCTGTTGAAGGATTATCTTCAATACAATTAACAAGAATTGCTGGATATTTTCTTGTTAACCAACGAAAAAATGCTGGAACTCCCATTACGAAATAATAAACAAAATTTTTTATCTATTATTAAAAATAAAGAAAGTATATAGAGAAAAAAAATCAACAAAAAACAAAAAGTTCATACTTGTAAAGAAAAAAAATCGACTAATATGAATAAACAAAATATGAAGTTAAACTAATAACAATGCGATAGGAACATTCATTCTTTAAATGTTGATTAAAACAAGAACCGATCGTAGGCTCATCAAGTCAACGAATAATGAAAAGGTTTACGGTAGATGTCAGTAAAATACACTTATTCACATTTTATATCGATCGGAATAAGATATAAACTGATTTCATAGAAATAATTACGATTAAGAACAAAATCTGTTGTCTTTATTTGACGTCAAAAAAAAATAGTTTTCTATCTATTTAGATATAAACAAGAAGAAGAAATCATTCTATACAATACAGACACTTAGAATTAATCACAATAAAAAATTTTCATAAATTGTTCAATTGAAACAAGATTTTTTGAAATATTCTCATTTTGAACACCAATTGAAGATCGTATTATGTTCGGAGTTCGATAAGAAATTGATGTTTGATTTAATGAAGTCGTTCGACATCTTATTGATTTAATCGATTGTTTTGGTGTTGATCTTACTTGTTGTCGATGTTTGTCATCTTCAACTGATAATTTATTAAATATACGTTTATAAACATATTCAATAGCTTCCGTAAATGATTTATTTGATCGTAGTTTTTTTCGAATTTTTTCATCTTTAACCATTGTTTGAAGTAAAAAGCAAATTTGTTCAAATAATTCACAACTATTTTTCTGATAATATTTAAGTAAAAGTGTAATAAAATCTTTAATTTGTTCTTGTTTATCAATTAATTTTAAAATAAGTTCATGTTTAACAGTAAATAATTGTAAAATATGTAATATTTTACTAAGTAAAATAGTTGATGGACCACTTCGATTACAACATCTCATTAAAATAAAAAACAAACGTAATAAACCTTGTTGAGCTATTAAATAACGTATTTCAACACAACAAGCTATAATTGGTTCAATATCACGTAAAAAATGTATATAAGCAGTGAGTGATAATGCTGATGCATCATAAAATTCTTGTACAATTTGCATCATACGTTCACGTATAGTTAACGATGGTTTATTTATTGAATTATGTGAACGAATTTTTTCAAGAATAGAAACAATTGGATGATCATTACGTTCATTATCAACACGAACTTGATGTCCACGCCAATGAGCCTAAACAAATTTCTTTAGTCTTTTTAAGAATGAATATTCTAATCATTTACTTGAACAATTTCTGCAGCATGTGTTTCACGTTCAATTTTTGATTGTTGTTCATTAGAATGATTATTGGAATTGATTGATTCTTCATTTCTAAGTGTTTGTTGTTGTTGATGAGACAAAAACAATGTAAATGTTTCTTTAATCATTTTCGTATTAACTGGATCAACAAAAGATGCTTCAGCTAATTTATTTAATTCAATACTATCAACTTCTGATGAAATAGTTTCATCAATAAGACATAACGATGTATTATTTTTATTTTCTTCATTTTCAATTGTTTTTTCTAATTCAACAAAATCATCTAATGAAAGTGTTGCCATTGTTGTTGCAATTGATGTTCGATGATGATCTATTCTTGTTGAATTTGATCTTGCTGAACTAAATGATTCTTCATCTTCTTCTTCATCATCATCATCGTTATTATTGAATTCAGATAATACTTCCAAACGATTAAGAATATCATAATTCATTGTATCCAAAACTGATTGAGAAAGATCAATGATTTTTCTCTTATCTTCTTCTTCTTCAGATTGAATAATAGGTATAATATGAGTATTATTCGTTGAATAAATATTTGAATAGTTGAGAGTTATTAATTCTTCTACACGAGTATCATTTGATAGAGAAATTTCTGAAGAATTAATTAAATTCTCTCGTACTATTTCAATTTCTTGTTGATTTAAAAATTTATTAATAAATATCTCCTCTTTCTTCATTTCTATGATAGGTTCATTATCATCATTATTTGAATATTTTTCTTTTAATTCTTCGAATATCGATTGTTGACGAATATTATTATTTTCATTATTTGAAAAAAGTAAATCATGTGCAAGCATAGCTAAGATCATAATTGTATATCGTTCATCAGGTACATCTTTTGCATAATATTCATATTTAATAAGATCATATGAAAATGTACCAAATTGTTTAATACATTCTTCTAGAAATCGAAAATTTGATTTAACATTTCGTTCATAAATATTTATTAATGGTTGTTGTTGTCGTCCAAGTTCAAGATTAAATTGTATATGTTCATCACGTGTTTGACATGTTGCTAATGTTGTTAAATGTTTTATATCACGTGTATAATCACATAGAGATGGAAAATAATATGAAATAATATAAAGAAATGCACGTCCATCAGCAAATGATTCTTGTAAATCATATAACCAAAATTTATAATGTGCACAAATTAATTGTACCCATTTAATTAATAAATGAATAGTTGATGTAAAATTATGATTTTCTTTTTGTAAAGGTCTTATATCAGTTGTAATAAGACGTTGTTCAGTAGATGAACAGAATTTTAATAAATTTTGTGAAAGAATAAAAATTTCTTGATTTAATTTATCAATTGGAGATAGATGTTTAGGTAAATAGCAAATAGTAAAAATACGCCAGAGTAATTCAAGAGTACGTTGCTTGTTACCATTCATAATATCTTTATTTGAAATTCCAGTTAAATTAACATGTCCATATGTTTGAAGTAATTCAAATGCTTGATCAATATTAAGTAATTTATGAACAAGATTAACTACTGGACATTTTAATTTCGTTGATAAATCAAATCTTGCAACATGTTCATTTGTTGATGATAATAATATTTGTGCACAACGTGTTAAACGTATACCATCTTTTAAATCATCAAATAATTTATTTTCCGTATTTGTTATTAAATAATTATATTCATCAAGACATGTTTGTTTGTATGTTGGTTCATAACCAGCTAATTTAAGACGACGTAATAGATTTGTATCTGAACTAATAAAATCACGTGATAGAACATCAAGTGATTCTTTTGTTGATTTAAATTTTGAATCACGATTATATAAACATGGATCATTATCAATTAAACGTAAGATTTTTGCACGTTCAAGAAAAATAATAATTATAAGTAAATTTTTCATTGTTAAACGAATTTGTGCTGATGCAGTTTTATTATTAGAATTGATAAGATTTGTTTTCTTTGAATTAAGTTCATTGATGGATGGTGTTGTATGTATAGGAGATTGAATAAGATATTGATCAATAGCTAATTTCATTTGTTGATAATTTTCAATATTTATTGGAAATAAAATTTCCATTGCAAGACGAAACCATGTACGATTATAAGATGAAATAAATTTTAAGAAGACTTGTCGACTAACTGTTCTAGCTGAAAATATTAGATCAGGTTTAGGATTTATTCGACAATGATCAATATCAATATCAGCACTGATTTTTGTAGCAATTGATTGAATATCATGTGTAAACATTTCTCGAGCTCGATCACGTAATGCATACCAACGATTTGATTCAATCAAAGATTTAAATGTTTTCATTGATGATGTTGTTGTTTCTTCATTTGGTATGGATTGATTTACAGTTGTATTACATAGAAATTCAACAGGTGTAAATAAAGTATTCAACCATAATGTATATGCATGCGCTTGTTTATCAATAGTATTTATTGAGGAGAGATTAAATGGAATACGTGCTCGTATAGCTGGTTGAAACGATATTATTGGAGGACTTGGTGGTCGTAGTTCAGGAGTAGGTAATAATGATTCATGACTTGTCTTTATCATTGTAGAAGATTTAGGATATGATACAGGAGCTTTCCAAGTTGTTGATGGAGCTGGTCGAGCTTTTCTCTGTGTATAAACAGGTATATAAGTACTGTCATCATCGTCAATAACTGTTGATCGACTTGATGATTGTGGTGGACTAACAGTAAACATGCAACTGTCAATAGTCGATATTGATGATTGATCATTTTTAATTGATTCAATAGGTTTACGTTGTTCACAATGAGAATTATAATCAGAAAGAGGAGATATTTCATTGAATATACCCATAATACGATCTCGTGAGAGTAATGGTCGTTTAGGTGTAATAGAAGATTGTTCTTCATTATAATTGTCTAACTAATAAAAATAAAGAATAATTAGATATTTGAATAAATTAACAAATTTTAACAAACCTTCTTTCGTAAGGTCATAAACAAAAACTTCTCATGATTGAGATCATTTATCGGGTATCTATTTTCTTGATTCATAACTATGAAAAAGAACTTGATCTTTTTCGAAGAAAAATAGAAAAAAACGTTTTAAAACAGACTAATATCTGTACCAATATAAGCAAAATAAGATATTCACTAATGATTCTAATGATTTTTCTCCTTCTTCTTTCTTTTTCGAAACAAAGGATTTCTCTGATTTGCCAATAAAATTTAGGACTACACTTGGAATCATCGTATTGAAAGAGAGGTCACTGTTATACAATAATTTCTTTTCAACTGTGAAATATGATAATGTTCATTTATTGTTCAATCACCCAAGAATGTAGGTGTGGATGTGAATGTAGTTGTGAGTGTGCCACTTCTTTCCTCATACTTACACCTACCGTTGACTTGGAAATATGACAATATTAATTTCAAATATTTCTTAAATCATTGACAAAAAATATGTTCTCGTATTTATTTGAAAAAAATAAAAATCTCATTTAGTTCATATAGATTAAAAAATAATCTAAATACTAAAAAATAAACTATTGAAAAAAAATTGTTAAAATAAAAAAAATAAGATAATATGTCATATTTCTCAAACCGGATGGATTCATTATACTAGATTGAAACATCTGACATTAAATTTCATCTTCATATCATTGAAAAAAAAATAGAATTATGTTGATTGTCGAGTGAGTGGATGCGTACTTGATTCACCACCATCAGTAAAACTACAATAAGAAACGATTAAATAATGTAGGAATGAAATTTTAAAAAGGAATACTTACTAATCAGTAATATCACTAATTGAAAAAGCTAAATCATCTTTTCTTTCATCATTTTCCTGCTTACGTTGCGAAATAGACAAGTCGGAATCATCAGATGCTGTTGTCTTTATTGATGTTTGATTCAATTTTAAACTCACATCTTGACTTGTTGTTACTGTTGTTGGCGATTTCATAGTTCGACCAATATTTTCTGGTGTCTTTTCTATTGATGAGATTTCAGTTGTGTTCTTTCCTATACTTGCAGTATCAATTTCAACTTTATTAAGAAGAGATAAATGTGAAATAGTGCCAGTATTGATATTTTGAGGTGTTGATGGTGGAATACGAATCTTTGATATTGATTCTTTTTTAGGTGAACTAGTTATTTGAGGTTGAAAGCCAGCACGACGAGCTCGAGAAAACTCAGCCATCAATCGATGAGCACGTGTCGTATTATAAGAAGGTGGTGGTTTTTGTACAGTACTTGGAGACTATCGATAAGAAAATGAGCAGATATTCAATAGTAATAAAATCAACATACCGAAGTAGAAACAGGTTTTAAAGAACGACGTGGAGAAACAAAAGGAGTAGGCTGTTCAGTTGGTATATTTTGATCAATTAAAGAATTTTTCTGTTCAACGTTTTTATTCATTTTTGGTTTATGAAGGCGATCAACTAAATTACGTACATCAGTTTTTGTTACTATGATATGGTTTGTTTTCGGTGGTGGAAGTGGACGAATTCGACGAGTATTATTTATATTTCTTAGAATAATAACAGATTTTGAACGAATATTTGTTGCTGATGCGGGACGTATAGATTTTTGCTTTACACTTTTTTGTCTCTGTTCTATAGCTGTATGTGGTCGTTCACTGAGTATAATATGCTGAGACTGTTGTAATGCTAACGCTTCTTGAACAAGTGATCGAAGAAGTGGAAAATTATGTAAAAAATCTTTTGCTAATGTTTGTTGTTTCGAAATAATTTGTGTTTGAGAATTAATTGTCGATGATATTGATGAAGGTAAATCAAATTGTACATTATTTGTAGATTTTATTTTTATTTGTTGTTTTTTATTTATATTCTCATTTTCAATATGTGATTTATCATCATCATCATCATCATCATTAAAACTAGCAATAGGAATAGATGCCAGATAGGATAAACGATTTTCTTTTGCTTCTATAATTACTTTTGTTGATGGTGTCATCATTTGAAGAAAATCAGAATCAGAATTAAAATAGAGTGGAGGTGGTTGGTAGAAAGTCACAGTTGGGTCATCAAGTGATGGATCTTCAATAGTACGTAAATAGTGACTTGTTGATTGATGATAATTAGTTGATCGTGTTCTCGTACTTGTCCAACGTGTTTGAGCAGATTTATTATTATTCGATGATGATGGAAGATCACTACGTGATAATTGTAAACCAATATCTTTTTTTTCATTAACAAAATGAATATGTTTAACAACGGTATCTGCTGGTAGTACGGGTACTGATGGTTCAGTATTTTTTTCTTTAATTACAGTCGATGCTGGTGGTGGTGGTGGTGCGAATGATTCAATAATTTTTTCTTGATTATCTTGTTTTATCACTTGTTGATCATTAAGCATAGGTAATTGTGTTAAAATAGTTGTACCATAATGACAGAAACGAATCGCAACATCACATGTGCCAATTTTATTACCCATTAAATTAAAAAGTGTACAATGAAATGTTTGTTGTTCAACAAGAGGTATATCATTTCCATTTTTAATAATTGATTGATTTAATATTTCAATTAATTCATTTAATTTAACATTACAACTACCAATAAAATGTGATGTATTCGCTGCATCACTATTATTAATTTGATCAATAAGTAATAGAAACAATGGTACATTTAATAAATGTGTATATAATGTTCGAAAATATGTTTTAAATAAACATGATTTACCACGTTTAAAAGAAAATTTACCATTAGCTGAACGTAATTCATAAAATTGATCTGATAATAATTGACGCCAAGTTATATTTGGATAATCTTTTTTTAGATTATGAAATTCTTCAATTTGCCATTCATCAAAATACGGTATTGATACAGCTGGATAATCAAGTAAACGAAAAACCATACAAGGTAAATGACATTCTATATTAAGATCAATTTGAACATGACTAATAAGTACTTCAATAGAAATAAGACTTAAACGATTTTCTTTTTCAGGTATTTTTCCTGGCATCTACAAATACAACAAAAAGAAAAGAAAACATATATATTTATACATATATATAAATAAAATTTGTTGCATAAAAAATAATATCTTTAATATAGACTAAATTAAAAATTTATTATTAGTTGATACAATCAAACATATACATATGATAAATATCAAAAAAAAAATACAAGGAATAATAATTATAATGCACATTAAGTTATCATAGTATTGATTCTGACAAATGATAAAGACTAGCACCATTCACTATGATTTAAAAATAAGAGTAAATCATTTCAATAGATTCGAAAAATTTAAGTTTACTTCTTGTGTTCTTTGTTGATTATGGCTAATAAGACTAAAATAAAAAAACACAAGATTTTCAATTCAAATTCGTTCTCGTTTAATATATATATTCTCGTAAGTAATATAGTATTTTAAAGAACACTTAAGGAAATATCTTTTTTTTATTAATAAAAGTATGATTGTTAAAAAATATCATGTATATATAATTATGGAGAGCAGTAAATAGTAGAACCTTAAAATTATAATTTTAAACCAAATACTTGGAATTTTTGTTTTGTAAAGGCGATGTATTTGACTGTGATGATAAGCCAACTGTTAAGCTCGGTGGTCTTGCACCAGTACTACTATTAAGAGATTGATTCATTTGTTTATTATATGTATTTGTTGGTGATGGTATAGAAGTAGAAGCCGGTTCATTTTCAGGTGTTCTAATAAAAATTAATTATGAGATTTTATTCAAAAAGAAGAAATTAAAACCTTCTTCGAGTAAGAATTATTAAACTGTCCTGTAATGAATTAATACACGATTGAGATATTGAACGAAGAAGTAACATTTCCTAATATTCGAAAAAATAAATAAAAATAATTCATTTTATTTTATGTTCAGTTTACTTTCGATAGGGAATGTAAAGTAATATCATCAGGTATTACCTAAAAAGAAAACGTTTAAATAAATAACAAAAAGATCAAATTTATATAATACATCAATAGTTTCAACAAATTCTCGTTGATTAACTTCAACACAACGCATAACTTCTTTAAGTTCTTTAATAGTTTGTTGATGATGATCCATTCTATATAATATAAAAATGTATGGATTTATCTATTTCTTTATTATTAATCCTATACTTTGAATTTTTTCGATTTGTTATATGAATATTTGGTTCATTTGGTGAATTTGTTAATGGTGATACATTTGTTTGTTGTGTTTTTGGTATTGGTAATGATGAAACATACTTAATAATAAAAATTTATTTATACAATGAATCGTATAAGATTTCTTGCTTACAACATTAGCTGCATTTGATCCTGAACATGCTCGTAATTTATCAATCCATTTTTGTCTTCCTCTAGCATTCATTGCTGAGATAAAACGAAAACAAAAATTCATCAAATTACAAAACAAAATATTTTTTAATATCTACCACGTAATTTAAATGATTCTCCACTTACAGTTTGTACTGTAAAAGTAACATCATCTTCATTCGATGGTGATACCCAACAATCTATTAATTCGATTACACCTCTTGGACCTTTTTTTCGTACTTCATCTGGCTAAAAATCAAAATATATATAATATTTTTATTGCAAGAAAAAAACATTTATATACTGTAAAATAAAGTAAAGATTTTGTTTGTGTATCCACTACACAATATCGAGTTTGATATCCTTTAAATGCATTTGCATATTTGTTCAAATAACCTTGAAATCTAATATTAATCGAAAATATATTTGTATATATATACATGTACATTGAGACTCACGTAGATTCATCAACTGTATTCCAGTTGAAATTCAACATCTACAAAAATGAATATTGAGAAGAACTATTTTTTTTATTTATCTGATTTATCATAGATGTTTATTTTATTATTTAAGAAATAAAAAGAAAAAGAAAAAAAAAGGACACGTAATATATTATTTGACAATAAGGTGGAATACAAAAAGAAAAAGGAATATTTTATTAACCATATAATATGTATATAATCATTTGCGTCTTTTGTTAGAATAAAAAAATCACAGAATATAGATGATAAATAAAGAATAAATAAATGAAATAGAAAATCTTCTTTAGATGTATTCGTTTTACAAAATGAACGTATATATAGATACATATATACTTGTGTATTTTTAACCATTGCAAATAAAAAAAAGAATGAAATGCGTATTAGAAACAGATAATAACAAAAAAAAAAAGAAAGAAAACAGCGTCGGTTTTTTAATTTTCATCACTTTTACAAACAGCTTGTATATTAGGGCAAAGTGATTTAAGAGGTTTAGCACGTTTAATAAACGGATGACGAATAAGTTCGTTTGTATCAGCTCGTTGTTGAGGATCAATCATAAGACAACGTTTTAGAAAATTCATTGCATCACTTGATATACGTGCTTGTGATTCAGCACTTATTGTTGGTGGTTCATTTTGCATTGCTATTTTACACATAGCACGAAATGGTTGTTCATTTATATATGGTGGTGAACCATCAATCATTTCAATAATTAAAATACCTAATGACTATATACATATAAATAAAATAAATTATATGAAGTTTATCTTTTTTTATGACATACCCAAACATCAACTTTTCGATCATATTTAAGTCTATAAATAAAATATTTCATAATAATAATAATTTGAAAAAAAATAAATATTACTTTTTAATAACTTCTGGTGACATCCAATATGGAGTTCCAACCATTGTTGTTCGTAAACTTTCAGTATTAGCTAGTTGAGCACAAAAACCAAAATCAGTTAATTTAACTAAATAATTATTATATATTTATAATAATTCTTTGTTATTGTTATTTTTTTACCTGATCCATCAAAACCTACGAGTACGTTATCGGATTTAACATCACGATGAATTATATTTTTACTATGAAGAAATTGTAGAGCTTCAAGACATTCTTTTGTAACAGCTGCCATTTGACCTTCATCAAGTACTGTCTGTTCAACAATTTGTGTTAATTGACCACCATTCATATATTCCATAACAACTAAAAACAAACAGAAAATTTAATTTTCTTTTTATTTATTTAGAAAAAAGATTTTTACTCCATAATTCATTGGGTCTTAAATAACAATCAAGAAAATTTACAATTGAACGAAATCGACAATTTTTCATGACAAGAATTTCACTAACAATCAATTCTTTTCGTGGTTGTTTAGACCAAAGCATTCGTTTTATAGCTATTTTAGTATTTGTTTTTGTATCAATTGCTAAATCAACATCACCTGCTGCTCTGTTAAATAAAATTTCAAAAAACAAAAAATACAAATCAAACAAAAACTTTAATTTATTTGTACCCTGAGCCAAGTTTTTTCTTTATAATAAATCTTGATATTGGATCATCTTTAGCAGCATATGGTTCAAGTTCTTTAACTGCTTCTTCTTCGGTCATTTTTCGTCTATGATTTTTTGATTTAGTTCGTTCAATCGGTCGTAGTTCATGTGTTGGAGATACAGGGATTGGCGCAGTTGGTGTTATAGGATGATTCTCTTTATTAATAACTGGACTTGCTTTAGTTGTCGATGAAGATGACATTTTATTAGCTGCAGCTATGACTCGTACTGTTTTAGGTGGTAATGCTGGTGGTTGTTCAGATGGTTTACGAAGTTTTCCATTGATATGATTTACTGGTGGAATGTTATCATTAGGATACGGACGCACAGGTACAGGAAAAGAAACTGGTGTTGTTGGAATGCGTTTTGGTGAAGTTGATGAAAAAGTGTATTCATCACTTTTTCTATCGGTATTAATAAGTGTATCACGATCACGATTAATTTGATAAGTAGGATTATTTGTACCGGTTTTTCTAGTTTGTGGAAGATTAGGAGAGTTAGGACGTGAATTTGATGGAGTTGTTGATTCTGGTGAATGATAATCATCATTATCATCATCATCATCATCAGATTTTCCAGTATTTATCTAATTCAAATAAAATTAAATATTATATGAGTATATCGAAAATAATTACTTACATCTATGCTTTGTTTACGGAGAATCGTAGCACGTTTAAGTTCCTGAACAAAATTTGTAGATGGCTAAATAATTAATAAAATAAAAAAAAAGAATAAAATAAAAATTATATTAAATTTCTCACAGTAACATTTGTGTATGGAGATGGTGGTAAACCTGGTGTATATTTCTTAAAACCAGGACGATTACCAGACTGATCTTTAGTTGGTGAAGGTGGTGGAGGATTTCTATCAAGTCTCTCTTGTGAAGATCTAAGATCATTTTCTGTTTCACTTAATTCATCTCCCGATTCATACGATAATCCATCTGAATGAAATGCATCTTGAATACGCATATGTTTTGTTTGATTATCTATCAAAAAAAATATATATATAATAAAAAGGCTAGTTTAATAATAGATAAAATACGAACGATTTTCTCGAAGTGTCTGTTGCATAACTTTAAGTGCACAATTCATAACATGAGCCTTATCTTCAGGTCTTGAATTACTACAAACAAAAAAAAGAAAAAAAACGAATGAATATTTTATTTCATTAGTTAAATAAAATTACATACGCAAATAAATTTTTCACTTGATCTTCCCATTCTATCGGTAAACCATGAAATGTTTTTGTTTTTGAATCGTAAGAAACATGAACATTTTTCGTAACACTCAAAGGTGTTGAAATTTCTGATATTTGTTGTGAGCTTTTTTTTGAAAATAAATCACGGAATTTATCACCTAAACTCATATTTACACTAAAATAAAAAATAATAATAATAATAAATTTTATTTCCTATAAATTATTATCATGAAAAATAATTATATAAAACTTACTTTATTATTCCTTTTATTTAAACTATGCGCTCAAGTAAATAAATTTATGAAATAATTCATACTCATATATATATGTTCAAAATAAATACATTTTTTTTCTTTTTTCTTTTCTTTTCGTTCTTTCGTAATGTATGACACAAACTTGTGAACAAATAAGAACATGAAAAAGTAAAAGATGAAGAGTACGAAGATTATATCAGGGACAAATGATGTCTAGGAATGTAATAGATGTCAAATAGACAAGAAAAAAAAAGAAGATATATCTCGTTTTATTTCTCATTTTTTTTTCTTCTACTTCTATAAATAGTTTCACGCAAAATAGATCAACGAAGACAATTAAACCTTGATAAAAATATATGATGTAAGAAATCAAAACTTACTTTATAAATTTTAATAAAGAAATTAAATAATAATACTATATAAATGACGGATGTTGAAGTTATTGGCAAAAGCCATAATACTAGAATGAAATGTATATATATATAAAGACAAATAATATGAAAAGTGTTTATTAGAATTTCGAATAAGAGGATAAAGAATTTATGAATAGAAGAAACAGTCAAATCGAATTATTTTACCACACTGATATATATATATACAAGCAAAAGAAAAATAAATAGTATAGAAATACTATTAAATTTTCCTAGTGCTACTTATAAATATGATTTTTTTTTGCCCTCGCAGAAATAGAATAGTTACAAAGAAAAACTGACGCATCTATATATATATATATATGAAAAGTTGTATACAAGAAAAGAAAAAGGACATTGTAAATAATTGTCTGTAGTTTGATTGAAAAATATTCAATGAATATTTAAAAACGATTTTGTCGATGTTTACGTTGATTATTAACATCATTTGATAGTGAGGATGATGATGATGATGACGATGAAGCTTTACGTTTAACTGATGAAGACTGAGCTGCAGGTAATTCTTGTATTTCTTGAATATCATCTTCAACTGGTGTATCTTCAGTTAAATCAATTGTATCTGAATGATGATATTCTGGTCGATAAGATGCGGATGATTTTTGGTATGATCGATTCGATGCTTCCGCGGGAACACCTTGTTCAATTGCTAATTGTGCTGGTTGAGATCCTGAGGAAGGATGATGTAGACGATTTGACGTAATTTGATGATGATGATTAAAATAAGGATGATGCGGATGACGAGGAATACCTGCATGTGTTGAACGTTGACGCCATTCTTGTTTAAAACCATCTGTTTCATTTTCATCAAGATTTTCAAGTTCAACATTTTCCGATATTTGACCTGTTTCAACATTCATTTCCCGTTCAATAACATGTTTACGATCACCAATTCGATGACCAATTTGTACCTTATTTATTCCACGTTCTGTATCTCGAACAGCTTGTCGTGTTTCTTCAATACCTCCAGGTCCACGATTACGTGATGTTGTTTCTTGATAGACTTTTGGTCTTCCATCAGCTCCATTAAATGACATCACAGTTGTTGACGTATATGAATGTACAGGTGAATCTGGTATATGATTGACACCTTGCATCATTCTATTCATTATTGAAAATGGTGAAGAATGTATTCCAAAATCTCCAGTCAAACCATTCATACCACCAAATAATGGTGGTTGCATCATCAATGTATTGTTAAATAAAGATTGTTGATGTTGTATTAATGAATTACTATTTGTACGATGGTTACTATTATTCGGCATACCGAATAAATCTGTAGGAAAGCCAAACATCTGAAAAGAAAGCAAAAAATTTTCTTTTTATATTAAATAAACATACAACAAAATCTGTTTCTCTTTTTTTTTATGTTTATATGTATATCTATATACAATCAACATTCATATAGAACACAAACATCAGACATATAATATGTGATTATATCACAAAAGAAGAAGAAGAAAAAAAAACAACTAGAAAAACAAATTCGAATAGTTTTATAATATTCTACAGGATATAGAAAAAAAATTATATTTTCAGAATAAATGAATCAATAGGAAGTATTTCTTGTTGTAAAATACTTTGGAGAAGAAAGTCAATTGTTAAAATTTTTATTTGAAAATCAGAATTATTATATTTATGTAAATCTTGCAATAAGTATTTATCCATATCACATGATAAAATTAAACAATTTGGCATATTTATTTTTTCATTAATTGTTATTAATTGTTTTATTGTTGGAAATTTTTGATAGACATGTCCACCAGATGAATGAATTATTGATTTTAATATTATATGTGATGGTTGAATACTTGGTGTTAAAAAAAATGTATAATCAAGAAATAATAAACGATTTTCACGATAAATACGTTTATTAATTGATTGTTTAAAAAAATTTTGTGTTGTTAATTGAAATTCTTCATTAATTATCCAATCGGATTCTTCAATTGATAGAAAACATTTTTCTTCATTACATTTATCTAACCATGTTTTATTTAATATATATGTAACATAATTCATACATTCATATAATTTTTCTGTACGTAAAAATCTATTCATTATTAAATGTGTTGTTGTATGTGGTAATGTTGATATTTTACCACCTAAACTTTTTATTATTGTTTCATAATGATTTAATGTTTTCATATTAAAACCACTAAGCATAATCGATATTGATTCATTATTAATATTATTAACTAAAGATAATTCACTTAATGAATTAATCGGTTCATTATAATGATAAGAATTTTTTAAATAATCATGATCTATATCCATATCTTGAATATTTGATGATGATAATATATGTTGTTGTTGTTCATTATGACGACGTATAGATGAATTAAGCATTTCATCTGTTATACGTATAGGTTGTGACCATGGTAAAAGTAAATCATGAACAAAAATTTGATCAAATGAAAAATGATCTATTGTTGGTGTACTATTTAAACGTTTATAACGTTCTTCAATAGGTTGTTTAAGTGCACATGTATTACCTAAATATAATTCTGATAACCATATACCATTCACAATTGGTATTGACCATTCAAAAGCTTTTTTAAATTTATCAGTTTTGCCATTCTCACGTGCTAATAAATGTGTATGCCATTTACTTAAATGACCAGAATATTTGCCACCTAATGAACGTATCATATATCGAAGACGTGCTCGTTCAATACCTTCAAAACCAGTCATTGTAAAAAAATATTTTACTAATGGTAATTTCTCCGATTCATTAGGTTCAAATGGTGATGGATAATGTATAGCCAAATTAGGAACAAAAAGTTTTTTACGTTCTAATACATCATTAAGCCAATGTGCTGTTACCATTCGAATATTTCCACGTTTACATACTTGTCGAAATAGTTCACTTGTTCGATAAGCACATACAAAATGTGTTAAATTCATATGATTTATATCATCAGTTAATAGAGCACCATGATCAAGAATTGTTTTTGACCATGTTGATAAATTATCTTTTGATACAGTTGAAATATATTCACATGTATAAATATAAATAACACAACCAAGTAAACATTGTGTTGATGGAACAAGTTCATGTTTATCTTGTAAACAATAATTTAATTCATAGGAAAGACTTTCTGGTGGTGGTTGACGTGATGTTTGTAAATTTGTTTTACTATTTAATAAATTTGTTAAAACAGATGGACGAATTAATTTCTCTTCAATAGGTAACGTTGATAGATTAGTATCTTTAATTGTTGATGAATGACCATTTTGATTTGAATGTGAACTATTATTGGCTGTGGAATTTATTTTTGTATTACGTTGTCGTGGTGTTGTTGTCGTTGTTCTTGTACGAGATCGTTTTGGAGGAAATGCTTTTGTTTGAGAAATATCCTTAAAATAATAAATTTAGAGATGAAACTCAAGATATATATATTTATTAATCTAATAAAAATAAATAAAGAAATTAAAACCTGTCAATAAATCAAAATCTATTGATAGTTTTAATAAAATTGAAACGAGAATTTTTAAAAATTAATTATGAATAAATCAAAATCTCTATCAGATCAATATAAAATAATTATTTTGTCTTGCTTTTCCCTGGATGATATGAAGAATAGTTTTTAAAAATAATACTTATCTTCTTATATTTCAGAAAATACGCACATTTGTAGATACTAGTGTAATTCGAGATAATATAAAAATAACCTTGATACTCAATATCTTTTTTTTTATAAGTTTATGATTATTTAGAATAGAATTGAAATTTATCGTTATTATATACTTCTCTTACAGATGAATCAGGAAGATTAGTACCATCATTCATTCCTGGTACTGGTTCTGCTGATGGTGGTGGTGTTGTTTGATCAGATTGATTAAAAAAATTCTTTGTTATTAATTGTGAACGATGTGTTGTACCAGTTGTCGTTGTTTTTGTTGGTGTATGTTCATCTGTTGATTGATTATGAAGATTTTCATTATTTTGTTCATCATCTAATTCATCTTCATCAATATCCATAGGTTCATTTGGATCTCGAAGTAAATCTGGATGATAATCCATTTCTTCTAATAAACGACTTGCATTTAAACAATCAATAATCCAATCTGGTGTTATTAAATGAATTTTTTCCGATTGTATTTCATATGCAAGTTGAAGGCGTTCATTTGTATTTGATTGATTATCTATAGTTTCATTTTCATTTTTTACTAATGCTGATGCACAAATAATATGTGTACAATTAGGATCATCTAAATTAGCTGTCCATCGACCACCATAATAAGTTACTAATGCATATAATCTATTATGATCTTCGTTTGTTAAATTCGCATTCGTAAATGTACATGAACGAAATATATGTGCAGTATGATGATTATCATCATTACGAAATGGATCAATCGGTAATAATGTATTACATTTTAAACATGCAATTATCCAACTTGAATTAACAATTGGAGTTTGATAGATTTCAATAGCTTGTTCTAATTCACTTTTATAACTGTCAAAATCATCACATATAACATGTGTTGTAGTTTCAGTTAAATAAAATGATCTTGTAGCACCATTCTGTTTAAATGTTGTTTCAAGGGATGAATCATGAAAACCAGTTGTAAAATATTTAATTGATGAAAATAATTTTACATCATTTGTCGACATATCTAATAAAAATAAAACATAAGTAAGTTAAAAGAATAGATTAGAAAATAAAAAAAAAAAGAAACATAAACCAATGATAATAGCCATATTGTTTATTTTTTATATTTTAAAACAATATGCATAGCAATGCACTTTGATATACATATTTTAAACATATAGAATTATCAATTAAGTTAAAAACATCTCATAGATCAAATTTTTTTCTAATAGAATAATAGAAGTGTCGATTTTGATTTGTTTATTTGTTTATTATGAACCTAAAAAATGACTCATCGATATACTTCATCGCTATTGGTTTATTATTGATGTATCAAAAAGTAGACAATTGACTATAGGTAGATTATATGTCAGTTATATCTAGATTTAAATATTTATCATTCTTTTTCCAATTGTAAAATAGAAATAATCAATTATTATCCTTCAATATATTTTTTAATGATTTTATATTCACAAAAAAAAGAACAGACATAATATCGACAGCATAATCATAGTTCATTCAAATTACGTGATAATCGTTCTATACTCGTATGATATTTATGTATCATTTACTTCTGATTATATTGAGACGATGATAAATGTTTCTCTGTAATTGAATAAGAACAATTTACCTTGTTCTAGACTATAATTGATGATGTATTCTCATTTCATACTTCAGTAACATATATATCAAAGATTGAATAATAGTATACAAATAATTAATCAAATCTGTTTGAATTCTTCTAGTTAATAGTTTTTATCGAAATATCTTGAATGACTTTATAAAGGATATTAAATTAAAGATAACTTATTCTCAAATAACTATCATACAATTGTTAACAAAGAAAGAAAAACAAATAGTTACTGATAAGAAATATGTTTTGAATCAAAGAACAAGAATAGATAGAGAAGAAGAAGAAGAAGAAAGAAACGAACATACTCAAACATTATTTAATATCTTCTCCTACGTTTCGATTATCTCATAGTTTTTAAAAGTAATGAAAATGAATATATTTCATATATATATATGTTTCTATTATTATATCAATCAATATATTTAATTAGGAATGTCGACATCTAATATACCAGATTCCCCATCAATTAGTACAAGCGAAATTGATACAGAACGTTGTAATCTCCGGCCACAACGTCCTCCGCCACTACCTCCTGTACAAACTGACTTTTCTACATCTATTGAATTAGCAGTACCATCTGCTGAATGTATATTGAGCGCATATGTTTATTTACTAATCATTTCTGTTTATTTATAATTCTAGCTGACATTACGCTTTCAATTACAGATACACCCAATAATAATGTAGAAGATAATCGTCCATCACTTCTGTAAATTTCTCAAAATATGTTTTCTTTATATTTCGATAATATTTTATTTTTAATAGTAGATTCGAATTCAATGAACTATTTGATTCATTTGATTATGAATCTGTTCGTAATAAAATTTTAAATCGTCAAATGACAACATGTTCATTTACTACTGTTCTATGGCGTATATTTTTACATTGTTTACCACGTAGTTCATGCCAGTGGAATCAGATAATTGATGGATCACGTGCTGAGTATGATGAATTGGTAGAAAAATATCTTCTTGATTTACAAAAAATTCGAGAAAATTATGCTGATGCAAAACATCTCAATCATCCACTTTCTCAAGAAGAGAATGTGATTAAATAAACAATTATATCATTTTACTTATTTATTTATTTTAGAGTCTATGGAATCAATACTATGTATATGAAGAACTCAAAGAAAATATATATCAAGATGTTATACGAACGTAAATATTTAAATAAATTTTTTTGATTTATGAAATTATCTTTTTGTAGTTGTCAAGAAATAGAATTTTTTCGACAAAAACATGTTCTTGATCTTTTACTCAGAGTTTTATATCTTCATAGTCGACATCATGGAGAAGCTTTACCTTATCGACAAGTAAATGAAAAGTATTCATTTTTTTTCTTTAAAATATTTTCATTTTAGGGTATGCATGAAATTCTTGCTGTTATTGTCTATTTGATTCATAACGAAAGTGTAATAATAAATGAATACCCTGAGTCAAATGAAATCATGAAGAAACTTTATGATCCAAAATATCTTGCTCATGATTCTTAGTAATCTTTTGTTTTTAAATTATACATATATACATATATATTTATTTAAATTAGTGCGATATATTCTAAAATTATGGACCATATTCATCCATTTTATGATTTTAAATCAAATAATGCAATTGCACGTAAAGTAAGAAAATTTCAATTTTGAGAATTTTTTTTATTGAGTATAAATACAAAAGGTATTATTTCAACGATTAAATGATACACAAGTTCAAATGAATGATACTGTTATGAGAGTGAACGCGATTTTTCATCGTTTGAAAGATTTTGATCGTCCACTCTTCGAACAACTGCAAGAATTAGATATCGAACCGACCGTTTATGGCATGTAAGGAAGATTTTAGTTTTGATTTCCATGTAAAGCAAAAAATAATAATTTTCCTCTCTTTCTATACAGACGTTGGCTACGACTTTTATTTGGACGTGAAATTCCTTTTGGTTCTATTCCAAGTAAATAAATATATGCATATGTCGATGTCGCCAAAAATCTTGAGTTTTAGATCTTTGGACAGTCATCTTTTGTTATGATGAATGTTTTGCATTTGTGGATTTCTTTTTTCTTGCACTCCTAATGGAAATTGGACAAATATGTATGTCATTATTCTTTATTATGATTACATCATATATAAAATAATCTTCTTTTGTTTAGTTAAAAAACATGGTATATCAGAGTATAGCTTTTGTTTACAATATCTCATGCAATCAAATAACATAAATGATGTTGAAAGTGTCATTCAAAAAGCACTTTCGTTAGAAAAACTTTCTAAAGCAAAAGAATCACGTTTAACATCAAGCTATTCTGCATTAACACAATCGAATCGTTATCCTACACCAGGAAGTTCAAAGCCAACTTCACCTACACAAAGTTATACACAAAATCCAATGATTGATGCAACAAGAAATAGTACTTCTACAACACCATTTATTTTATTATCACCACCAGGAAAGATTAATTCGTCAAAAGCTACAAAAGAATCTGAAATGAATGTATGTATTTAATATTCATCTGATTTATTTTATTACCAATAGAAATTATAGGATTATCCAGGAAAAGAAGTACGTCAACAATTTGAAACTAATATTCAAATACAAAAATATTGTGCAGAATTTATGAATAAATTTATAGGTATTTATCATTGATTCTATATATTTGTAATATCTATATAAATATACATATTAGGTCGAATACGAAATCGTGTATGCGGTTCGCCAGATTCAAATGATGAAGTATTGATTCAATTGAATGGTTTGGAACAAGTATATCCATGATATTTCATAAATTTAATCTTAATCTCTTATTTGACTCATTAATCTAGATTGCTAATATACTTGAAGGTACATTAACATTTGATGATAGAACTCTTGAAGCTCTTGCCAATTATAAACAAAAAGAAAAATTAATTGAAAATGATAATTCTGATGCTATTTAATTATAAGAACAAAAAATTTTGTTGCTATTATAAAATTGATTTTGTTTCTTAGTATCTATTATTTTATTTATCATTCATTTTATTTATGTAAAAATAATTCTTTTGTTTTAAATATAATACAAAAATGTGAAATAATCATAATTTAGTTTATACATTGATGGCACTTATGTTACTTTTTTTCTACTTCTATACTCATTATTCATACATTTAAATCAATAAGAAAAAAAAAGTGCTTATAAGTGTGTATTGAAATGAATAAGAAGATTTGTTTGAAAAGAAATATGATATATGTTTATATAGAACATTCGCTTTCACAATTACTTTGTATGAAATCAATAGCTATGATTCCATCGATTTAAGTCTTTCTTATCGAATGAACAAGACATAGAATTATTTGTTACCTCGCGTGAGTGAATATGCACGTCATTAACATACTAACTTTAACAATGACTATGACTACTACTACTGTTTCTACTATCACTATTCTAATAGTAATGTTCAGCTTGATTTGATCAATAAACATGTTCATTATGTTCTGTCTCACTCACTCTCTCTCTCTCTGTTTTTCTTTTGTGTGTATTAATGAAGGATCTGTTGCACCAGCTGAATAAGAGAAAGAATAGACACGAAGAAAGGTGTGAGAATTGATCAGTTAAATTGATCGAATTAAATTGACTACTTTGATTTGTATATCTACAAATAATTCACACTACGATAGAATGTGATGATATCCGGGATATTTTTTATACATATCTTTGTCTTTATATCTATATATATGCTAAATGTATATTATGTCTATATACATAATATATTAAGAGAATGTTCCGATTATTATTGTAACTGTCTTTCTTTTTTTCTCTCTTTTACCAAACTCAATTAAATGTACGTTGTTATTTCTACTTGTCATTGAATCAAGATATAGCCATATTGACGCAGTCTGTGTCGATTGTCTCGTTCCGTTTATTCAGTACAATGACAGATGGTCAGCCACTTGAGAACAAGAATGAGATTGAACACCCATACTCCTGTTCTTCTTCTTCGTCGTCGTCGTCGTCGTCGACGTCTGTTGTTTCCTCATCTGACCAACCTTTCATTCATGTTTGACACCGACAATCATCATCATTATCATTAACTCTAGTAGTCATAAATAAAGCAATGAAAAAAGTATGAATATTTATACATCTATATATATGTGTTCTCTTAACATAATTGTCTGCAAAGTTTTGATTGCTTACCTATAAAGAATAGTCTCTACATATGCTTACACTTCATGCATTCCTTACTTATACATATAAATATGTAGAGTAATCAATCATCAATTTCCGTTCTGTTTTGTTTTGTAAGAACGGTAATTACAAATATTGAATTATAGTCATATACACGCAAATATTGTTCTTCTTATATTATGTGCACATATAGTGGTGATGATGATGATGATGATCATATTCATTCTTATAAAGAAAATATGCATGCAACCTTATCATTAGAGTAGTAGTGTTAACTGTATTGGATGAGAGAAAACGTCGGCAATTGACTACCATCTTGATATAAGCAGTGTGCTATTTTTCCATTAAAAAAATCATCCAATTTTGCCGCACAACGTCATTATCATCTCATCGACGAGCCATAAACCGCGGCAACAGCAGTTGCGGCTTCTGTTTATGTATACCCTCTGTTACCAGTCGCGTCTCTACCGTCGAAGAGAACAAGTCTTCGTTTTTTCTCTTTTCTTCGTTTTCCCTCCTGTCATACATTCATCTCATATATATATATATATATATATATTGATTGAACATTGTTGGTACCGTCAACGAGAAAATGAAGACGCGCGTGTGTATATATATATGTATATTCATATGACAAATATTGTTCTAAGATCGATCTCTTTTTGGGTTACTATATAATAGATAAATTATACTGATGAACATATATATACAATAGGAGTTGGCTTAAGTTGAGCAAATACACGAGATCATGGTCACAATTAGGTAAGTAATACGATAGAGAAAAAGAAAAAGAAGTGATAGAATTTTTTGATATAGAACAATGTCCTTGTTTTACCACAAATTTTTTTCCCTTATGGCCAACAAAGAAGAAAAAAAAAAGATTATTTCGATGATTAAAAGATGAAGAGTTGAGTAACTTGCATAACTAATATATTCGCTTGGAGAGTAAAATGACCATCTGGACTCAGTCTTGAGCTCGTTAACCATATCAACAGCATATTATTCTTAATAAATGCATGTATGTATTTTTGTGTGTTATGCTTAGATATCCAATTGATGTCACAACCAATATGTATGAATCATATATTTACTGTTTGGTCAGAAAATGTACATCTGGGAAGAAAAAAAAATGTTCAAAGTAATGGATGATTCTTTAGGGAAATTCATATAATACTTTGTCTTACATATTCACTCTCTCTCTCTCTCTTTGACATATTCACATACTAAGATCGAAATGCCAGCATTTATTGTTAGACAATTGTATGTGCAATTCACCATGACTAGTATCAGCATCAGCAACTTCCCTGATGTGTAGACGTCTCATCAACGTACTCTCTTCCTTATGGTTACTTGTATTCTTTACACAGCATGTTGTTAAGTCTCTATATATGTTATTGTTTAACTATTATTGCATCATAGAGTCACTGTATTCTATTTGAATCTCATTTTGATATTATGAGAAGAAAAGTCAAGAGAAAAGAAAACATATATAATCAATTTTATTGTATACATATGTATTGTATCGTATATTTCAATTTATAATTATTCCAAAAACAATAGACGCCAACAATTGTACTAGTTCATGTAGTTAGTCATCTTCAGCACTTATTACTTATTCTATTAACACTTTTTTTTGTAAGTACACGAGCATTGTTTGATCAGTTTATACATATATATATATTCATGAGAAGGTCGTCTAATTTTATTCTTAGTATTATTGTCGGAATATATAAGTATAGAGTATCATGATTAGTTGCTCATTCATTGTCTAGATTTTCTTTTTTTTATAATAATATTATAAATTTTATTTTTTGGTGTATTCTTCTAGTCTACCTTCAATTTATACAGATCAAAGAGAGTAGAGCAACGGTCAAAACTTGTTATTCTTTTTCATATGCATACATGCACATGTCAACATCATATGTGTGTGTGCGTATATATATACTTCGATTGAGCCTTGACCGTATGCGTAGCGAGATCTGCTCACTCGTTGACTACTAATATTACTCTGTTACTAATTGTCAATTGCTTTATGTTTATGGTCACACTTACCTATCGACACGAGCACACGTCATCAACTGATTTGAAGAGGAAGAAGAGGCAGAGAGAGAGAGAGAGGGACAGGAAAAAGAGAGTTAGGTAAGAAGACAAGTAAGACATTTGAAAGATGAGGTGTGAAGGATGGTACAGAAACAACACGTTATCGATGTGTATATATGTATATATCAATACATATTGATAAGAAACAATAAATAGGTGTCTCAATACTCATACATTGCATCATTCCTACAACTATAATGATAAAGATCTATTACTGTTGAGAAGCAAGAGAAAGAGTCAATGGCTCGATTATTTTCATTTCAGTTGTACGCTAATTAAAATAACTGCAAAGTTTTTCTTATCATATTTATCATCTTGTTATGGTTATTGTAGTTACGTTTCGTTCTCTTTTCTACACATTATCGATCTTATTTCTTCCGGTTGTCCATATTTTTCTTTGTTGATATGTTTGCATGTCAGGAAAAAAGACAACTATAAGCGGTTTTGTCATTCTTTCTTTTTTCTTTGTCACATACGTACAAATTATAATCGAGTTTGAAGTTTCTTTCTTTTTCTTTTTCTCTCGTTTTAACTTGGAGTACAATAACCGAGAAAAAGAGCGATCAATAAGAGTAGTCATTCTTTCGTCTTTTCTATATTTCTTTTTCTTTTTTTTTGTCGGTTAGAATTTCCTTTTTTTCCTATTTGATTTCCTACTTTAATTCTAATTATTTCTTTTTTTTTCTAGATGATAAATCGAGATTGTTTTCAGTCAAATAATGATAGTATTTTTCAATTATCGATTTATATAAAACAGTGGATATTAATTAGAAAATTATAATGTTATTATTTATACTCAGTTTTTCATCGTTTATTTCTTCACTTTATTCATTCAATTATCAGACTGTTGAACATTGGAGATATTTAAAACAAGATAAACTTGCACATAAACCATCCTATTTTGGTTATTCACTAGCTGTTCATCGATCAAGGTAAAACAAAATCAATAGAACAAAAAAATCAATATGTTTTTTTTTCTTTTTTTTAATAAAGTTTATTAGTCGGTGCACCTCGTGATCATTCACCACATGATATTATAGCAAGACGTGGTGCTATATGGACATGTGAATTTCATTCAGATGATCATTGTCAACGTATACCATTTCGCCGTGATGGTAAATAGATAAATTAATTTTTCTATTTATATTACAATAGATGCTTTTTTTTGTAAGGCGAAGCAAATGTTCGTGTTGGTACTTCATTTGATAATAAAACTGATCAATGGTTAGGTGCATCATTAGCAGCTAACGATGGCAATATAATAGTAAACTTTGATTTAATGGTTAAATCGATTATATATAATTAGTTTTTCATTATTTAGGCTGGTGCACCATTTCTTAAACATCGCATAAATGATGGACACAGCCTCGAGTATGAAATACCGGGTGGTGCACTTATTGGAAAATATGGTACATCATTATCCATGACAGACAGTACACAAATATTTTCTCCGTCATTTCTTAATTGGCGTATGGTTTTTATTCTACAGATTTTTGTTATTAAAATAAATAAATATATGTCTATTATTAGATTCTCGAAATTATAATCAAGAAGGTTATGGTGAATTTGGTTTTCAAGTAGCATTAAGTAAAAAACCAGAACGTATTATTATAACAGCACCAGGTTCATTTTATTTTCGAGGTAATAAAAAGAATTTCAAATAAATAAAAAATCTCAAAAATAAATCTTCAATAGGTGGAATACATTCAATACCAATCCTAGAAAAAAATTGGATTGATTCAAGACATCCATTTACTTCTCCACATTATCAATGGCGTGATGCTGGTTGGCTTCGATATCCATCAAATTATTCATCGAATGAATATGATGACTGGTGTTATCGAGGTAATTAACAAAAAAAACAATTATATAATCAAAATAAAATTTTATTAAATTATTTAGGTTATGCATTAGCTTTAGGAAATTTTAATAATGATAAAAATCAAGGTAACAAACTTTTGTTTATTTTACCTCGAATTTATAAAAAATAAAATCTGTATTGAATAGAACTTGTTGTTAGTGTACCTAAATTACATAATTATCGTGGAGCAGTTGAAATAATGAACAGTAATCTTGATGAACGTTCTATTCGAACATTAAATGGTACACAAATTGGAGAATATTTTGGTGCATCATTATGTGTCATTGATATCAATAATGATGGGTAAATATTCAAATCAAATCAAATAATCATTTATTTTGATTTTTTTTCTTCATAGACTTGATGATTTACTAGTCGGTGCACCATTATATACAGTAAAAAAAGATGGTCGAATTATACCGGATGCCGGTCGAGTTGTTATATTTCATCAAACACCGGAGGTTTACTTTTTTTTCTTGCAATCAAAATTTATTTGTAATTAATTTATTATTTAGCATAAACTTATACAAAAACAAACTATTGAAGGAACACGAGAAGGAGGACGATTAGGACATGCATTAGCAAATTTAGGTGATATTGATAAGGATGGTTATAATGGTATGAAATAAATTTGAATCATATTATTTTGAAAAAATTATTTTCTTTCTTAATAGATGTAGCTATTTCAATTCCATTTGGTAATAAGAATTCATCGAATACTGTTCATATCTATCGTGGATCAAAAGATGGACTTATCTTAACACCGACACAAGTGAATAATTATGATACAATTTAGTTTTCCATTTTTATATTAATGAATCATTTCTTTCAGATACTTCAACAAGTTTCCTTAAAAGGATTCGGCTGGGCATTACAAGGTCAATTTGATTATGATAATAATGGCTTTTTAGGTAAAAAAAAATAATATATAAATATATTAATTGTTATCCTTGTCACGTTTCCTTTCTTTATACAAATTATATAGATTTAGCCATCAGCAGTATTCATTCGGAAACCGTTGCTATCGTTTTGTATGTTATTGGAAGTAATTAGTATTTTATAATTTTTCCTTTTCCTAAAGGTCACGACCGGTACTTCGCTTACAAACAAAGCTAGACCATAGTTCACCGACAATTCCACTTAATTGTACATTACGTAGTGAAGATGCATGGTAAAAAAACAAAATGATTTTTCTTGAAATTTCTAACATTTAATATTTCTTTTTCTTAGTTTTGTTCTTAGTATATGTATTTATGTCAATGATAATAATTATAAATTTTCAAAACGGGATTGTTAGTATAATTGTATAGAAAATTAAGGAAAGAAATATTTTTTTTCTTCTAGCATTGACATATGAAATACAACTTGATAAAGATAAAAATCAACCTGATAAACGTTTATTATTTCGTGAATCATATAAACCTTTTAAAAAACGACAATTAAGATTAGCAAATCATGTTTGTCATGATTATTCATTATATATGAAAGTATGTTAGATTTTTTGAAATTAATTTTTCATATTTTGTTATTAATGTAGGATGATGTTAGTGATAAATTAAAACCAATACATATATTTGTTGAATATACTCTTTCATCAAAATCAAATCCTAATATTGTTCCACCAATACTTGATCCAGCAAATTCATCATTTAATTATAACGTAAAGAATCAAATATTTGTAGAACGTTCATATAGATAAGATGTTACTGTTTAGATTCCAATACAAAAAGATTGTGGTTCAGATGATACATGTGTATCAAATCTAACTATATCAACAACAAAGTATACATATAGATAAATGATTCTCTAACTATTCATTGTTATTTATATAGATGGCCAGATATTTATAAAGTTGGTTTAACGAAAAAAATTCTTCTTGGTATAAGTGTAATGAATACAGGTGAAAATGCATATGATACAAAATGTTTTATACAATTACCTGTGGGAGTTGAATATGTTAGTGCAAATTCAAGTTCAATTGTAAGAAGAAAATTCTTTTGAAAAAAAAACAAAATCCAATTTTTTAATTATTAAGATTAATCTTTATTGTAATTTGATGAAACAATCTGATCGTATTGTTGTTTGTCAACTTGGTAATCCACTTTTAGCAAATACGAATGTAAGTTTACGAAAAAAATTCGAAGTATTAAATATTGTATTTTTATTAATTCTAGATATCATTACAAATTCATTCAGCTGTAAATAATTATTCAGCTATACAAGCAGATCCACTGATATTTTTTATTAATGTAACAAGGTTAGTTCAATTAAGAATATTAACACTAGACATACTCTTCATATATTGAACAAAGTAAAGTCTAATGAAATTTTATAATATTGTGTTTTAGTGATAATCCAGATTCAAAAATATTATCAACAGAAATCATTCTACCAATATTTAGTATACCAGAATTAGATTTAATCGCGTAAGATAATAATATTTTATGAATAGTTTTTTTAATTGCTTGTAATTTTAGTGTTGCGAAACCAGAACAGATAGCTCCTGATACATCAGATAATGTCATTGTCAGATATACCAGTTCTAGTTCAAAACCAAATGATCTAGAAATTGTTCATACATATACATTACATAATAAAGGACCAAGTGATGCTAAACTTACAGAAGTTAAATTAATGTGGCCAATGCTTCCATTAACTGGATTTAATGAACAAACACCATTATTACATGGAATTGGTACACCAAATATTATTCGAGTATCAGATCCAAAAGCAAATAAAGATATATGTCGTATTTATCGTTCAGTAAGAAGAATGAAATTTATCGAAATATAAAATGAAAATTTATTTTTTTATTATTTAGTCAGCGTATAAAGTTCCTCAAATAGAAAGTCCTCGGAATAATCAACAACCATCATTTTTTGAAAAATTTCGTCCACCATTAACAAATACTCTTCTACTACAAGAATCATCTACAGTCGATCATCCTCAAGAATCATTAGTACCATTATTTTGTCATGGACCATTATGTAAAACATATATTTGTTCTATTGAAACATTACCTATTGGTCATAGTGTTTTAATACAATTAAAAGCAACTTTAAGATATAGTTATTTTCAATCAGTAAGTAAATTTTGAAAAAATAACAAAGATTAAGAATTTCTTTTTTTTATTAGAAATTTGATCGTTCAAAACCATTTATTATTGCTTCAAATGCAAGTGCACAAGTACGAGAATTACCATTCAATTTTTCAGGAACAAAATTTCAACAACAACCAATCATTCAATCAAAGGTATTTGTTGTTATAAGTGTTACAATAATAATATAGATAGAGAAATTTATTTTTAATTATTCATGACAAAAATACTTAGTTTTCTATAAGATAATTATTTGTTATACTAATTCAGTTGGTAATTGATGACGATATTTAGGCTTGTAAAAACATAATATTCGATAAAAAGCTTCCCGAAATTTGACATGTAAACATGAATAAAGAAATGGATTTATTGTTGAATTTAACCATAATAACCAAAATGTTATTTCATATATAAGTGAAGGTATACATTTATCTGCTTGTTTACATACGGCACGTACTAATGTTAATAATGTATATGGACACCAACATATAACAAAAGCAAAAACGAGTATAAATAAATTTTTTGCTGCTCGACGATCTCGTGCTAATGATGTTGATTTAGGATATTTCGATGAAGATCTTCTTACATCTTGTTCTTTTGATAAATTAACATCGGATAATTTTGCATTAAGTCCATTATATGTAAATTTCATTGTATTAGTTCGTATAAGTCCACGTGAACGTTGTCTTATATTTAAATAGACTAGAAGATTAAGTGTTGTTAAACTAAAAAATGGTACAAAAAATTCTACTAATGCTGTTGTTATTAAATAAGGAAAATTTTTTGCAAATGGTGGATCACATGTTCGATATTGATATGGTTCACTTCCAGGTAACCAATCCCATAATATAATTGCTGGACCTATTATTAAGAAAAATAGAAATCGAAATTGAATAAGAATATAGAAATTTTCGATAATTTAATTCATGAATATTTCACGATGTCTTTCTAATAGAGAAAATACAAATTTTCAGTTCCTATCTCCTATAAATAGATTATTGTTATGTTGTATTTCAACAACTATAGAATAAGTCATGTGTTATTAATAGTATGCGTGATAATCTTAAATAAAATACACTCAATTATTGATTAGCATGTCAGATAAGAACCATTAGAATTCGAAAATAATTTTTCAGATATGTTAATGATATCTATACAAGATGTTTTTTATAAAAAATATCTATACCATAATTAAGTATTGCAATAAGCCAAGTACCAAAAACAAATTTTAATGCACGTTGTATAGTTATATCTGATAGATAATTTAAACCTTTTGATACCATTTGATAACGATCATAAGAAATAACAACAATACATAATGTTGATGCTGAACCAACAACATAATCGAATACAAGCCATAATTTACATAAATGATAACCGAGATACCATTCATTGAATATAAATTTATGAGCATAAAGTGGAATACTATAATAAATTTATTAAGAAATTAGATATAAAAATGATGTTTTTTTAATGATGAAGAAATTAGTAATAGAAAAAGGAAACATTTTCTTAGATGATTTTCTAATTTTAACGGATATCCGTTAATGTCTAAGAGGAATAGGGACACATAGGAAATTAATTCGAAAAAAAGCTCGAAAAATAATATACTTCCTTATTCTTAATTAGACACGAATAGATAATTAGCGTGCACAAATATACCTTATGGTATTTTATAGAGCAAAAAAAATAGGTTTTGTCAAAAACTCAAATATAAATATTCTATCGCTCTTGATTTTTTCCTTCCTATAGTTTATCAATTATATATAAACTCTTACCATACAAGTCCAACACATAGATCTGCAATTGATAGATTAAGAATAAAATAATTTGAGTATGTACGTAATCTTGCGTCAGTTATAAATGCAACAATAACTAGTAAATTACCTAGTACAGTTATTAATGTCATTATTGACACAAGAAATATAAGCGTAAAATTTGTAATTTTTCGTGAAATAATATCATTTGTAATATTATAATTTTTTAATAGATTTTGATTGGAAATTGTATGTGATAGAATAGTCGATGGATAAAAAATATTTTTATCATTATGAATAAAATTTGATATTAATGCATTATTATATTTGAAATAATTGTCACTATTGACAATATTGGATGAAATAACCCATGTTGAATTCATTGTGAAACATTACTTTTATAAATACATCTGAAATAATATATATATATAAGAATGTTAGAAAGATATTTTCTTCTACGTAGTTAGTCTAGAATGAATATCCAAATCAGAATGGTTAATCGTAAAAATAATTTGAGAATGAAAAGAAGAAAATAGAAAAATATTCTGATTTTCTCTTTCTCTCATTCTCTTTCTGATTCTTCGAAATATTTTTTCATTTAATGAAGAAGATAACTAGACAACGGAACCGATGAGACAGAAGTATATTAATAGAACACGAGAGAGCGAGGGGGAGAGAGAGAGAGAGGCATACAATAATGAAAGGAAATATATTTAGTTTGCGTGATTATACCTTCTTTACTACTATTACAAAAAAAAGAGCATATTGAACGTGCGTATGCAATACGTATATACAGTGCACAGAAGATTCAGATTTATCTCAAAAAATTTCACGCTGAAAAAGATACTAATTTTATTATGATTAATTCATGCTGAAGAAAACATCTGATTAAAAATATATAATATTTGAGTAGTATATTTATACAACATCTGTTGTTGAATAAAGTTCAGAAAGAAACGGTTAAATATATTATTTATCATAGAAAAAGTAATTTTTTATCAATATTATTTGTTCATTTTTTTTGTAGAGTGTAGCAAAAAAAGGTACCTGACTAATTGAGAGAGAGAGTAGCGTTGAGAAAACAATGCATAAATAATAGAAGAATTTTTCTGTAAAAAATAATTGTCATTATTAGTTCAATAGCGATAATAACACGCAAAAAAACATCAAGATCGGTTTTTTACCATTATATTAATGCAATTCTTTTGTTTTCTATAACAGCTGTTTGTCTCATATAACATCATTATTTCAATTAAACACATTACATTTTCGATTGTTTGAGTGCATAGGTAAAATGTGCCTTTTACTTTATTCATGTAATTACTATAGTAATTAATTTAATTAGACTTCCTGTTTCTAAATAGTATCATAAATAATAAAAAAAAAAGAGTATTTATTGACAGATCATCGATTCAATTGATTAAGAATCAATTTGTTTTCTTGTTCCGATGTATTATAGAAGGTAAAAACGAAACAATATATCTATACTTGAAGATAATGAATACATTGTCTTACCTATTCGAATAAATATTTTTTTTTTGTTTTTGTGTCGAGAATAAGAGATGGGTGCAACTCTCGAAATAGATTATTATTAATGAACTGTCATAGTATTAAATATAAAAGACAATTAGATGATGTAAGAGTTTGTTTTTGAGTGTGTTTTAATGTAGAAAACATCTTGACAAGGGTTAAATGGGTAAATCGATTATTGAATACATATTTAGGGGTTCGATCGTATCTTGATTAATCTTCGTTTGCCAGATGTATATACTTCTCAAATAAATACATATGTTGTCTTTATAATAATAATAATAATAATAGTAATAAAATGAAGGTCGATATTATGTATCAAATGAAATATTCGAATATATCACCTAATTACCACAAAAAAAACTAAGTCAAATGATGAAATATTTGCCCTATTTTATAATTATCTCTTTAAGGAAATAAGACAAGTAGAATCTTTGAATTGTTTGAGAAGAACATAAGATATATATAGAAAAATAAGACATGTCAATCTAGTTTTTTTTTAGTTTAAGATGTATTAAAGAAATTTTCAACCTAGATTATCTACAGGTACTATACAGTTCATATAGCGTGTCATAAGAGTCCTTGAAGTATTTTGTTTTTCTCTATTTTCATCGAACAAAAAGACAAAAGCTGTTTTCCGCATGAAATGAAAGAGAGAATATGCGGAATAAACTAAGATTACTTACAAAACTTTGAGACAATGTGTCAATATGATTCTTTTGTATTATATACATGCTAGCTTCATGTCATATTTGAATAGCAACAATTGTGAATCTAATACTAAAAAATAAAATAGAAAACGAATGCACAATATTTAATTATCTATTATATTGTAAAGAATAGTATGAAAAAAATATTTTTAAACAATACTAATCTTATCTTACTGTATTTATATACAAAAATATAATTATGTATGTTTTTAGCTTGAAACACAAATACCACCTGTTGTCGAACGATTATCCCAAAATTTACTATGGCTTATTGGTCTAAGTATTACAGCTGGAGTTATACTTTTAATTATTCTTGTTGGTGTTCTCTGGTGTGTAAGTATCACTATATTTGACAATCATAGTTCATAATACAAAGTTTGTATTATATATTCTATTTTTAGTGTGGTTTCTTCAAACGAAATCGTCCACAATATCCCGTATCAGCACGAGATGATATACATTCTCATGACGATCAATTTCATTTGTCATCATCTTATAAACCAGGAAAAATTGCTTTTCAACCTGATAGTGATGAAACATCAAGTGATGATAATGAAATAATGATACAAAATGCAGGCGATAGTTTACCTATTGTTATACCACAAAATTCATCACATTTTATTCAACAGCAACAACAAAAAGCTCCATATATCTTTTAGATTATATAACTATAAAAACTGCGTTTCTCTCTCTCTCTCCCTTTTTTTTAATATATATGTATAAGGCATTGCTTTTTTTTTATCTATTTTTTTTGACGTGAGAATAACAATAATAAAAAATTTGCTATTCATTCTCTATCATATACATATATATGTATATGTGTGTGTGTGTCTGTGTGATAATTTCTTCTCGATCAATCGCATAGAAATGCTTGCTTGGTGTCAATAACGAGATGTACATAATTGAAACAACAACAACAACAAAAAACATTTGAGTTGATGCTTTTTCAACAACAATCCAGCATATATGCATCAATATGTTTGGTTGTCACGGATTTCTTTATATATATATATTATATGAAAACGTTGCTAATGTTTAGACTTCGAGCAAAATCAAAGAAGTATAGCTATTGCATCTCTTCGATCAATGCAGAAAAAAGAAAAGAGGAAAAAAAGAAAGAATTGAAGTGAAATAGAAAAAGAATAGTAATCGATAATACTTACTGATTCTCTGACTTTTAATTTTGCACAAAGAGAACGTTTTTCTTTGTTTAACTACTAAAGACACTAAACATTTCTTTTTAAAAATTTTTTTATTTTTTTACATGGAAATATAAAGACAATATTAAAGATTATTAATATGGCGAATATAATACGACCCCGTACATCATGTCAAATGCTAAGACCTTCATTAGCGGACGATGATGTTGGTCATGATAAACAAAATAAGAAATGTTTTTTATCAAGAAGTTTTACATTTAATAATGGAGAGACAAAATATCAACAACAACAACCAGAACAACAACAACAACAGCAGCAGCCACGAATAATACAATCATGTTTACCATCAACAATGAATTTTCAACAAAAACCACGTTTAAGTCGTAGTTTACTTAGTAATGATAATTGGCGAGAAGAAACAATGGGTGATGTTCGTGTTAATACTAAAATTATTGAACAAAGTGATCGAAATATTCTTTATGGCAAAGGTAAAATTTCTTATAAAAAAATGAATAAATCTAATATTTTTCATTTAGGTATTGATCCATTACCACATGTACGTGAATTACTCAGTGAATTAAGTAATACAGAAGCTTTTCTTTATGCTCGACAATGTCGTGTTGTTGTTGCTAAATTACGTTTATGTTGGATTGATGTTAATGAAGAAATAAAATTTTTATTAAAACATAAAGAATATACTGAAGCTTCTATTGAACATATTCGTAAAGATTTAATTATTAACAAAGAAAGTGTTAACGTACGAAAAAAACCAAAACGTGAAGCGGTAATGTTTAGTTGTCTTTAGAGTTTATATATTTATTTATTTTTTTTTTTAAAAAAAAACATAGGAAACTGATGGTGTTGATGATATACTTGCTGCTGAAAAACATCATTTATTACAATTGAAAAAGATTTTAGAAGTTAATTGTCAAAATATTGTTGAACAAATGCAGGTAGAAAACAACATATATATATATATTTACTTAACTTAAAAATAATATTTAAAATACTTTTAGAAACTTGATGAAATTCGTCATCGTATTAATAAAATTGGTAAAGAACGTTCAGTAGTAACAGAACTTATATGTCAATGTTTAACAAGTGCATCAAGAGCATTTGAAGTAGCTCGTTTTGAAAAGTAGAAAAAAGAAATTTTTCGAATTGAAATTATTCATTTTCTATTAGATTATGTAAATCAGCACAACCACAACGATCATCATCAACTTATGGTGTTCGTCCATCACGTACAAATCAAAATAATTCCATGACTTCATCATATGCACATTTGATTAGTTCAAATATCGCAGCTGAATCAAGTTTACTTGATGAAAATGGTTTACCCTATGTTGGTCATTTACTTGCTTTTACACCTGATGTTATACAAGTATTTCAAGATGCAGCAAAAGCAATTGATGAATCATGTGAAATTAAGAAACAAGCAATGAGTAATATTAAAAATGCATTTAATGATGCAAAAGCTTATTCATTAACTGTTAATCAAAGTATCGCACAAAAACTTGCGGATATTATTACATTAGCAGTAAGAAAAATTTTAAATTAATAATCTAATATGAATTTTCTTTCTCATAGCAACATTTAACAATATCACTTGGAGAAAATACTCTTGCTCAAAATCGAGCACAACGTTGGTATGATGTAACAATGAGTGCTCAACGTTCAAATGCAGGTCCAATTAGTTCATCGGATTATAAAATACCTGAACGTCTTGATCGTCCTATTATTCGAACATTTCAACGACATCCAGGAAATCAAGTACCTGAAGCTCAAATAACTGCTAAAGTATATTTTTCTTTTATTTATACATTTTAAGTTTTTTTTTTCTTTTTGTTATTATTTTAAGACAGCTGCTGATCTTCTACGAGCAGCTGAAGAAACTAAACAACAATTAAAAACAGTCAAAATTGTTGGTACACGATTACAAGCAAATTTAGTTGATAAAGAAGCTGCATTAGGCGTTGATGCACATCTTCTTCGTCGACGACGAGAACAATCTGATCATAAATGGGGCGTCAACAAATATGTACACGTTTAATATACAAAAAAAAAAGAAAGATTTATTTTTTTTTCTCTTCGATTTTCTTTTTAATTGCCGTTGATTATTACCAAACTAAAACAGATTTTTTTTTCTCTCTCTTATTATCCATTAATTTTATTTACCTTTCAAAGTACTACTACTACTACTATTATTACCAGACTTTCCAACAAAAAAAAATCAGAAAAGAAATGAAAACAGATATTTCGATAAAATATATTAAAAAAAAAAAATTATGTTTTATAATTTTTATATTTAATTTTCCGTATGTAATAATGATGGAGCACCATTATCTTCAATTAATTTTGAATGTACAGGCATTAAACTTTTAAAATATCGAACTGTTTTAACTTTCAATTCCATTGTAGCATCTTCATCACAGACACATAAAAATCTTGGATGATTTTGAAATGCTGATACTGTCCACATGTGATTTACACCTTCTTCAATAGCCATATGAAGTGCATAGGCTTTTGATGTACCGGATATTAATATTAATACCTTGAGAAAGAATAAAAAAAAAAGAAAATAAAATTTTTTTATCAGAATATGTTGTCATGGAAATCATTAAAACAAGTATAATCCATTAGCGTCAGTTCACAAGTAGAATGAAAAACAACATTCATTCCTTTTTTTCTCCCTCTCTCTCTCTCGCGTTTTGTCTCCAATTATTCAATAAAGAAAAAGATTTATATTGACTTATTTTTTCAAAAAAATCAATTTATAACGTACTTCTTTTGCATCCATTACTGTTCCAACGCCAACAGTTAATGCTGATGTTGGTACTTTTTTAATATCATTACCAAAAAAACGTGCATTAGCAATAATTGTATCTTGAGCGAGAGTTTTTACTCGAGTACGAGATACTAAACTAGATCCTATATATTAAATAAATTAATTTTTTTCTTATTTCTATTAGAAAATAAAAAACCTGGTTCATTGAAAGCAATATGTCCATCAGGTCCAATACCACCAACAAATAATTCAACGCCACCTACTTGTTGAATAGCTTTTTCATATTCATTACATTCATGAATAAGATCAGTAGCATTGCCATCAAGAATATGAACATTTTTCGGATCAATATCAATATGTTTAAAAAAATTATTCCACATAAATGAATGATAACTTTCAGGATGATCCTAAAATATCGACAAAAAAAATTAATTGTTTACAAAGAGAAAAAAGATTTTATTTCTACTCGTGGTAATCCAACATATTCATCCATATTAAATGTAACAACATATTGAAATGATAATTGTTTAGCTTTAACAAATTCAATTAATTTTTTATAGGTACCTAAAGGTGTACTACCTACAAAATAAATAAATTAAATATAGAAAATTAAAATAGTTCAACATACCAGTTGGTAAACCAAGTACAAAAAGACGATTAGCATCGGGTTTAAAATCATTTATTCGTTTTTTTATATACCGAGCACCCCACTCGGCCATTGCACTATAATCATCAGTAATTACTAGACGCATCTATAATAATACAATATCGAATGATACTTTATCTAATCAACAATAAATATGATAAGAAAATAAGCGTAAACAATATTTAGAAAAAAACATCCATATATTTATTAATTAGTGGATAATCTGAACATAAAAAACAATGTTACTATAATCGATATAATACTAAATTATTAAACAGATTTCTTTTTCTTGTATCTACCTGAAATTTAGCCTTCAATTTTATAAGAATAAAGAAAAACCTTCGTTCAGTAGTATAATGTATTAATGACATGATAGCCTTCAGTTGAAGGTCATTCATATGTATGCGAGAATAAAGCGAGTATGAGTAAGATAAAATAGATAAATAATTAGTTCTATTCCTATCCGTCAAAAGAAAAAGGATACATCAGCTGATGTTACGTCATTTTTGGAAATATTTATCGATTCCAGCGACATCATTCGTTGTCCATGAATAAGTTTAGACACAACAAATCAGTTTAAAGACAAGAATGTAATGATTCATATAGATACACGTATATTATATTGAACACGAATACTATCTTGAAGTGTTTTTTTATCTCATATCATCACCACTTGATGTTGATTTATTTATATTAAAGTTTATCTGTTGATAAATATGAAGAACTAAATAATAATCTTTTTAGATGTTAACTAAAAGTCATCTTTCAGTTTGTAGTACTCAACGATATTTAAATCTTCTTCATCGTTATACATCATCTAATTCTAGTCAAAAATATGATGATTATAATTTTTTTAAACGAAGTATTTTAGCAACAGATCATTTTCAAAATAGTTTACCACGTTTACCAATACCACAATTAGATAAAACATGTCAACGTTATTTAGCTGCACTTAAACCAATATTAAATAATGATGAAAATGCTTATAAAGAAACACAAAGTATTCTTGCTGATTTTCGTACTGGTGATGGTAAACGTCTTGATGCAAAATTACGTCAACAAAATGCATCAAATCGACATACATCATATATATCAAAACCATGGTTTGAAATGTATTTAAAATCACGTTTACCATTGATTCTAAATTTTAATTTTTTTCTTGTTTTTACTGATGATCAACTACAATTAAAACCAGCAGCACGTATTACAAATTATATTATATCATCAGTACGTTTTATGAATACACTTCGTTCGAATTTTCTTGATCCTGAAGTATATCATTTAAATCCAAAAAAAAGTAATACTGATCAATTTCGTAAATATCTTCGATATGTACCAAAACGTTTTGCATTCTATGGTGCTGTTATACAAAAAGCTTTTCCATTAGATATGTCACAATATAATCGTTTATTTAATTCAACACGTATTCCAAGAACTGATTGTGATATACTTCAAACAAATTTGGATAAAATTCGACATATTATTGTTATTAAACGTGGTCATTATTATAAAGTAAATGTCTTAGATAATAATGGTGATCTTTTACCAGCTGAACAAATTGCAGCCATGATGAAATATTTATCTGAAGATTTAAATGAAGAAGAAAATCAATATCCATTTGGATATTTTACAGCTGATAAACGAGATCGATGGGCAACAATACGAACACAAATTGAAACACTTTCAGAACATAATAAACAGATGTTTAAAGAAATTGATAGTTCAATTATGGTTGTATGTTTAGATGAGGACGATCTATCAAAATTAGAAAGATCTCGTAGTAAACAACAACTTGCTGATTATGTATCTGGAAGATATTTATGTTATAATGCAGTAAATCGTTGGTATGATAAATCTTTTAATATGATAATGTTATCTGATGGAACATTAGGTCTTCATTGTGAACATTCATGGGGTGATGGTGTTGCATTACTTCGTTTTTGTAATGATATTGATAAAGATGCAAATGAAAATAATAAAATAAATTCATCAAATTATCAAACAATTCAATCATCAACAAATAATTGTATTGAAAAACTTGAATTTCAATTAGATGATAAAATTAAAAATGAATTTCAAATATCAAAAGAAAATTATAAGAATTTTGTATCGAAATTTAATGTTAATACTTTTCAAGAACCTATACTTGGAAAAAATTTATTAAAAAAATCTTCACTTAGTCCTGATGCTATCATGCAATTGGGTATACAAATGGCTTATTATAGATTACATCATCGATTTGTATCAACATATGAATCATGTTCAACAGCTGTTTATAAACATGGTCGAACAGAAACTATTCGACCTGTTACACATGAAACAAAAACATTTATTGAAATATTAACAAAATCGAATAATGATCAATTAAAAAAAGATTTATTAAAAAAATGTTCCGATAAACATCAACAATTAATTAAAGAAGCGGCAACAGGACAAGGTTTTGATCGACATTTATTTGCATTGAAATATTTACAAGAAATTGAAAGTAAAGAAGCATTACATCGAATCTATAAAGATAAATCATATCAATTAATGAATCATACAATTCTTTCAACATCAACTGTTGCTTCAAAACATATTGCTGCAGGTGGTTTTGGTCCTGTTGTTGATAATGGATTTGGTATTGGTTATTTAATTGATGATGAACAATGTGGATTATTAGTTACATCATATTTACATAAAGAATTGCCTAGTTTTATGCAAGCAGCAGATGAAAGTTTTAGAGAACTTGCAAATATTATTAAAGCTTAAAAAGAAATCTCAACATATTAATCTTAATCTCTTCTTTTTTCTTTATCAAATTTTCCATATGTATATATCATTTCGGTTGCCTGAAAGGTGATGGGTATTGTGAAACTAAAAGTTTCTTTTTTCACTGTTATCAATTCATTTAGTTATACGTTTTCTAACGAAAAAAATAATAAATTCTTATAAAACATATATTCAAAGTTATAAGTCAATTAAATATATATATCGAAGATTTTACCTCTTTCTTCAAGTTTATACAACGACTTTTTTATACTTATATATGGTCTTAAAGACAGATATTGATTAGCCATTTAGTTATCTTTTTGATTTATTATCTATTTTCAGCTGTAGAGCATTTGTTAAAAGAGAATTGACATCTTACTTTTATTACTTTAATTATCTTTAAATGTGTATATTAGCGGAAAAAAATCAAATCATCACAGATTTTATTCATATAGAATGCTATACGAAACATCGTATTTAATTATAACAGTATTTCACAGATTGTTTTGCTATTTTCCTTCGTATATCAGAAAGCATTCGACTAATGTTTTCAATAATATATACAAAAGTATAGTTTCCAGATAGTCGATTATAATAAAATAATGTAGTTAAAGATGAATAATTGTTTTTGTTCTCTTGCAACATATTGAATCTACTTGAGACATTTAATTCATCCACTGACTTCCTTTCTTTATCAAATCAATAAAAAATATTTTCTTTTTGATAAGTCAAGTGAGTCTTAGTTATATATAAATCTTGGTATGCTAATCTGAATTATTTTTCTTCGAAATATTTACTGTTGTACTTGTTGACATTTATTCGTTCATTTATTTATATAAAAGAAGTTTTTCGTCCCCCTTCACACCATGATATTAGTTCTAATAATTTGTCTGATCTTTCTTAGAACAGATTCATTTGATTGATATTTTTTTTTCTTAACTCATAAAAACATAATAAATGGTATTAGCTTGTCGAAAGCAAATAAATATATATGAGAGAAAAGAATTACGTACGCAAAAAAAAAAGAAAGAATCGTCATAAGACATCATATATTACTGAATATGTCATAAACCTAATGACAAAAATATGAACATATTGTTTAATAAAAATATTTCATCAAATCATCTTACTAATCTCAATCGATCATATAATAATGAACAATCAAACAACGATAATAAAACTTATGTTTCTTTATTTGATCGATTTAAACGATGGTTTCATTCTATCAAACAATGGAAATATGAGCGTCTATCACAAGTATGTATAGACATCATTCATAGATCTTTTCGCATTAACTTATGTTTACAAAATCATTTATCTATCTGTCACATATGATAGACAATCGTTATTTATGTTAGAATAAAAATGATTTATTTCTATTTTTAAGGATCAATTAGTATTAAATAATCCTATTAATTTAATAAACAAAAACGAAATTATGCGTGTAAATGATATTCCATTTATTATTCCAAGACAAATTGAAGATGTACGAAAACAAATACGACCAAATTTTCAACGAGCTAAACTTCTTATTCTTCGTATGGATGAATATCTTGTTTCATCTGAAGATAAAACAAAAGCGAAACGACGTCGTCATCAAGATACATCACTTGGTTTACGTGCATTAGCTGAAGCTATTTATACAATTCAAAAAATAGCTTTTCGTGAAGTACTTAGTATAGATGAAACATTACCAATTATTGGAAGAAATTTGCCTGACGATGATGATGATGATGATGATGATGGAGAAGAAAATCGTTCAATGCATAAATTTTATCGTCAAAAAGGAAAAATTGATCCAATAACAGATTTTCATGAAGTACAAGATTTTGTTGCATTTGATCGAGCACTTACGAAACATCGAATGGATATATTAGAAAAACCAACATGTAAACCATCCGATATGATCTATTTAAAATTTTGTTTAATGCTTGAAATTCAACGTGATGAATATGAAAGTTGTTTACGTATAATTTTACATGATATTATATTTAAATATCATTTAGCCGACTTTCATTTACGTTGTGAAATACATGTACGAAAACCAATGGAACGTGAATTTGTTCTTGATAGAATTGTTCATGATTCACATTTAAAAGCAAATTATTCAGTTGAATTTGTTTTATGGTCAGGAGATTGGATTGCTCAACAAGAAGTTGAATTATATGTTGTAATGAAAATTGAATCATTATCAATTAATAAATATATTAGTTCGAAATTTTGGGATATGGCACATTTACATGTAAAAAATATTCCACATGGTTCATCAAGAATTTTTCTTCGTGAACTTACACCTGTTAGTAGACCACATAAACTGGTAAGTTGAACTTATAATAAGAACGACTTGCATTTTTTGTTAATCGAAAGAAGAATTGTAATTAATTATTTTTAAATTAGCTATCACGTACTGTGAATATTGGTCAAGTAGAAATTGAAGCAGCATACTGGTCTACTTCACGTCAGTTATCAATTCATATTGTAAAAGTTACTCATTTACAAGCGGAACGATTACTACGAACTTCAGGTAGATAATATTGTATTTATTTTATAATATTTAAGTTTATTCTTATCTAGATACATATGTTGAAATTATTTTTCAAAGTCCATTTGATATATATGATATAAAACGAACAAAAGTTGCCGATCGTTCGTTAAATCCAATATTTAATGAGGAATTTTATTTTAAAATTCCACGAAAAATAGCAATTAGTGATATTACAATTGATTTAATATTTCTTGAAAAATCTTCATTACATCATCATCATTCAGTTGTACATGGAGTGTTAACATTATCAAAACATACTGATTGGTATCCTGTAAGAAAATTTTGGATTGATTTAGAAGAAAATCCAAATATAAGACTAAAAAATCGATTTTTATTTGAAAGAAATATCTATGAATAATTATCTTTTTTTATGTATATTCCAGCATTAGAATAAATCTAAAGATCACTTACGCCATCTGTTAAGATATCGAACCTGAATGATAAATTCTCATTTGAATTATTATTTCTTTGTTCCCGATTAAATCATACAACCAATAAAAGTAATAGCTTGATTTATGAACAAAATTTCATCTATTTCGTTTATCTTTGTCATTTGTCACATTGAACAAACTAATTTTTCAATTGTTGAATATTTTTTCCTATTTTAATTCAAATCTGTTTTTTATTCTTAAATTGTACATTGTATAAAAAAAATTGTTTTTGTCAGAATATGGATACAACAGGCACAGGAATGACATCAATAAGTCTTAATACCACAACTAAACATCGTGATCCTCCTCCGTTGAATGTATACTTACGTCTTCGTCCATTTATTAGTGATGAATTTGAACGTGGTGAAAATCAAAAATTAATTGATATTCTTGATGATAAACATATTACTGTTAAGCTCTATCCAACAATTAATAATACTATTCGTACTCAGCAAACATCATACAATGAATACCAGGTACTTTTTTTATTACAAATTAAATTTCTGTCGAAGAGTGCAGATCTTAGTAATGGTATTGACATACTCTTAATTATTAATTATCTATTTCTTTAGGTTACTCGAATATTCAATCAATATTGCACTCAACAAGAATTATTTGAACAAATTCTTGAACAACCAACAAATGAAATTTTTACCGGTTCTAATTGGCTTTTTTGTACACTTGGTTTAACAAATAGTGGTATGTTATATCTCCCTGTATGATAGATTTGATTTTATATCATTATATTTTAGGTAAAACTCATACAATGTTTGGTACAAATGATGAACCAGGTTTAATTCCTAAATGTTTACGTCGAATATTTCTTAATGTTGGTCAAAATATTGATAATAAAGTTTTATTTAAACCTGTTGGTCTTGAAAATGTAATACCAACAATTGATTGTGATCTTAAAACGGAAATATCTGTTCGAAATTATATATTCAAAGAAGATAAAGTAATATATATATATTTTATTTTCAAAGATTTTATTTTATCTCTTTTTTAGTATCGGATTCGTTTACCTCATATAGTTCAAAAACAAAATTCATTTGACGATTTTTCTGTTGAAGGTTTAGATGAACATTATTCCATATGGATATCATTTTTTGAATTATATAATGAAAATATTCTTGATTTACTTGTTCAACCAAAAGACATGAAAACTCGTAAGAATCTTCGTTTATTACAAAATGATCATTCAACAATTATAAAAAATCTTATTCAAATACCTGTATTTGATATAAAAGAAGCCGAAGATATTATTAAATTTGGTTTTGCTAATCGTTCAACATCAAAAACAAATCTTAATGAAGCATCATCAAGATCACATGCTATAATTTGTATTACACTTATTACAATAAATGAATTTGATGAAGATCCTACTATGAGTCATATGTGTAAGACATAATAAGATTTTTCCTTTTCTTTTAATTGAATGTTTTCATTAGATATTTGTGATTTGGCTGGTAATGAACCATCAACTGGCACTGGAAAACAATTGACAGAAACATGTAATATTAATACATCATTGATGACATTTAAAGATTGTATTCGAGTTTTAAATGAAAATCAAACAGCAAAGTAAGTTAAGAGTTTGAACAAGATTAATGTTAAGAATTTTCTTCTTTATAGAAAACAAATGCTTGTGCCTTATCGAAATAGTGTATTAACAAGTATATTTCGTCCATATTTTGTTGGTCGTGGTCGAACAATTATTTGTTGTAATATTAATCCTTGTGCAACATTTATTACACAAACAAATGAACTAATGAAATTTTGTGCACTTGCACAGAAGGTTGTTTCAAAATTTTTGTTTTTATTCATAATTAGAATTAATTGTTTATTTTCTTAGACAATTATTGTACAAAATGAATCAAAAATTGGTACTGCAATCATTCGACAACAATGTAAATCGAAAAATAAAGGTCCTAAACGTCTTGGAAGACAGAGTCTGTCAAAACAGAAAAATCTTAGTAATAATGATGAATTAGAAGGTATTATTTGTTTTGAATTTTAATATTTTTAATACCAATGTTTTCGTTTAATAGAACTAGGTGAATCATCAATGCTAATGCCATCAAATGTCAAATCAATATCTTATTGGAAATATTGTACAAAAAAAGCTCTAGATTTATTACAAAAACAAGCATCAAATCGACGAATATTTATGATTGAACGATAGTAAATAGAAATGACATACTTCTTCTATCTCTTCCTATATTTATTTAGTCAAGAACGAATACAAACTATACAATATCTACTTCATCAACGTCAACAAAATGAACAATTTAATAAAGAAAAACAATCAGTAAAATTTTATTTTTATTTATTTTTTCTTAATTTAATTATTTTAAAGATTACAAAACAGAATGAAATCTTATTAAAAAATCTTCGTCTTGAACAAGATAATCATTCTCATACTCAACAATTGTATGATAAAGTTATTTTAAATGAAAATCAATATCGTCAAAAATTATTTAAATTAGAAAAAGAATATCAAGAAGATAATCGAAATACTCAAGATGAAATAAATTCATTAAAAAAACAATTAAAAATTCTACAAGAACAATTTGATCGTTTAACTAATGAACATATAAAAACAATTGAACAAAATGATCAAGATAAACATGAATATCAAGAACATGAACAATATCTTCAAAGTGAAATTCAACGTTTAAAACGTGATCATGGTCTTGAATTATATCGTAAACAAGATGCTGAAAAAAAAGCACGAGTATTTGAAGAGAAACTACGTCATGAACAAACAGAAAATCATAAAATTCAATATGATTTTACAAAAATAAAACATGATTTTAAAACATTACAAGTTAAATATGATGCATTACAATTAGAAATGATTGAAATACATCAAAATTCAAAAATTAAACCACAAGAAGCAGCTATTCCAATGTTTGATGATAGAACATCAACGACAACTGTCAATGAAGAACAACCTGTAGTTGAAGTACAAAAACGAATTATTCGATCAAAACGACAGACTAATGATGATGATGTAATTAAAATAACATATAAAATAGATCTTATGATTATTTGTTTTTGATTTAGAATCAACATGAACAAGAGATAAAGAAACCAAAACTAATTACTACTCGTAGTCGATCAAATGCCAGTACTGATGCTACTTATGCATTGATTCAACAATCTGATGAACTTAATAGTAAGAAGAAATCTAAAAGAATTATACGTAATGAATCAACGGCAAGTACAAAAACAAATACGACAACACCTATTAAACCAATTAATAAGAAACAACAAGTATACTCAATAGTTTTTTCATGTTTGATCTTATTTTATAAAAACATTTCGTTATTTAGGATGATACATCGGATTCAAAAGTAAAAGTTAAACGAACTGGTGTTCGTGGTCGACCTAAAAAACAAATTATCGAATCACCAGAACCAACATTTGTTCAAGAAGAATCACATTCACCAATCTATGCTACTATTCAACGAAAAGTATCACTTGATAGAGCATCATTTGCTACTGTTGCTGTTAATTCGTCAATAGTACAACTAGCTCCATCAAATGATACAGTTGGTGATACAACACCAAAACCATCAACATTTAAACGTATTCAATCATTTTTTCGAGCAACTCCAAGTATGTATATTTATATTTAACGAAATTAATGATATTATATATTCGATATTTTTAGCATTAACAAGTTCAAAACGAGCTAATCGAGTGATACAAGTTAAAAATACCGTTGTTGCATTTGGTTCGTCAACACCTACAAATCGTTTACCTACATCAGTAGTCAAAACACCAGGACTAACAACTCAACCTACTCCAACTGCATCAATTGTTGACAAAAATTCAACACCAAAATCTAAATATAATCTTCGTACACGTCTTTTTAATAATCCGATTCCTAAAGATGACGATGAGGTAAAAAATCAAATAAATACTTTTTTTTTAAATTTATTTAATTATTTTTAAAATTTTTTTAGAAAAAATCTCAAATAACAAAGAAAACTCCTCGAACACGTAAATAAATCTCATATCTATTTTTTTTTACTTCGAATATCTATATAAATGTATTTTTTTATGTACAAAAAATAAATATTGTATCTTTAATTCTGAATGTGTACATATATTATATGCTAACGATATTAGTATATAGGTGCTGATAAATATGAAATAGTAAAAAAAACGAATATATGAATGCACATGTTTCTTTAATAAAATCGATACATATATATTAACATTTTTAGATATCAGAATTCCATATTTATTAATTAAATCTCAATACATATTTTCTACTTTTACTTGACATACTATATGATAGAAGTTTAATATATTTAATTCTTTTCATATTTTCTAAATAAAAAAACAAAACAATAAGACAATCAACCATATCAAACCATACCTAAAATATATTAGTAAAAGAATATTAATTGTACATTTTTGTTGCTCTTTCTCTGTATTATTATTGATTTTTTTATAGAATAGAATTTTTACAAATAGTTATGTTTATTCATCACTTCATATAACTACAAATTATATATAAAAATGATGAGTACCTTAAGCAAGGACAAACTCTAACGTAAAATACAGTTGTATTGCTTCTAAGTGATATCAAACTTATGATAATCAATATACGCTTGATTCATTGCACTATATTTTATTTAATAATTAAAATTCCTCAAACCCGTTACTTATTAATGATCTTCTTATTTATTCTTTCTCCACGCATACTCTACTTCTATCATATAAAACATTGTTCTATGGAGACGAACAAAAATAAGAGGCAAAATAAATATCATTGACTGAAAAAAACGAATGAAGGTTTTGTAATACGAAAGATAGACAATTTAATTGCATTGAGAGAATAAATAGAATGAAGGTTTATCATTCTTGGGCTCAATGCAATTGCATTGAGAGAATAAACAGAACGAACAGATATTTAACGACAATGAAGTATACGATAAGTACGTCCTTTATCTATTCATAAGTGATGGATAAGAGTAAATCTTTAATACATCACATATAAGAGATAAATAGATAATATAAAACTTTCTTCATACTTATCGTTACGTAAACGTCATAAGATACTTACAATTTCTTTCTCTATTGGTACGATAGAAAAAACTTTCGTTAACCGTATTTTGCCAACGCAGCCATTTTTGTGTTGTTGTTTTGAATATGACTCATGAAACTAATCACGTAGTCTAACAAAGCCACATCAATAACACATAATTATTCTGTACACGTATACATATATATATATATGTATATCCATTTTTTTTGTATTGCATAAACAAAACGTCTATTAGATTCATTTCGACAACGCATTCGTCCTCTGGATTTCAAGTAAAAATTATAGAACTTCATGCAAATGTACAAAATCTCGACGTTTCGATAAACTTCAATATTCATTAATTGCAATAAGTTCGTCATTTTTTGCATCAAACTGATGAATTATATGGTTTCTTCAGGAATAACAATAATATGATGAATTTAATTCTATAAAAATACAAAATAAAGCAAAATTTTAATTACGCAGTGAAAACGAATGATAATAATACAAACGAGCACATTCTTACCATTTCAACTAGTTTCAATAGTTTATTACTATGGAGTGAGACCAACATCAACTGCTGGAAATTGAAGGATTATGTGTATTATTCAATAATAATGATAATAATAATAACAACATGATAAATTTAATAAAAGAAAGATACAAATGCAACGAAGCTAGTAATATGTTTTACTTTACTGACTTATTTTTTTATTTATCACTGATTTGGTTTATGTGCAGCAATGTAAGTTAGTATGGTTTTTTATTTACATTTTATTTATTTTATTATTTTGGGTATTATGTTAATATTATAGTTTTGGCAAATATCAGTGGTTTATTTTAGTTATACGTATATGCTTTTGATTCGTCTTTATTGAACAGACAATGTTAGTATTATGTTTTCTTTTGAATTAGAGTTATCTTTTTTGTCTATTTAAAATATTATATTTATTGAAGAACCTGTGAACATATTGTTTTTCATATATTGATATTACTTTTATATTGTATACAGTGATTTCATTATGTTGGAGTTTTATTTGTATTTTGTTGTATTAATGGATGTAGTTCACAACTTTATCCCACATTCCAGGTAAATATTAGTGTTTTATTTTGATTGAATTTAGTTTTTTTCTCTTTGATTTTTGCATATGAGACAGTAGATATATAGTGAGTTAAACATAGAGATTTTACTTTATCTTCATTTTGTGAAATAAGAATAAAGATAATCTTTATCTTTATAAAATAAAGTATAAAAATTTATTTATTTTTTTCCTTAGGACATTAAAAGTTTATCATTTTCTTGAGGGTGTGGGTGTGAGCGAGTGTGTATTGAATAGAACAGTTACATCCGTTCACACTCATACCCTATTTTCACGATTGAAAAAACATTAACTCTTCGACTATTCTTCATGTATTCCTATAAGAAGATATTTGTTCCGAACAAGTTTTTTTGTGTGTGAATATTTACTAATAGTTAATCAACTTACATACTAACAGTACCAAACTCATATTGTCTTTTTCTTTCTATCCGGTATAATATCTTATTTTCTCAGTTCATCTTCTTGTGTGATTTCGGAATATTGTTATACGAGGATAGTCCATGGAATTCTTATACGAACGATAGAAACTAGAATTTCAATTTTCGAATTACAATAATAAATAACGAGTTTAATCATGTAGAATTTGTTGCTGGTGTGTTCAAATTCATGTTTTCGTTGCGCTTATGTTTTTTGTAATTTCTAGATTGTAACCGGCTTTTTGCATTAGAAATAGATATTTTTGTAGTTCTTTATTATAAAAAATGTTTCGAACAAAGAAATCAACAACAGCCACCACTGAGCATAAAGTACAACGGCTGAAGATTTCTAGTCGGACAGAAGCTGTAGCTTCATCTGCTCAACAACGTATCTACATGCATGAAAATCTTTATTTTAGTGGTTCCGATTTATCTATCTACAATAGCCTGGTACCGTTGCAGATCAAACGAGGTTCAGTGTCAATAGAACATATTCGTTCATCGTTAGTCTCAGTGATTCAGCAACATACAGTTCTTCGCACTGCCATTTGTTTCAATCCAATGCATAATCAAATCGAGCAAAATATTCAACCACTCACCGACGATATCTATTCGTTTCAACATTCTCAAGGTGTTTCTACATCTGAACAACTTGATAACCTACTGACGAACGAATCAATTGGAAAATATTTTGATGTTGAAAACGGAAAAGTTTTACGATGCCATGTAGTGCAACGATCTGCTGAGAATTATGGTGATTCACTACATGAAGGCGATCTTATTATTTTTGTGATTCACCATATCGCATTTGATCTCAGCTCATACAAACCATTTCTAAAAGCCTTCGAACGAGCATGTTGGGCGACTGAATATCAACAATCAGTGTTAACAATTCCACAATACATTGACTTTGCATTGTACGAACAGGCACTGCTAACCGACAGAAGTGTAGAGTCAAAAATGAACAAGGCTCGTCGATTTTGGGCTAATGTGATGCATGGATACGACTGGGATAAAATACGACATTTGGTGCCTGATGAAGGCCAAACTGATCGACATCATTCTGGCCGTGGTTGTTCAACGGCATTTACGATCGATCAAGATGTTGTCGATTCCATGATGTTATTTGCTTCAACCAACAACGTGACAATGTTTTCAATGTTTCTTACCTGCTACTATGCGTTCTTATTTAAACTAACCAATCATGATGATGACCTGTGCGTAGTAAGCAGCACAGCTAATCGATCTGAGAAAGAGATACAAAATATGATTGGTATATTTCTCAATCTTCTGTTATACCGTATCAAAATTGATCCAAATATTACATATAAACGTCTCGTGCAACAGGTACAACAACTAAGCAATGAGATTCTCGTACATTCTTCTTTACCATATCAACAGATTATTGATTCCTCAAGCAAACGAGAAAATAATGTGCTACCTTCGACGTTTTTCCAGTACGAACCTTTAATATTATCAATAACACAGAAAAATTCAATCGAATTAACTGTGAGTGAGGGTTCGGTTATAAGTGGTTACTATGATCGAGATCTAAATCACCAGAACGGTATATCACGATTCGATATCTCTCTTACAATCATCCATGATCATCATATACGAAGTACAGAATGTTTTCTCAATTGTTCAGCTGATATATTTAAACATCAAGATGATATCGATCTATTGTCAAAGCGTTTTCAGCATATCCTTGCGCAACTCTTTTCATTCTCGAT